GGCCACATGCATGGACCACATCATCTTGGGGTCATCCTTGATGTCCCGGGCTCCAATGTGGTGGCCAAGTTGCTTGCGGTAACCATCTTTGTATATGTACTGAGATAAAAGTAGTCATTTAAAAGATAAACATGTTAGAAAGGGCTAAAATCTTAGTGATTTAAAACATCATTATTTTAAATTTGGAACCATCTGAATATCCACTTATCTTCTTATCCTAAACTCTGATTTGACTTCACAGCAATACTCTACTGGGAAGACAGGCCAACTACATAGTTCTAAGGTTTGCAGACATTAAGTCCCTGGAAAAAAAAAAGGCAGCAACACTTCCCGAAAATAAATTGGAACCATAAGCTACCTTTTCTTTATCTTGGGCCACTGAAATCACTAACCCAGAAAATTTACATTTGATTTGAGAAGGTTACTTTCCAGGCCACAGGTATCTTGTTACCTTGCCCTTGCCCACCTGTCACACCTCCCAAATCTAGCTCTGTTGACTCTCACTGCATCACCTGACTCCTTAAAATGGACTGGCTTGCATTTTCTATTCTGCATACCCTGCTCCGTTGGAGATCAAATTTGGCTGGGGTTTCTTGGGATTCTTAGAGTGAGAAAACATTATATAACTACAAGAACACATTTTAGTGGTGGTGATGGTGGTAAGGGCTGAATGGATATCTTCACTTTAGGAAATAACACCCCACAAATCCTAACGTATATGTAGGGAAATCTGAATTCGTCACTGAAGGACTCACTTCTTTCAGAGACAGCAAGAAATCAGAATTACCATTTTACTGTCTTTGGTTGTCTTTGTTTTTCTGTTTTCATTTAAAAAGAGCTCAAAGGAAGCACTTAAGGTAGTTTTCCAAAGACTGAGTTGACAAAAATCCAGAGCAAGATTAAGGAAAGGTACATTTTCCTAGACCTGGCTGAACCAGGTCTTTTTTTGATGTTGAGCCAACATATGTAACCAAATTTTTTTTTTTTAACTCTTCTGACATTTTCTTATTTCTATAAGAAATATCTATAATTATAGTATGAACAACCATAGATTCAAATTCAATTTTATACTAAAGTTTAGGATACCCCATCCACCTATGGGGCCTGATTTTAAACTTTTTGGAATTAAAAACATAAAAGAGCTTTTTTCAGTGAAGAACATTTTTTTTTCATTTAAAGCACAATATGTGTGCTTTAACTGGTGCATAGGTGAATCTCCCTGCTGTACTGATGATCATTTGCTCCCAACCCTATACAGCAGTGTACATGCATGGAGTGTGGCTACTCACATCACTGGCAATGTCCCTGGATGCCTTGGCTGCCACGATTGGGATGGCATCGCTTCGCAGGTCATAGCCTTTCTTCTTTGCTTCTTCATTGGCGAGTTTATACAGAGTCTATAGAAAGAAAGTCAGAGTTAAAGTAAAAGATTTGACAGTAACAATTTGGAGATTATTAAGTGACATACCAAGTAATTTTTAAAAGGACAGGGTCTGGAAACAACTAAGTTTCCAGCAATGTTGGAAGCAAATAAATTATATCTTATAACCCCCCCAAATACTTAGCTTTAGGAATCAATGAGATCAACATTAATCTATGGGTATTAACATAGATTAATATTTTAATCCATCATATACTTTGTAGGTTAATATATATCATGTAGTTTGTTATATTATGCCTATTAACATAGATTAATATAATATAGTAGTATAGGTCAATTTACAGAGTATCAATCTATACCTATTTTTAACTGAAAAAATTACAGAACAATGTTTAATATTGTTAATTTATATATAAAATATATAAACTCACATACCTTCATTCATTCCTTTATTGCTGAAAACATTTTCCACAATCATGTAATACTTTATAATGTTTAAAAAACAAAGGAGGAAAAGACTGATGTACCATTTAAAACAGCTAACTGGACTATAATCACAACTTTAAGATTCTAAATTTTGGCTATATCATATTAGTAAACCATGTGCCTAAAATAAACTGCATTTTACCTTTAAAAAGTCCAGTGCTGTTAACAGAGAATACTTTTTTTTCCCCACACCTGAAGCTTTCTTTCTATAGAATGAGCTCAATTTTCTTCTCTGACCTTTCTCCTTTTTCTGCCCTTTTACTCACTGCTGTGAATCACTGACTTACTGATTTATTTAAATAGTAGGAATGGAATGACTAGGTACTTCCCACTCAGCTCTGATCTGCCCCCTCTGGGACTAAGCCCAGTGCCTCTGTTTTTCTGGGCTCTAAGCAAGATCTTACCCTTGAGTGGAGTTTAGCTAATTGCCCTGTTCTAGTGTGGCCTCTGCCTGAATGGGAACCTAATTCTGAGGTTCAGTTAGGCTCATTTTGTTCTCATTCAAATATATCCTTGAACTTAATTTTAGTTGTAAAAAAATCTGAGATTTCAACTTCTATTCATATTCCTTTGTTTTACCTCTCAATTGTATTGAGGATCCAGGTATGGAAAAGTTACATATCATTAGAAGTCCCGTTGGCAAGATTGCCAGATTTAGCAACTACAAAGCTAGCATGCCAGCTGGACTTGTATTTTAGGTAAATGACAAATAGTATTTCAGTAGAAATATTAGGTCACTATTTTATCAGGCTATCCTACCGCCTTGGAAATGCCAAAAATGCTACTCAGTCCCATTGACCCACACCAGCAGTGGCCATAAACTAAACAGGTAATGCAACTTCAGTTTGCCCACAGAATCCTATAGCATATAATATTCAACCCAGAAATAAAAGCCTAGATGGGCTGAGTGTTCATGTCACAGAGCCACAGGCACCATGATCGCTGAGGCCTGAGAATCTCCAAAGAAGTATGTATGGGGAAAACAAAGAGTAACAACGATACACACGTGGTGCTGCACCACAGGATTTGGCCCTTACCTCGCTGTAGTTGAGTTTGTTCTGCCTTGCCAACATGATCTCTGGGGTATCAGGCATTATATGAACTTGAGTCTTGTCTTTGTCCCAGGCCTCTGTGTATAAACGCTGTCAAAGAAGATGTTGATAGAGTACTATTTGAAATGGGAATTACAAAAAGTTAAGCATGATTATTATTAATGTAATTAGGAAAAGCAAACCAAACTTGGATATAAGGTATTCAAATTGGAGGTTTGAGTCTTAACACTACTGATCAAAGCTATAATTGGGAATAGTAGAAATTATTTAGAGGATTTCAAGTATATAATTTAGGAGGTAAATATGACCCTACACACTTCACTGGATAATTTTAACTGCACTAATTGTTCGAGGATTATAGCATCTTTTGGAATCTTGGAGAAGCCTGAGGTAGCTGGGGCTCACCTTGTTCATATTGATGGCATTGTTCTTGGCCAGCACCTGCTCCAGGGAATCAGGCACACTGGTGAATTTCAGCTTGTCTGGAGGCTGGCGGTAGATGTTGTCACTCAGTATCTCCGCAGCTCTCTTGCACATGACCACATCCACAGACCCAATGGGGACCCAGCCAATACCTCTCAGCCACTGGAGATCTGATTTGTAGATGTTCTGTAAAGATGAAAACGGCAGAAACTCTTCAGCAAGACTAAAAGATTTATGGTAAAAATGCCAGTGCAATCAGTAATAACGTATGATATTAGAAGTTGTATTTTCATAGAAAACAAGCTCATGGTGTTAGACCAAAAGGGGAACTATGTTCAAAAATGACCCAGAAACATCTCCTAGCCATAACAAAAACTGACCATATATTTCTGGTGGTAAGGAGAGGACTGATCCAAATTACTATCAGTCAGTTCAGTGAATGTTACTACAATGCCCATGTGTACAGGAAAACAATGCCAGCCCAGAGTGGGAGAATCCACAGGTATGTCCAACAACAGTAAATAAAGGTTAGGCCTAGTCAAATGAAATCCTCTGAAGCTACTAACAGCCTTATTTTAAAGAATATTGTTTACTTGCAGATAGGTAATTAATATAACATTACAAGAAAGAAAAGCATAAAACAATGTATGTGGATAATTAATATGAGTAGGAGTGAACTTTTTTCAGTGATTGGATTATGTTGGATTTTATTGCCTTCTATGTATTTTTTCTGGTTTCAAAATATCTGTAGAGCTCTTTAGAAATAAACAAAAAGTGTATATATATAGCAATGATGTAGAGCCCCTGAAATATTGAGGCAGAACTTCATGGCTTTAACACTATCCAAGGCTCAGGGCAATTGATGATCATTTCATTGGTCTAAGGCCCCAGTCTCTTTCCACCAAGTTCTCAGGACAAGAAGATGGACTTCTTGGGGGCGCCTGGGTGACTTAGTTGGTTAAACATCCAACTTTGGCCCAGGTCATGATATCGTGGTTTGTGGGTTTGAGCCCTGCATCAGGCTCTGTGCTGTCAGTATGGAGCAAGCTTTGGATCCTCTGTCTCCCCCTCTTTCTACCTCTCCCCTACTCATTTTTTTTTCTCTTTTTCTCTAAAAAATAAACATTAAAAAATTTTTTTAAAAGAAGATGGACTTCTTTCCAGAATAGTCTTTCCATACCTTTCTCTCTCGATTTATTTTTTTAAATAAAAATCTGTGTTCTTTTTAAGTTTGTTTATTTATTTTTCAGAGAGAGAGAGAGAGAGAGAGAGAGAGAGAGAGAGTGGGGGGGGGAGGGGCAGAGAGAGACAGAGAATCCCAAGCAGGCTCTCAGCATAGAGGCCGACCCTAGGCTTGAACTCCTGAATCATAAGATCATGACCTGAGCTTTAATCAAGAGCTGGTCTCTTAACCAATTTGAGCCACCCAGGCACCCCTCTCAATTTATTTTAAATCATTTTTCGGCTAAGGAGTTTTGTTAACACATTAAGTATTAACTACTTCACAACTTCACAACAAAGGAATTGGACATTTGCCCAGCTCATGTGAAGGATTTTACTCATAACAGCAACTAAGTAGAAAATATAGACTGATATTTTGCAGTCGACACAAAAAGCCTATTGGAATTGCCCTATGTGGATTACTGATTGCCCCCTAAATAAAAACAGCAAGAATGAAAACAGTAACACTTTATACCTCTGGAGTGCTTTTTAACTTTCCAATGACTGTTAACATTCAAATAGCCATTAAGGCCTCATCACAGTGTGGGGGAAGTTGATCTTGAAAAGGCACTCAACAAATAGACAGATGTAAGCAGTCTATCAATGTTGTCACCTCCTCAGGTGGCATTAACCATTTTAACTCTTTCATGTGCAGGGAAAGCCTTTCTTTTCAGACACAATTGCAAAACCCAGGGTTCTGTATATCAAAAACTATAGAACAAATGTGAGCATTTTCACAGGTGGGCTGTACAGTTTCTAGTAATGGCCAATTATTAATTAATAACTAAAATAATTAAATATAAATTAAAACTTAACTTTATTTTCCAAAATCCTCTAATGCTTAAATAATCCCTTCAAACATTTAGAAACTATGTACTGTAGGAAATGTGCTTCTCACACCCAGATTTGATATTAAAAGCAACAGCCCTAGGTAATGGGGGTGGGGGGGTGTCTCTCATTATCACGTGACCATCTACAGAGAGCCGTGCTAAGAGAAGAAAATGCCAGTTAACTGATCCAATAGCTTACAAACATAGCAACTTTGTTTCATAAGAATAAAATTAGCACTGTAACAGGCATTAGAATTCTACTAACTATAACCTCATCTGGTTTGCAAAATGCGAAAAACAAATTTCATAGTAATTTTTTTTTTAATAAAAATGTGTTGTTTCTACCCCCTTAAAAGAATAAAAGAGAATGTCTCCATCTGGTGGACTTTGAAATATTGCTTAATTTTGGTTGTGTTTTTAAAAGACCAAATCCTGTTCTTAAACTTCCCTTCCTTATAAATGCTATTAAACGTACTTATAATAAAGCAATAAAACTATACACTGATTCAAATCTCATTCAATGATCAATAAATCCTAGCTTAAATAAGCCAATGGGCTGCATATAAAGGATAACTTTTATATAGCTGAACACAGCACTTTTATAGATGCTGTACTCACATCGCTCTGGAGGTCATAGGCCTGCCGAGCATGGATGACGTCGTTCTGGTCAGGCAGGCATATCCACTCATGCAGGTAGTTCTTATAGTCTATGTCACTGACTAAGGTCTGGCACTTCTTGGCCAGAACAACCCCCAACATGTCCACTGGGCTGCTGAACTTGGTCTTCCACTTCTCAAAGTCCTTCTTGTACTCCCTGTCACTCTGGATCTTGGCCACATGCATGGACCACATCATCTTGGGGTCATCCTTGATGTCCCGGGCTCCAATGTGGTGGCCAAGTTGCTTGCGGTAACCATCTTTGTATATGTACTGAGATGAAAACACACAAATCAGGTTTTTATCATAAGTCCTTCAAGGTCAAAAGTGTGTACAAAATCACCTTGCTTACATCAAAACTGTAAGTTGGCTTTTTCTAATAAACGTTAATCAAGCTGGTATCTTGACCTTTACCCTTGAATCTTACAGAGCTAAGAACGTAGATGGAATCTGTGTAATTGTAATGCATCCTCAAAATCACCTCTGGCCTAATAATAAGGAATAATTTTGGAGGCAGGTTGTGCTCACAGGGTTAGAGGCCATTTGAATAAGGAAACTAGGACAAATGAATTTTAGGCACTAAAAGCATGTCAGGAACGAGTCGCACCTGATAACATGGTGTGTGTAATAAGTCATAAAATGAGTATCTGGTTACTAGAAGGATGAAGGACTCTAGGTCAAGGACCAAGTTTAGTACTAGTATACTAGTTACTATAAGATAATAAAGTAAGAGTATACCATTAGTGTATTAATATAATACTAGTATTATTATACTAGTAAAGCTGATGTAGCAGTCCAAATGGTTAGAACATGCTCTAGAAAACTCATGGGTTCTAGCCCCAGATGGGCCAAGAATATTTTTACCATTCCATGTCCAATGATGTCTTGGGATCTAAGCCAGTTATTCAAAACACATGCCTCTAGTCTCAAAGATAGTATAGATGGGTCAGCAGGAGGCAATATGGTAGAATGGGAAGTAATGAGGTTGTCTGGAGTTTCAACTCCACCACCTACAAGGAGTTTGATTTTAGACAAGTTGCTTCAGCAACCCACAAAACAGGGATAATGACAATACTTATACCCTAGGACAGTTATGAAGTGTACATAAGATAATGCATGTCGAGCTCTTAGCACAGAGTTCTCAACACTTCCTAGTTATTCCTGCTATTATTATTGACATAAATCCATTTGTGGGGAAGGTCCAACATACATAAACTAAAGTGAGTCACTAACACAACATTAAGGGCACCGTATTACCATATTCCAAAATAGTGGGCCTTGATATTTAGAGCAGTGGTCTGTTCGACAAGAATCTTCTGAGGCACCATGAAAGGATGATGATTTTATTCTGGGAGGTATGTGTTAGACAGCCAGGAGCTGTTATTAAGGGTACAACCTTAGGTTAGTAGCCACCTCTGGTATCAATCAACTGCCTTCGTTTTTAATCTTAAAAGGGTGAATTACAAAATCAAGTGTCAAATCAATTTTGTGAATATTGTATATTAAAATGTTATACAGAGCCAGGACCTGATTCTCACTGGGAGTACTTAAGTTTATGAGTTATACTTTCCATAAGCATGGTGTTAATTTTTAGATCTCCAAGCCTGCAGCTGTACTCTAGTAATTTCCATGAGTGGATCTTTCTCCATTTTTGGTGGGTCAGTGTCCATTGAATATACTGTGTCCTAAAAGTTATAACCCCTTTTATGAACATCCAATTTTTCACTTCCTTCAAAACTAGGTTTTTTGAAAAATCCCACATAAATACAATAGGTCATGTTTCCAAGGGCAAGAAGTTCTTTTTGAAGATTTAGTTCAGTATAAGTGTCAGTTCAGACTGATTATAAACTTGGGGCAATACTGAAACTCACATCACTGGCAATGTCCCTGGAGGCCTTGGCTGCCACGATTGGGATGGCATCGCTTCGCAGGTCATAGCCTTTCTTCTTTGCTTCTTCATGGGCAAGTTTATACAGACTCTAAATTGGGGCAAAAGAATATATAATTATACATCAGTTAGATTTTGACATTCTTATCCAAAAACTGACAGGTGACTAAAATAATTCACTAAGTTCTTCCTAGGTAGGCACCTATACTAATCTTATTCTGAGACTTCTAAGCCTTTGCGTTATTTGCTGTAGACTTAAAAAGGATACATATATAGAACATTGCAGCTTTGTTTTGTACTTTAAGACTTATTTTGAATTAACTAAATATAAATATTACCCAGTGTTTCAAAATTTTTAGTTATACCCATGAATCAGTTTTTTTTAAGTTTATTTATTTATTTTGAGAGAGGCAGAGATAGCATGAGTCAGGGAGGGGTAGAGAGAGGGGGAGAAAAGAATCCCAAGCAAGCTCTGCACTGTCAGCATGGAGCCCAATGTGGGGCTCGAAGTCACAAAACCATGAGATCATGACCTAAGCTGAAACCAAGAGTAGGATGCTTAACTGACTGAGCCACCCAGGTACCCCTAATGAATCAGTTTTGAAGAGAACTAAAAAATTAAGCTGAAACTCATGGGTCTAAGGTGGCAAAATATGGATATAGAGGGAAAGACTTGATTAACTATTGATCATGGAAATTAATTCACTCTACACCTATTCTGCCCCAATTTTGTGCTGTGACTGTGTGGGACTCAAAGAAGAGTATGAGGCCTCTCCCATCATCAGGGTTTCAGGGAGAACTGACGAAAAGACTGATAACCTACAGACTAGGCTACCAATAAAGGTGATTTAACCATACTGTTAGGAAAGAGCTCCAGGAAGGAGTAATTAATCCTGAATTAAGAATCAGGAAAGTGGGGCACCTGGGTGGCTCAGTCTGCTAAGCATCCGACTTCGGCTCAGGTCATGATCTCAGAGTTTGTGGATTCGAGCACCGTGTCAAGCTCTGTGCTGACAGCTCGGAGCCTGGAGCCTGTTTCAGATTCTGTGTCTCCCTCTCTCTCTGCCCCTCCCCTATTCATGCTCTGTTTCTGTCTCAATAATAAATAAACTTCAAAAAAAAAAAAAAAGAATCAGGAAAGTTCCTGCAGACGGATTGATCTTTGCATTAGACCTTGAGTGATGAGTAATGAGTATGGTTTCAGGAGACTGAGATGGGAGTCAAGGGCAGAGGGAGTTGCATAAATCAAAGCACAAGGGAGTGATGGTGCAGGAGTATCAAAGAAAGGGGGGAGCAGTGCCAGGGATAAGTGCAAGAGAAGACAAAAGAATCTGGAGTTGGACTGAAGGCTTGGTGCTAAAACAAGTTTGTGCTTGATTCCACAGGAAATAGGAAACCATCAATAATCTTTGAGGAAGAGTGACATAATCAAATCAAGTCAAATAAATCTGCATTTTATCTTCCTATCCTAAATGGAAAAAAATTACAAAAGAATTGAACTAATCTGAGAGAGAAAAGACCAAGAAAGCAGCCGGGGTAGGTTAGGCATTCAGTTCAGGGCATTCTCCCTGGGTCTCTTCCAACCAACAGCAACAGTACAGCATCTCTGAGCTTCTGTAGCAAAGACAGAGTCCAGAATTCCAGAAATGCTGAGTGGCTACTTACAGAGGCTCTTTGTCTCCTTAAATTCCAACACATGCAATACATGCTTTCCTGTAACAATACAGCACTTATGTCATAGCTTTTGCTAAAAAATTCACTCTTTTTTGCTTTGCAAGTAGGACTTGATGTTTTTTTGTTTCTGGTGACAGTTGAAAGTTAGTTATGTAAGTGCTAAAATTAGTTTATACTTTCCATAATAAAATGACTTAAGAGGGTGGCTCATCTAGCTAAATTCTCTTATGTTATATCATGCAGAAGAGTAATATATGGTTGACTTATGTTTTCAAATAAACGTTATTTTCTTTGCTGGTAGCACAAAGCTGGGAGAAATAACTCGTACATCAGCTGACAGAAAGATTATGTAGGTTCATAAAAATCTCCACAGGCTTAAACCAATAGGCTTAATCTAAGAAGAAGAAATTGCACAGAGATAAATGTCAATCTTTAAACTGATTTTAAACCGAATTTAAGTTGCCTAATGTGTAAATTCAGGCTAGAGGAAACCTAGCTTAAGCCCAAGCAAAATGTCTTAGGGTTTCAGCTGATCCCAAGCTCCATGTGCCCCAGCAGTGGTATAGCTCCCAATGCAGAAATGGAGGTCAAATGTCCATAAGAGGAAATAAGATGTCAACTATATTCTGTACTTGCAGAATTTTGTTTGGTTTGGAGGGTCACATTCTAGCAGGAGTGTCATGTGAAGAATGCCCAGGAACTGGGGATGTTGGATTAGAAAGTGAACTTGGGGTGAGGTGGCAGGGGAGGCACCACAGTAGCCATGCTCATCTCCATGGAGTTGGCAGAGACTGCTTTTGCATAGTCTCAGGAGACTATAGACGTCTGCAGTTTGAGAAGTTTGACTCAATACATCACAAGCATATTTTTTTTTAATATTTTTTAATTATTTCTGAGAGAGAGAGACAGTGTGAACAGGGGAGGGTCAGAGAGAGAGGGAGACACAGAATCCGAAACAGGCTCCAAGCTCTGAGCTAGCTGTCAGCAGAGAGCCCGACGAAGGGCTGGAGCCCACGAACCATGAGATCATAACCTGAGCCAAAGTCGGAGGCTTAACCGACTGAGCCACCCAGGTGCCCCCATAAGCATATTCTAATGGAATTTTTCCACAACACATGGGCTGATTTAAGAGATAAATTCGTTGTCACTAACAACACTTAAGCAAAGGCAGGATGACAACCTGTTAGGTGGGGACTCTTGTACTAGAAGAGAGGCTGACCTCTCAGGCTAAAACATCTGTGGTTCTGACATGAAGGCACATGGCCCCATGCTCACAGAGGGTGAAAAGGAAATGGGCTCGCTGATATATACCCTGGCAGATCCTCTGTTTCTGTCTCCTTCTCTCAGTGTTATTTGATAATACTGTAATTTTAACCCTGACTTAATTTTATACATTAAAAATCTTAAAAATTGACTTTAAACCACAATTTGGAAAAAATAAATCATATATGGAAAATAGACTTAGCACAGTGATACAGCATAAGGAGGTGATAAATGTACAATCTATTGCTAATTTCCCAATTAAAAAAATTAATAAAAGAAAAAGCTTTGATAATTCTTATGGTTACTGCTTAAATCATTAGTTCTTATTATTGTCACTTTGTAAGTGATAATTCATATTACTTGAAGTTTGATGTTTAGGATGAGAACTGAGAAATGCAGGAGTTGCTATTCACACTGAGCAAGAAAAAAGATTCTTTATACAACTGTTATTTAGTATTACCTCATCTGGGACAGATTAACTGAAATAAGAAACCACATGCAAACTCCATAGAATTAGTATCTGCTCCTACCTCACTGTAGTTGATTTTGTTCATTCTTGCCAACATAATTTCTGGTGTGTCTGGCATGATGTGGATCTGGGTCTTGTCTTTGTCCCATGCTTCCGTGTATAAACGCTATCAAAGAAAATATTTAAGGCATCGGAAAAAAATTCAGTGTATAGTTAATAAGAATTTAGGGCCACAAGAATTTTATAAACAAAAATAACAAGAGGTTATGCATTTTATACGCATGTATGGTAGACACATCTTCAAGTAATCAGTTCATAGAACAGATATTTGAGTGACTTATGATCTTCTTAAATGTATGTTAGCAAAAGGAAATTGAGGATAACTTTTATGCAAAGAAAATCTTCCATAAAAATGTTTTTTAGCAAAACCATAATTACTGAAGTAAATAAATATAAATGCTACATATATCAGATAAATAGATATGGATGGATGGGTAGATAGATTAGATAGATAGTCTTTTGTTGCTCAATGCTTTCTTTCTTTTCCTGATTACATTTCTTTTTCTTTGACTTTGCTTTTAGGGGTCCTCCTACTTTGGTTCTCTGAATTTTGAAGCCTTACCTTGTTCATGTTAATGGCATTATTCTTGGCTAACACTTGTTCCAAAGAATCAGTCACACTGGTAAATTTGAATCTGTCTGGAGGTTGGCGATAGATTTTATCACTCAAAATTTCAGATGCCCTTTTGCATTTTTCCACATCCAAAGAGCCAATAGGAACCCAGCCGATGCCTCTCAACCATTGGAGATCCGACTTGTACATATTCTGTTGACACAAATAGCCAATAAAATTTTATTTTTGCATTGGGAAAATATTTTTATCAAAGGATATGAAATAAAGATCATTCTTGAAAATTCAGCTTAATAGAGAGACAGCATGTCTGACAACACTCTTTTTTGGTCTGGAAGTTTAAATAATTAGTCCACACAAGGAAAGAAGAAATGCTATTCCTGCCTTACAGGAGCTGGTAAGCTTGGTTCCACCTATCGCTACCTTCTCCAAGGACTGTTAATTCACTTTTGCACATCATTATGATTCTTAGGTACTCACATCGCTCTGGAGATCATAGGCTTGCCGAGCATGGATGACGTCGTTCTGGTCAGGCAGGCATGTCCATTCATGCAGGTAGTTCTTATAGTCTATGTCACTGACTAAGGTCTGGCACTTCTTGGCCAGAACAACCCCCAACATGTCCACTGGGCTGCTGAACTTGGTCTTCCACTTCTCAAAGTCCTTCTTGTACTCCCTGTCACTCTGGATCTTGGCCACGTGCATGGACCACATCATTTTAGGATCATCATGTATTGCTCGGGCACCAATGTGATGGCCAAGCTGCTGACGATAGCCTTCTTTGTACTTGAACTAGAAGAAAAAAAACACAGTCAACTATTTTGGCTGTTAGCAAAAAGCAGTTACTAGGCCCCAATTTTCCTATTCATTAAAAATGTAATGATTTCCTCCTGAACATATATATATATGCACTTTGTAAACCCTTTAGAAAATGAAAATGGATACAAAAATGAAAATAAAGACATTATTCTACCATTCAGTGACAATCATTTTAAAACGGATTTTTAGAGTGTGTGTGTATGGCAGAATAAAATTAGGAGTCCTATTGTATATACCTGCTTTTTTTTTTATTGAATAAGCATTCTTGTGTCATAAAATATTCTCTACAAACATGAATTTTAATGGCAGCAGATATTACCTTATGTTGCTATCTGTTAATACTTTTAACCCTTCTCTGATTATTAAACATTTTTAAATTATGATGGTTACTTCCCATATTTTGGAAATGGAAAATATATTTTTAAGCTCATGGACTAATGAAATAGAAAGATAAACATTTCTAGAAATGTGAGCAAAGCTGTCACTTAAAATAAATGTTGGCAACCAATCACTGGACACAGAAGTAAACATATGGTATGTGTGGATGGATAATGAATAATGTGTCCCATTCACTCACCCCTTATAGGTTCACTGGTTCATAAGGCATGGATTTTTTTCTGAAGGAATCCTACAATGAATTCAATTGTATATATGAATATATCATGTGGAATAGCCCAAAGGGTGTCTGAACTATAGTCAAGTATCTAATGTTTTTGTTCAGCAGGAAATGGACAGTATTTTGAAATGCATGTTGCTATGGACTCAAAGATAGCTTTGTGTTGAGAATTTCATTACCATTATTTTACTTAGAAAAAAGACTGTTAGACCCATCCCATAGGATGGTACACACTGCCAACGAGTGTTGAGCACATTCTCTTTGCAACCAAACATCTTGTTCACCGTCATGGACAAGGGCCTAATACAGTGTCTGGAACATCATTTAACCGACATCAGCAAAGGCTTCTTAAACGAATGACATTTCCATTCTTGCCTCAACTTGTGGCTCACCCAGCTGAGCCAATACTAACCTGTGTTATTCTGAAGACATGGATCTGAAACTTGTTCCCTGGTCTAAGAAGATAGAACTAAGTAAAAGGGAAATGTAATGCCCCAACCCCAATATCCCAAGAGCCAATATCAACTGCTAAAGGGCCTGATTCATCAAATGACACTCAAGATCTTCTGACAACTGCCCAATTATCAAAGATCTTTTCTAAAATATATTTCACATCACTTTTTAATATGTTATTTTGTTTGTATCGCTAAAAGTCTGGCTTAAACTCTGCTGAAATAAAGCTATAACATACAAAAAAAAAAAAAAAAAAAAGACTGTTAGCAAGAACTTTAACCTCATAGCTTACTTGCTCTACTATATATTCAGGAAAGAGAAAGACATCTGAGCCAAAGCCAAGGCAAAGAACTTTTTAGATGCACTTACTTCACTTGCAATGTCTCTGGAGGCCTTGGCTGCCCTAATGGGAATGGCATCCAACCGCATATCATAGCCTTTCTTTTTGGCTTCTTCTAGGCCAAGTTTATACAGTTTCTGAGAAAGACACAGATCATCATAAGTTTGACTTGTAAAGTGCAGTATAAGCAAAATGCATCATGCACAAGGAATATATTGCTTACCTCACTGTAATTTATTTTGTTTTGTTTAGCTAGTAAAACTTCAGGAGTATCTGGCATAATGTGGACAGTGGTTTTGTCTTTATCCCAAGCTTCTGTATAGAGGCGCTACAACAAACAAAAAAGATGTGACTAGTATAGGCTAGTAATGAACAGATACATAAAAATAATCTGGTTCTTAATGAGAGTAAAGACAGTCTACTCTGTGAGCTGGTATTAGTGACATCTTTTTTTTTAATCGTTTATTTATTGAGAAAGAGGGAGAGATAGGGAAGGAGGGAGGGAGAGAGAGAATGAGTGGGGAAGGGGCAGAGAGAGAAGGAAAGGGAGAATTCCAAGCAGGCTCTGCACCGTCATCATAGAGCCTGACACAGGACTCGAACCCACAAATGTTGAGATCATTATACGGCCTGAACTGAAATCAAGAGTGGGATGCTTAACCAAATGAGCCACCTGGGCACCCCTGTATTTGTGACATCTTTAGGTCTAGATGTCTTATATCAGTAAGAAGCATACGGCATGTAAAAACCACTTTAGTGTGAAGCAATATAACTAAATATGATTTTTCTTTTATAAAAACAGATTACCGTGTTTACACACACACACACACACACACACACACACACACACACAAACACCCCATTCAAGTGAAGACTTACATGGTTCATGGTAATAGCATTGTTTTTTGCCAAAACCATTGGGATGGAGTCCATAAGGCTTGAAAACTTGAATTTATCTGGGTGCTGACGGTAAACATGATCACTCAAAATCTGGGAAGCTCTCTTGTTCTTCTCATCCTCAAGAGAGCCACTGGGTAGCCAGCCAATGCCTCTTAGCCACTGAAGGTCAGACTTGTACAAATTCTGAAATTGTAAATGACAAACCACCAAAGCATAAGTATATGCCCCTAAAGAAATAAAATTATGTATTATATTTTACTACATATTCTCATGCTTGAATGCTTGGGAAATTTACAATTTTAGTATGTCTTATGAATCAATGGAATATTCAAATTAGAAGCATATTTTGGAAAACATTTAAAATGGCAGAACAAAGAGAGTGATCCAACTCTTCTAGATCAACATATCAGAGTCTTTAACCAAAGCAAAGGGGGCTTTGCCTGCTCTTTCTCTGTGGGTATTGGTGCCTCCAGATATTTGGGACCTTAGATAGGGTGTGGGCATTAATCTAGGGATATAGAACTCAGTTGTGTAGACTCAACTCCCCTTACTTTAGGGAAAATTTGATTCTTAGGAAAGTGGTTATGGTGTTTAGTTGGCCAAAGGAAAATCTTGGACTCACATCACTCTGGAGGTCATAGGCCTGCCGAGCATGGGTGACATCATTCTGGTCAGGCAGGCATGTCCACTGATGTAGATAGTTCTTATAGTCCACATCACTGACCAGGGTCTGGCACTTCTTGGCCAGCACCAACCCCAGCATGTCTACTGGGCTGCTGAACTTGGTCTTCCACTTCTCAAAGTCCTTCTTGTACTCCCTGTCACTCTGGATCTTGGCCACGTGCATGGACCACATCATCTTAGGGTCATCTTTGATGTCCCGGGCTCCAATATGGTGGCCAAGTTGCTTGCGAAAGCCTTCCTTGTACTTGTACTAAAGGAAAAAAATATATCTTATTCCTTTCAAGATTAACTTATGCTGCAATTACAAAGCACATTAACTCCAGCTACAAATATCATACTTAATAAACTTCATACAAATTCCAGCTACAAATACTTTGAGTTTGTCCTTATCCCACCCCACATCTCTAGGATCATTTCACTCTGTTTTAATTTGTTATTCCTTGGAAGATTCTTTTCAATTTAAAATTAAATCGAGAATGCTTTAAAGTGATAAATTGCAATCAAATCAGTATAAACAGGGGATAAAGTCTTACTTCACTGGCAATTTCTCGGGATGCTTTTGCTGCTTTGATTGGTATGGCATCAAGGGGGAGATCGTAACCTTTTTTCTTCAATTCCTCATAACCCATTCGGTAGAGTTTCTGTTAAGAGATGAAGATCACTTTGGGAAAAACTATTTTCCAGAAACAACTGTAGCAGAATGAATGCAACATACTAAATATTTAAAGACTCCCTGACAATACTATCTGCTCTAGAACACTCAAATGTAATTGGAAATTGTGCCCATTGATTGCTACAGATCCTATTTTAAACCTTAAAGCTATTTAATTACCCAGATCAACAGAATTAAATATCAGCTCTTCCCAAATACTTCTGAGTATGAAGCAGAAGCAAATTGATAGAGAAAGGAAATAAAATATCCTTTAGGTGCCATTTTCCAATTACCTTTGAGTGTTTCACTAGAGGTTTTTGTTAGAAGAGAGCAATGACTTTAGTGGGGAAAAATTAAGCCTAATGGGCTGTCTCTTCATGTGGCTCAGGCATTATAAAATAGAGTCTATTTCACAATATAGGGCTGTCCATAGCAGGATCCACATCTGTAGGTAAGAAACAAAATCCTTCATAATTTTTTAAATCTAAGATTTTGGGGAAGAAACTTTAAATGTTGAATTTAAAAAGTTTAAATGAAACAATTTGCTTCTTCAGATTTGTTACATAATTAAACAAGTGAAAATTTAATGCATTCTATCCAGAAATCAGGTGGTTTAAAATGCCTATTGATCCTGGAACGTGTTTATATTTTAGTCATGTGGCATTATTCTAATACATTATTTAATGTTTAAGTCTTTCTATTAGAGTTTTGTCTTTAAAATATTTAATTTTTACATCCACAGATTTCAGGAGATCATGCTATGACGATAATAAAAATAAAAATGGAATTCTCCTTAATGGTTTTTTTATGATTGTTCATTTGAAATTTCATGTATGTTGGGCAACATACTAGCTAAACACTGCAGGCCCAATACCAACACAAATTGTCTCTGACTCTGAGAAGCACCCGTCCACATAGGGGAGAGCAATATAAACCATTACATTATGATGATATGTGCAATAAAGGACTACAAGGAACAGACAGCACACACCCTTAACTCTGCCTGAGACACAGAGTGCTAATTAGATATTTAAGCTAAAAGCTACTAAATAAGAAATTTAAGTCACATGTAGTTTATTAATTAAAATGATTCAGACATTCAGATTACTTCCAAATAATTCACTGCCTTAGAAATAGTTACAATGAGCTTTCTGAAAGCACATGCTGAATTTGGAAAACTTACATCACTTGTATTGATTAAGTTTGCTTTAGCCTGAATAATGTCAGGTGTATCAGGCATGATGTGGATCTGAGTCTTGTCCTTGTCCCAAGCTTCTCTATAAAGTCTCTAAAATGTGAAATAAGAGATTTCCAGTGGTTTCGTTAGATTAGTCAACAACATCATTAACTTCAAACAGGATTACTAAATTCATCTGAATTAAGCATTTTAACTGACAGAATAAGCAAAATATAGGTAACAGTATTTTTTTTTTATTTGATTGGGGCATAACTGCCTTTCAAAACATAAAGTATGGATTACCTTTTCAAAGTTACAAATAACCCTGCCTATTAGAAATCAACCTAAGTAACCAGAGTCTTTGCCAAGATCATCAAATAAAGCAGAAGTTCTTCATCTGATTGTAAAAGTCTCTTTCGGTGTTTAATTGGGAAATAGCTCTTCCCTTCTCAAAAGAAGATCTATTCAAGGCATATCTAGAAATTAGGGGGTTGCATTCCCTAGGTTTTATTATTTATAGTTATACCTTATAAGTATTTGGGGGGATTAGGATCCCAAGAGAATTTTGTATGGAATTTATCCAAAATCTCCTAAATATCCCAGAGCCATCCTCTGTCTTTTTTCAACAGAAGACAGGGAACCCAAACAAAAATCTCACTGATTTACTAACACAAGGGAGTAAAATGTTTGATGACAGGATGCTTACACTGTCAGAGAATCCCCCCACAAGATACTTATCAATTCCAAAAGATAAAACAGTAATTTGACAGTGGAGAAACTTCATACACCATTTTAACCAGGTGACCAAAATAAAAATGATCAGTAATGGAACAAACTGGTCTTATGCATCATCTGATATGACATATCGTGGAGGATGCCACACGTGCTGTTCTGCTAAAAGTACAAAACATGAATGTAATCATGAGGGTACAAAAGACAGACCCGAATTGAGGGAGATTCAACAAAATGACTGGCCATGCTCTTCTCCAATGTCAGGGACTTAGAAGGCAAAGCAATAGTGAGGAGTCAGTCCAGATTACAGGAGACTACAGATACGACAAGCAAATTTATTGCATGATCTTGGATTGAATCCTGGGTAAGAAAATAGTTTTTATTTTGTGTAAAGAACATTCATGGTAAAATTGATTAAGTTCTATAGACTAGTATTGTTTCAACACTAATTTCTTGATTTTGGTCACTGCACTGTTATGTAAGACAAATGTTCTCATTTTCAGGAAATACACACTGAAATATTTAGGGATAGAGAGGTATCATAAAGCAACTTACATATATATGAAAGAAAAATAGGGAGGGAAAGTGGGGGGAAGCAAATGTGATAAATGGGGTGAAGATACATAGACATACATAAATATATTTTTATTGTGTATACATATAAATTATTTATACTTTTTTTTAACAACTTTTCTGTATGCTTGAATATTTTCAATATGCACAATTTTAGAACTCTCATTGGTTTCTTGGACTTGTCAATTTCCCCTTGAGGCATGCAGTGTGGGGTGTAGGGTTGGTACTCTTCTCCTTCCTGAACATGCTTACTACAATCCACATAGTCCAGAGGAGCTGATTAAGATCTTCAGACCAAAACAAAGCAAGGCTTGTGAATTTGCACAGGCACTTACCCTGGTTGTGCACTAGCCCTTCTGATTAAGAACAGAGATTCTCAACCTCAGCATTACTAGTGCCGTATACTGGAGAATTCTTGGTTGTAGGGGTGCGGTCCTGTATGTTTCTGGTATGTTTAGCACCATCCCTGACTTCTATCCACTAGCTGCCAGTAGCATGCCACCCTCAAGTTGTGACAATGGAAAAGGTCTCTACATGTTGCTGAATGTTCCCTGTAGGACAAAACTGTACCTAGCTGAGAACCACTAAGTGGGACCATTTCCTCAATGGCAAGTGTTGCTTTCACCACAACCCCTCCCCTGCTCCCTGAAAAACAGAGAAAATGCTAATGTTTGTTTATACTGAGAGAGAAGTATTGATCTATTCAAAAGGACGGATAGCAGGCTCAAGGATCCAAGTGACCCTCTTCTGATGCCTGACGGAATCAGTGTCTTTGCCTTCCTATACCCAGGGCGCACTGTTGAAGAGGTCTGTTGTGAGACATTAATTCTGATAAACTTCATGACTGAGGGTTTTTCTCTTGGCCACCTTATTAGTTCAGTGCTTTATAAATAGCCCTGTCTCATAGAGAGAAAAGAAACTTGGAACCCAAAGGGGGTGATGTTTTGCATATATTTGTTGCTTTATTAGCTTGTTGGATTCAAGCTAATCATAAAAATAAGCACAAAAAAAAAAAAAAAAAGAGTGGGCCTGGGTGGCTCAGACGGTTGAGTGTCTGACTTCGGCTCAGGTTATGATCTCGCGGTTTGTGGGTTCAAGCCCCGCGTCAGGCTCTGTGCTGACAGCTAGCTCAGAGCCTGAAGCCTGTTTCAGATTCTGTCTCCCTCTCTCTCTGACCCTCCCCTGCTCATGCTCTCTCTCTCTCAGAAATAAATAAAACATTAAAAAAGTTAAAAAGACAAAAAAAAAAAAAAGAGAAGAGATGAAAATTTGAATATTTATAATAAAGCTAACAGGTCAGCATTTATTATAGATTTTGGATGTAAACATTGTGAAAAGTCTGAGGGGTTGATTGGGAAAAGAGTAGCTACAATTTACCAAATGTTAACTATAAGCTAGTTATGAGCTTTATATAAACACTAATATATGTGATATGTGTAAAATAAATAGCTATTATAAGTATTCAGATCCTTCTAAGACTCAAACAATTATTATATATAAATTTAAACTTTCTTGTCAGTTCCAGAATCTCTGTGCACATAATTCAAGTATCTGTAATTTTCAGAGTTATGCTTTTCACTGAACAATGATGACTAATCTTTCCCTTCTTTGCATAGAATTACTCTACACTACTATCTTTCATTTATTTTATTCAATAAATTTTGAGAGTTACAGGTTAGACACTGCTATCAGTGTGGGAGAAGGAAATAATTTGAAGATGGGATACACACACATAATATGTATGTGTATATGTATATATGTATGTATATGGTTCTCTACTTGTCTTGATTCGGCTTAACAAGATACATTATAATCACTTGGCAGAAAATATACTCTTTTTAACAGTTCCACTTCATCTGTGCAAAGTACTCAAAATACTGCCCTCTCAAACACTCTATTCCAACACCACCACAAATCTAGATCGTTAATGCTTTCAAGTTTCAAAGGAAAAAGTATGTTCAATAGTTTTCGCATTTTCATAATGGATGGATGGATGGGATGGATGGATGGATGGATAAATAGAGAAATAAATAAGTAAATAAAGAAGAAAGATTTAGGTGACAAAAAATGACAATAACTCCTTTTACATGATCCAGTGCAGGTAGTTGATCATTCACATGAAGTAACCAGGTATTAAATATTATGTTATGTTGTGCCAAGCGGTATGATATGCTATGCTATTCTACTAATTAATTAAGCAAATGCTTTGAGCACCTACCAGGTATCAGGTACTATAATTTTCCTATTTCTAAAGAGTTACTCACGTCACTCCTATTTTTGGCATTTGTCTTTGCCAAAACTATGTCCATGGCATCAGGAATGCTGGTAAACTTGTTCCTGTCTGGAGGCTGACGGTATTTCTTCTCACTGATGATATCTGAAGCCCGTTTGTTCTTTTCTGCCTCCAAAGAACCCAGGGGACTCCATCCTATGCCTCTCAGCCACTCAAGGTCAGACTTATACAGATTCTGTGAAAATACAAGGCACTCCATCAAAATCCCATCCTCATCTGGACCCTTGATTCAAGTGATTCTATGTATTGCAAACAGATGTATTTTAGATATTCAACACTAATTCTTTTTACTCTCTGTGACTTAATAGCTACTCAAACAGCAACATATAAGCTACTGAATTAAAAACAAACAGACCTCACTCTGTAGTTGATAAACTTTTTTAGCTTGAATAACATCATTCTGGTCAGGCAGGCACGTCCACTGATGCAGGTAGTTCTTATAGTCCACATCACTGACTAAGGCCTGGCATTTCTTGGCCAGCACGACTCCTAACATGTCCACTGGGCTGCTGAACTTGGTCTTCCACTTCTCAAAGTCCTTCTTGTATTCCCTGTCACTCTGCATTTTGGCTACATTCATGGACAATACAAGCTTTGGATCATCTTCCAGACTCCGGAATCCAATATGGTGGCCAAGTTGTTTGCGGTAGCCTTGCTTGTATTTAAACTGAAATCAAAGGAAACAATTCTCTTATTAACATAAAAAAAGGTCAAGTGAAGCTCAACAACTTTAGCTTAATTAGCAGCTCAATTTGCTTTGTTTGCATGTTTATTTTACACAACTGAAGTGAGAAAAGGGATGTCAATGTTAACTTAGTAAGAAATGTAAAAACTGACCTAGAGGCTTTGAAAGAAATGCAATGTAGTTTATTATCAAGAGGTTATGATGAAAAATTAATTCTAACTAGAGGCAAGAAACACATGCCATGGTATGCTAGACATTGTGTATGCTGACCTCAGGGTAATATTTATGATAAACAAAGGTAAAGCTCTTGTGATAGCTTTATGGGAATGATGGAAAGGTGTGGGCTTAATTCACAAAACAAGGAAGGTTCAGGACTTAATTAACAAGCCTAATAGTATAGATTAATTTATTAAGCAGTAGGATTTTTGGTGGTTTGCCATATGGTTATGTCCTATAAACTTGTCTTGTTCAGGATCCATATCTTCATGCACATGTAGCTAAAAATAGCTAAATAGATTAGAAAGAAAACTCCACAAGGTCTCAACATATTGCTAGGATGAGTCAAAATGAACTACATAAATTCAGGAAAAGTGAAATCTAGTAGTTTGATGAATTGGGAAAAACCTGCATTAATGCTGGATGACAATAGCAAGTGACAATAATAATGATAATAACAGCATTTACTTGACACTAGAGTCCTAGCACACCCTACATTTCATGGAGTTAGGTTCTACTCTCTTGGGTTCTACCGAGCTTCATGGTTATGTATATTACAAATACTCAGAAGTTTAAGTAGACTATAAGCTCAATATGGGCAATCTTATAAAATTTCTTATAACAGTAGTGTCATGGATTCTGTAGGGGCACAGATAAAAGCAAATCAGAAATCATTTACTCTGCGGGTGTTTGGGTGGCTTAGTCAGTTAAGTGTCTGACTTCAGCTCAGGTCATGACCTCACAGTTCATGAGTTCAAGCCCCATGTTGGGCTCTGTGCAGACAGCTCAGAGCCTGGAGCCTGCTTCAGATTCTGTATCTCCCTTTCTCTCTGCCTCTCCCCTGCTTGCACTCTGTCTGTCTCTCAAAGATAAATAAATATTTTTTAAAAATTTTTTCTGGAGTGCCTGGGTGGTTCAGTCAGTTAAGTGCCCAACTTCAGCTCAGGTCATGATCTCGCATTTTGTGAGTTCAAGCCCCATGTCAGGCTCTGTGCTGATAGCTGAGAGTCTGGAGCCTGCTTTGGATTCTTTGTCTCCCTCTCTCTCTCCTCCTCCTCCTCCTCCTTCTTCTCTCTCTCTCTCAAAAATAAACATTTAAAAAATCTTTTTTTCTTTCATAGTTTATTGTCAAGTTGGTTTCCATATAATACCCAGTGCTCATCCCAACAAGTGCCCTCCTCCATGCCCATCTCCCCCCACCCCCCCCACACCCATCAGTCCTCAGTTTGTTCTCAGCATTCAAGAGTCTCTCATGGTTTGTCTCCCTCCCTCTCCCCCACTAATTTTCCCCTTCTCCCCCATGGTCCTCTGTTAAGTTTCTCCTGATCCATTTATAAGTGAAAACATACGGTATCTGTCTTTATCTGCCCGACTTATTTCCCTCAGCATAACACCCTCAAGTTCCATCCATGTTACCACAAATGGCCAGATTTCATTCTTTCTCATTGCCATATAGTATTTCCATTGTATAGATAAACCTTTAAAATCTTAAAAACTTTTTTTTTAATTTAAAAAAAATCAAAAGAAACAAAAGAAGCTCATTTATTCTGACCTGACCTCTCCTAACAGGAAAACAACACTACATTTTGGAGTACTACCTTGAGAAGGATACTGAAAAAAAAATGGAACAAATCACAAGCAGAGTGAAGGACTTTTAACGAATATTGAATATTCAGAATAGCGTAGGACTTATAACACTAAAACCAAAAGAGAATCAGAAACTCGTAATATGAAGAGATATCAGGTAAAGGGGAAATAAGTTACTTAGTGATGTTACGGAACACAGACCTAGAGCTGAGTGACAACATATTCAAGTTCAAAATAGGGAACTATATAATGAGAATTAGAGGTGATCTAACAAGGAAATGACCTGTCCTGAAGTGCACAAAAATTCTTATAAGTGAACGTGTCCATAGACCAGACAACCACCTTTTGGAGATGGAGAGAAGGCAGGACACGGAGTAGGAAACTGAGGTGAATAGCCTTCGTGTTATCTGCTAACCACAGTCTATGGTTCTAATTTATTAAGTACTCCAAAATAGCTCTAATTTCCTTAAATTTTATAGAATATAAAAACCATTTGAGATAGGAACCCTTACCAAATCCAGGAGTTTGGGAGGAAAAGGAGGCAGAGTCCCCTGAGAAAACCTTCTAGCGTGAGTGCGAACTGGGGAAGATAAAATCGGGGCGGGACCAGAGACGCAGAGGGACAGGGGCGATCCCCCTCTGCAGGGAGTGAGAGGGGAAAGAGAGAGGCCGAAACTGCTCAAGGCACGGTCCCTGTAACTGGGGAACAGAAAAACCTCCGCTCGGGACACAGAGGGACCCGGCCGCCTGCTCTCCAGCTGACCCTGGGCGGGACACACTCATCCCACGTGACCCCCGGATAAAACTGCTCCTCACTGGCTAACCCAACCTGGAGGAGACGGGAGCAGCGGCTTCTAGCTCAATCCCCGGGGGTAGGCAAAAGGCCTGGGACTGCCCTGAGGGGCTCGCCTGCGAGTTTGTGTCTCCGGTAATTTCAGTGGGGCGCACAGACTGGGATCCGGAAACGAGGTCTGGCCTGGGATATAGAGTGCGACCCACCTTGGCTGCGCCCCCGGCATGGGGAACTTACACACCCAAAAAAGTGAGTTGCAGCACTTGGTTCAAGAAGGGACTGGGGCGCCACCACTCTTCTCCCCACGACCGCCAAGGCAGAACTCCCGCCTGACACATTGGATCAAACCACGCCCATACTGCTAGAGAGCTGCCCTCCTCCCTTCCTTCTCTTTTCTTTTTTTTTTCTTTTTTTATCGGAGCACCGACCTGATTAATTCTGGTCACTGGCTTTCTTAAACAGTCACATTTAATCCATTCTCTAGATGTTAATTCTACACCTACCTACCTTTTCAACTCTTTCTCTCAGGAGTAATCAGACTATATAGTTTCTCTGGATAACACCATCATCTTTCTCTCACCTCTTCAACTATATTCCACCCTTTCGCTCTTTGAAAAAAGCTTCTTATTCCTTCTGCCTGTTCATTTCATTTCCAGTTTTGTCTCATCCCCGCCCTGTCATCTCTCTCTTTCTCTATGCTCTTCAACCAGCACTGCATACACCCAGCTATTTAACTGTAGCTGGGAAATCTGGTTATATGCCTTAAATTGTTCTTTGTCTATTGGGTTTCTTTTTTTTTCCTTTTCTTCTTTTTGACTTTTTTATGTATTTTTATTTTCTATTATTCACCTTCCCTCCTCCCTCTTTTCTCTTTACTTTTTCGTTTTCCCTTTCAGTTTGTGTGTTTCTTGGATTAGTCTGTGTGTTTGTGTGCCTTTGCTTGCTGTGTGTTTGTCTGTTTTCTTCTCCAGGGCTACCTCAAGAAACAAGCCAAAGTACACACAGTGGAGAGTACCAAATACCACTACGAGTAGGAAAATAAAATAACCAAGGTCTCAACAAGAGAGACCAAGAGATACCATTCAAAAAATACTTTCTGAATGGACAGGCTCTGGACAGTCAAAGAGCCTTCTTTGGTACAGCAGTGCTCACAGGTGCAGAGTGCATAACAAGCTTTTAAAACTAACAAGAGATAGAAAGCTAACCAAAATGATGAAATGAAAGAGCTCTCCTCCAAAGAAATTCCAGGAAGAATTGACAGCTAAAGAACTGCTCAAAATAAATATAAGCAGCATAAGTGAACACGATTTTAGAACAATAATCATAAAATTAATCGCTGGGCTTGAAAAAAGCATGGAGGACATCAAAAAAACTGTGGCTACAAACAACATGGAGCTTAAAAATAGGTATGATGAATTTAAAAATGCGATAAATGAGATACATAATAAACTGGAGGCGTCCAATGCATGGATTGAAGAGGCAGAAAGGAGAATAACTGATTTAGAAGACACCATTATAGAAAAAGAAGAAACTGAGGGGAAAAAAAAGAGACAAACTGATTCAGGAACATGAAAGAAGAGTTCGAGAGCTCAGCGATACAGTCAAACACAACAGTATCCGTATCACAGGAATCCCAGAAGAGGAAGAGAGAGGGAAAGGTGCTGAAGGAGTCCTGGAACAAATTATAGCAGAGGACTTCCCCAACCTGGGGAGGGAAGTAGATGTTGAAATTCAAGAGGCACAGAGAACTCCCCTCAGACATAATTTGAATCGATCTTCTGCATAGTGTATTATAGTAAAAATGGCAAAATATAAGGACAAAGAGAGAATTTTGAAAGCAGCTAGGGAGAAAAGGACCCTAACATACAAAGGGAAACCTATCAGAGTGGTGACAGACCTATCTACTGAAATGTGGCAGGCCAGAAAGGAATGGCAGGAGATCTTCAATATGATGAACAGAAGAAATGGGCAGCCAAGAATCCTCTATCCAGCAAGCCTGTCATTCAGAATAGAAGGAGAGATAAAAGTCTTTCCAAATAAACAAAAATTGAAAGAACTTGTCACCACTAAACCAGCCTTACAAGAAATCCCAAGGGGGACTCTCTGAGGGAAGTGTTGCAAGGAACGCAAGATATCAGAGACACCACCACAAGCATGAATCCCACAGAGGACACAATGACTCTAAACCCACATATTTCAATAATAACACTGAATGTAAATGGGCTGAATGCTCCAATCAAAAGACATAGGGTAGCAGAATGGATAAAAAAACAAAATCCATCTATTTGCTGTCTACAAGAAATGCATTTTAGACTGGAAAATACCTTCAGATTAAAAGTAGGGATGGAGAAATATATATCATGCTACTGGAAGTCAAAAGAAAGCAGGAGTAGCTATACTTATATCAGACAAACTGAACTTTAAATTAAAGACAATAACAAGAGACGAAGAAGGGCACTACATAATAATTACAGGGTCCATCCATCAGGAAGGACTAACAATCATACATGTCTACGCACCGAATATGGGGGAACCTAAATATTTAAAACAATTAATCACAAACAGAAACAATCTTATAGATAAAAATGCGCTAATAGCAGGGGACTTTAATACTCCGCTTACAGCAATGGATCATCAACCAGACAGAAAATCACTAAAGAAACAATGGACTTGAATGATACACTGGACCAGATGGATCTGACAGATATATTTAGAACTCTACATCCTGAGGCCATGGAATTTACTTTCCTCTCAAGTGCACATGGCACATTCTCCAAGACAGATCACATACTGGAACATAAAGCAGCCCTCAATAAATATAAAAGAATTGAGATCATACCATGCACACGTGCAGATCATAATGCTTTGAAACTTGAAATTAATCACAGGAAGAAGTCTGGAAAACCTCCAAAACCATGGAGGTTAAAGAACACCCTACTAAAGAATGAATGGGCCAATCAGGCAATTAGAGAAGAAATTTAAAAATATATGGAAACAAATGAAAATGAGATTACAACAATCCAATCTCTATGGGATACAGCAAAGGCAGTCCTAAGAGGAACTTAGGAACATTGCACTCCAGGCCTATTTTAAGAAATTAGAAAAAGTGCAAGTACAAAATCTAACAGTGCACCTAAAGGAACTAGAGGCAAAGCAACAAGAGCACCACAAACCCAGTAAAAGAAGAGAAATAGGAAAAATCAGAGGTGAAATAAACAACATAGAGACAAAAAAAAACAATTGAAGAGATCAATGAAACCAAGAGTTGGTTTTATGAAAAAATAAACAAACTTGACAAACCTCTAGCCAGGCTTCTCAAAAAAAAAAAGGGAGAGCACCCAAATAGACATAATCATGAATTAAAGTGGACTTATTACAACCAACCGCTCAGAAATACAAGCAAAAATCAGGGAATACTATGCCAACAAGTTGGACAACTTAGAAGAAATGGACAAATTCCTAAACACACACTCACTACCAAAATTCACACGGGAAGAGATAGAAAATCTGAACAGACCCATAACTAGTGAGGAAATCGAATCAGTTATCAAAAATCTCCCAACAAATAAGAACCCTGGACCAGATGGCTTCCATGGGGAATTCTACCAGAAATTTAAAACAGAATTAATACCAATTCTAATCAAGCTATTCCAAAAAATAGAAATAGAAGGAAAACTTCCAGACTCATTTTATGAAGCCAGCATCACTCTGATTCCCAAGCCGGACAGAGATCCAGCAAAAAGAGAGAACTACCGGCCAATATCCTTGATGAATACGGATGCAAAACCCCTCAACAAGATACTTGCAAATTGAATCCAACAGCACATAAAAAGAATTATCCAACAAAATCATTCCTGGGTTACAGGGCTGGTTCAATATTTGGAAATCAGTCAATGTGATACATCACATCAACAAAAGAAAAGATAAAAACCATATGAACCTTTCGAAAGATGCAGAAAAAGCATTTGGCAAAATATAGCATCCCTTCTTAATAAAGACCCTCGAGAAAGTTGGGATAGAAGGAACTTACTTAAACATCATAAAGGCCATCTATGAGTAGCCCTCAGCTAACATCATCCTCAACGGGGAAAAACTGAGAGCTTTCCCCCTGAGATCAGGAACATGACAGGGATATCCACTCTCACCACTGTTGTTTAACATAGTGCTGGAAGTCCTAGCATCAGCCATCAGACAACAAAAGGAAATCAAAGGCATCAGAACTGGCAAAGAGGAAGTCTAACTTTCACTTTTTGCAGATGACATGATACTCTACATAGAAAACCCGACAGACTCCACCAGAAGCCTACTAGAACTGATCCAAGAATTCAGCAAAGTTTCAGGGTACAAAATCAACGTACAGAAATCGGTTGCATTTTTATACACCAATAATGAAGCAATAGAAAGAGAAATCAAGAAACTGATCCCATTCACAATTGCACAAAAAATCATAAAATACCTCAGAATAAACCTAACCAAGGATACAAGAGATCTGTATGATGAAAACTAAAGAAAACTTATGAAGGAAATTGAAGAAGACACAAAGAAATGGAAAAACATCCCATGCTCATGGAATGGAAGAATAAATATAGTTAAAATGTCATTACTACCCAAAGCACTCTACACATTCAATGCAATTCCAATCAAAATTGCACCAGCATACTTCTCAAAACTAGAACAAACTATCCAAAAATTTGTATGGAACCACAAAAGACCCCGAATAGCCAAAGTAATACTGAAAAATAAAACCAAAACGGGAGGTATCACCATCCCAGACTTTAGCCTCTACTACAAAGCTGTCATCATCAAGACAGTATGGTATTGGCACAAAAATAGACACATAGACCAAAGAACTCATCAAAGTCCACACCCAAAAAACAAATAATCCAGTGAAGAAATGGGCAGAAGACATGAACAGACATTCTCCAAAGAGGACATCCAGATGGCCAACAAACACATGAAACGATGCTCAGCATCCCTCCTCATCAGGGAAATACAAATCAAAACCACACTGAGATACCACCTCACGCCAGTCAGAGTGGCTAAAATGAGCAAATCAGAGAACTCTAGATGCTGGCGAGGATGTGGAGAAATGGGCACCCTCCTCCACTGATGGTGGGAATGTAAACTGGTACAGCCCCTCTGGAAAATAGTGTGGAGGTTCCTCAAAAAATTAACAATAGCACTCCCCTATGACCCAGCAATAGCACTGCTAGGAATTTACCCAAGGGATATAGGAGTGCTGAGGCATAGGAGCACATGCACCCCAATGTTCATAGCAGCACTCTCAACAACAGCCAAAACATGGATAAGTGTCCATCAACGGATGAATGGATCAAGATGTGGTTTATCTATACCATGGAATACTCCATGGCAATGAGAAAGAATGAAATCTGGCCACGTGTAGCAACATGGATGGACCTTGAGGGTGTTATGCTGCGCAAAATAAGTCAGGCAGAGAAGGACAAATATCATATGTTTGCATGTATAGGAGGATGAGGAGCAACTTCTAACGGAGGACCATGGGGGAGAAGAAGGGGGAAATGGTGGGGGAAAGGGAGAGAGGCAAACCATGAGAGTCTCTTGAATGCTGAGAACAAACTGGGGACTGATGGGTTTGCGGGGGGAGGGGGGAGATGGGCATGGAGGAGGCACTTGTGGGGATGAGCACTGGGTGTTATATGGAAACCAACTTGACAATAAACTATTTGTAAAAAAAAAAAAAATGTGTAAAAAAAAAACCCATTTGAAACTGAGAGGAGACATAATCTCTACAATGGTGAGAAAGTTCACTTCAAGTTAATTTTAGGGTAAGATTTCAAAAGATTACCTAAGAAATTAGGTCCTATCAAATGTGTAGTGAGGAAGTCACTTATGCTATTTCTTCAGTTTCTAAACAAGAACATTAAATGTTCTTGGGGGAACATTCAAACATCATTATTGCTGTAAATTCCTCAGTATATTGATTCATTTTAATAAGGAATTGACCTGCAAGCCCATAAGTGAGTGATAATAAATCATCTAATTAATTTCTAACATTTCTGGAATGCCACAAATTAACTGACTTAAAGAGAATCCCTGGGTGTTACATGTAAGTGATAAATCACTAAATTCTATATCTGAAACTAGGTGTACCATATATGGTAACTAACTAGAATTTATATAAAAACTTAAAAAAATTAACAGAATCTGCCCTTGTATTCTTAGAATTCATGGTACTGTCTTTAGACATTCTTTCTCCAACCCAAATCCTTGTTTTGTCTTAAAGATTTTAAGAGGTAGTGCTTCCCTCTGAAATTCCAAAGTACTCTGAAGTTTTTGAAGTTAATTCTTGGAACTAACAAAATGACATGTTTATCTATATGCAGAATATCTAGGACAAATATTTGCAAAAATTTAATTAGTCAATAGGAGTTACACCTAGTTTACTTACCAAATTAACTACCCTTTTCAATCTTAACCAAAAGTTGCCTTGGAGAACAAATATCCAATAGGAAGTTAAGCCCTCTTGACCTTAAACCTAAATTCTTGAACCTTCCTGAATTTTCTATGCCCCAAGCTAATTTATTATAATTATGTACATGGAAGAATGGGTTAAATAAAATAACTGTCAGCTAAGTTTTTAAATATGTGCATATGAAAATTTATCAACATCAGGTTGCTGAGTTTGATTTATTAACTGGCACTTTGGATTTGTCTAAAATAGACAAATAGAAAACAGGAAATTGTTTTCAGGTAAGCAGGGGGAAACTGAAATCTCTGGTTTCTTTGTAATGTCTAGAAACATAGCATCTGAAGATAATAGATCTTACAGGTCCTCTGCCTCAACCTCTATTCAAGAAGCCCTTTCTTTGATACTGGATTGGTAAGAAAGAAAAGTGAATTGTTGGTAAACAAAGAAGGTAGGAGAAGATGAAGGAATGGTATTACATTTTGAAAGATAAGGCCTATCTGTAAAACTAGTTACCAGCATTAAGATACTGGATTCAGATAACATAAAAACCAAACAAGTACTTACATCGCTAACAATGTCCCTTGAAGCTTTGGCCATCTGCACAGAAATTGCATCAACTGGGAGATCATATCCTTTCTTCAAAGCTTCTTCCCATCCAAGTTTATAGAGTTTCTGGAAATTAAATAATTTAGCATTATTCAGTATATGTTAAAACCCCAATGGATTACTGGACAACAGTTTACCTAGAGAGGAGACATCAGATTTTATCATCTACCTTATCTCTAAAAATATGGATAAAAACAAATTAAGCTGTTTTTATGGAACACTGAGTTACTGTTATAAGATTTTCCTTCTATTTTCTGGCTCTGAGAATAGGCTCAGTTGTGAGATACACAGTACAACTTTAGAGTTGCTTTTCTATTCAGACATAATAAGGGAATATTAAGTATATCAGGTACTTTCCTCCTGCTGTTAAGTACAGTCTAGGCTATCTGAACCACAGATATGAAAATAATTGGTAACTAAAAAAATTCAGGTAACAAAATTTTGATTATCTAAGTGATAAAAGTAATAAATGCTGAAATGCTTTTTATGAGGTGAAATAAATGAATTAATCTTTATGCTGAAATTTATTGAATGGATACAAGTGGGTTAAAACTAGACAATAATAAAAACAGTTGTAAGTTATCCAGATCTTTGTATGTATTCAACACAAGGACTGTGTGGAAAGCTTCCCATGGAAATTTCTCATTTGGTCCTCACAGCAATTTAATGTCATAAGCATTATTATGGCCCCAATTTTAGGGATGAGGAAACTACGGCTTAGACCCAATGTTATGTAATTCATAAAAGCCAAACCCAAACTAGGTCTGATCCAATTGTTTTTCTTTCAACAATTATTTATTGTTTCCTACTCTGTGCCAAGGACAATGAGTATTGAGATAAATCAAAGAGGCACAGAGCCTACCTCCACGGAGCCTAAGAGGCACAGCTAAAGCCCTTCCTTTTAACCACCATATTTTGTAGCATCTCTAGCTAGTCAGTTTGAGTCATTCATTTCCATTGCATTTACATCAGTTATTTACCATTACATCATTTAATAAGTTTAATTAGTTTTAAGCCAAATTTTATTTAACTTTACCTGGCTATACATAGCTTGATTCTGCTTGGCTTGTAAAATATCTGGTGTATCTGGCATCACATGAATCTTGGTTTTATCTTTGTTCCAGTCAATGGTATATAAGTGCTAGGAAGTTAGGGGGAAAAAAAGACATTTGAAATTTGAATAGCTTTTTAGGATCAACAGGAAAGAAAACAACTTAACAGCATTTGAATGCACTCAATTTGAATTAGATTAAATTTAGTAACTAAAGTAGCTTATGATTCAGTAAAGACACCAAAACCAAACTCAGATTTTTCAAAAATAATAGTGTAGGTATTTTCTATCTTCTAGAATGGATTGAAAATTCTTCATAATAATTTAATCAAACAAATGATTTGTAACTCAATTAGAAGGTCATGGGAAATGGGGCACCTGGGTGGCACAGTCAGTTAAGTGTCCACCTCTTGATTTCAGCTCAGGTCCTGATTTCAGTTGTCAGACTGAGCCCTACATCAGGCCTTGTACTGGATGTGGAGCCTGCTTAAGACACTCTCACTCTCTCTCTGCCCTCTCCACTTGTGCTCATTTGCTCAATCACCCCCATCCCCTCCTCAAAAATAAAAAGGGTGGGGGGAATAAAAGTAAGAAGTAGGCAGAAGAAAGTTATGTAGGGACATGCTCTAGAATTGTTTGTCACTGCCCAGAAGTGGTGGACTCCAGCTAAATTTCTCCAACAAGGGCCAGAAGTTGCTAGCCCTGCCTTGCTGGGAGCTGTATACAAGGACAGCTGCATGGAAGGAGCTGAATAGAGGGGTGGTTGTCTACCTTGTTCATGGTATGTGCATTCTGCTTGGCAAGAACCATGTCCATAGAGTCATTCAGCTTCTTGAACTGGAAGTTGCTAGGATGCTGGCGGTATTTCTGATCACTGGCATATTCAGTCGCTTTCTTGGCATTCTCCACTTCTAGGGAACCAGCTGGACTCCAACCAAGTCCTTTGTACCACACATTGTAGTCCTGCTTGTATTCATTCTAGAAAGAGAAGAGACAAATTCTACTTTACCTTATCAATTACTTTACCTTTATCAGTTTAGACACAAAAGTATAGAGGACTGTGATCTCCATTCCTATGCTAGGAATCCATCCATCACCCAGAAGGAAGAGAGACTTACATCACTCTGTATGCGATTCATGTTCCTGGTCAACTCAATGCTCATGGCGTCTGGAAGAAGGACGTACTTGTGAATCAAGTGCTTGTAGTTGGTGTTGGTGATGTTGGCTTGGGCATCCTTGGCAGCCGTGACGCTGAGCATGTCAGCAGGAGTATGATAACTGGTCTTTGTCTTCTCATAGTTTTTCTTGTACTCCCGATCAGACTGCATCTTAGCCACTTCCATGGAATGGACTAATTTGGGATCATCCTCAAGACTACGGAAACCAACCATTTTCCCCCTTTCCTTTTCATAATTGTATTTGTATTTATACTGTGAAAAAATTAGGATATTTGTTTCAGCAATTCTTTTGACTAGAAGCATAATATTGTCGATATTCTGCATTTCATAAAAAGTGAGACTTGCATAGAATTCTAGTTTATAAAACACATTTTCCCCATTTATTTGTGTAACTTGATATTCAAGAACTATATACTGTGAGGTAGATTACAAAGTTATTATTATTGTCCCCGTGTTATAGATGAGTAAGTTGAGACCCAGAAAAGTGACTGACTTGCTAAGGTCACTAGGTTTTAGAACCCAGACCTTGTGATGATATATCACACTGACTTCCACACACACTCTGTTGTTAGTGTTAAGGATATCTTCAGTAGGTGGTAAGAGTATAGCAAATGAGTGACAAAAGCAAAATGTTCTAAGCAGTTTAATGAAATCATCCAGCCAGTTTTTTACTGTTGACAATTAGCTTAGTTATGAGATATCATTTCAGAGTAGTTTTATAGAGCTCCTTTTCCCTTAAGACTGGCACAATAGGGAAGAAGTTTTACTATTTATCACTCAACCTCTCTACAGAGGAGGATCCTGATACACGGAAAGCTTTTATCCTGCCTATCTCTTGTGAGTTTGAGTGTACAAGTTAGGGGTTAGGAGCTCAGGGAGCCAAATTACTCCAGCATAATAGAGGGAAAAGAATTTGGAGATTTTAGGACAATGTAATAGTGGCATCAGGATGGACGGGTAGGAAAGATGAAGAACACATATGGAAAATGAGAGAGAAAGTGTCATTGTGGGGGTGGCTAAGGGAAGACTGCTCTGAAATGTGCTCTTCTCATTACCCCCAAATCACTCAGCACTCACTGTGAGTATATTTCTTGTGGAAACAACCTAATGAAAGAACTGAGTTTCACACAGGTGATGTGGCGATGGTGTGTTGGCACACCAGCTGTCTGGGGGGAAAAAGGCTTCATCTGCAGTGTTTGTCAATTTCTGTGGTGTAAATACTCCTACCATGGCTGATGTCAAGCTACCAAGAATTTAACAACTGGCTTGCAAAATTCCTGATTATTTAATAATCAGCTGTCATGGGTGCAAAATATCAGCACCTAGTATACCACTTAATGAGACATCCTGTTAGGAGGACAGTTCCTAAGAGGCAGTAAGCAAAAACAACCCAAGTCTTTCAGCAGGAAATCTTGGTGAAGGTCTTTGGATTTCTACAGGCTACAGCCTAGGGGATGGAGTTCAAAGAAAATTCACCTAAATCTCATAAGCCAGGGAGCACAAAGATGTGAGGTCATAATGTGGTTAGGGTTCTGGTTTGGTTTTTTTTGTTTGTTTGTTTTTGTTTTTTCGGAAACACCAGAGACAACAAAACAGCAAACCTAAGAAACACTCATTGTATAAAAGGCCATTGTTAGCAGGCATGCTTTGTTCCCCCCATATTTTATCCATGGAGTGTTTCTAAAACTCAGCCCTTATTATTTTGGTAAATTAGAAGAAAACAACAACAACCCAGCCAGGTGAGTGCTTTCCTGCAGACTTACATCACTTGCAATATCTCTTGAGGCTTTGGCAGCTTTGATAGGAATTGCATCAGTTCTGAGATCATAGCCTTTCTTTTTAGATTCTTCCAAAGAAAGTTTGTAGAGTTTCTGTAAAGAGAGGCAAGGGAATAATTTTCTTCTAAATAGAAAAGCCTAGGCTTATTTTATTTATTTATTTTTTTACAAATAGTTTATTGTCAAATTAGTTTCCACATAACACCCAGTGCTCATCCCCACGAGTGCCCTCCTCCATGCCCCTCCCTCCTCCCCCCTATATCCATCAGTTCTCAGTTTTTGTCATCATTCAAGAGTCTCTCATGGTTTGCCTCTCTCCCTTTCCCCCACCATTTGCCCCTTCTTCTCCCCCTTGGTCCTCTGTTAAGTTCCTCCTAATCCTCCTATACGTGCAAACATATGATATCTGTCCTTCTCTGCCTGACTTATTTCACTCAGCATAACACCCTCAAGGTCCATCCATGTTGCTACACAAGGCCACATTTCATTTTTTCTTATTGCCATGTAGTACTCCATGGTATAGATAAACCACATCTTCTTGGTCCATTCGTCCGTTGATGGACACTTAGGCTCTTTCCATTTTTTTTTTTTTTTTTTTTTTTTACAAATAGTTTATTGTCAAATTAGTTTAAGCCTGGGATTATTTTAAAAGGGTAAACACTAGCACTTTGGCATCATTTTTATTTTTGAGCAGAATGCTTCATTGGTGGTTCAATGGCTAAATGTTCTTAACAAATAACAAAATTGTGTTTGAAAAAAGTCTACTACAAACCCAAACATATCTTCAAGAAACCACTAGAAAAAGGAAGCTAATGATCTCTTGGGTTGTAAATATGCTTTTTAAAAATGCAAAAGCCCAGCAGATTCTAATTGTATGTTTTTATCAATTAAGAGTCAAGGAAAGACTATGAAACCACCATACTCTTACATCAGAAGAAAACTTCACTGTTTTGCAATTAACACTTTTATTTATGTAATTGTGTGGATTTTACAACCCAAAAAGGAGTCATCAACCCCAAATCCTTATGGAATTCAAAGAGAAGAAAACACTGGTAGGATTGGGGATTTCCTAGCAACTATGGTTAGGTTGAGAAAGAAAGGGAAATAAAACACCTACACATTTTCTAACACTAAGTGTTGAACATTCCTTGTTATAAAGCTTGCTCCAAATCCTTCAAAATGTTCATCTTCTCTTTCCGTTTAACATTTCTCGAGACCCCCGCCCCCTCCTTTAGGACCATCTCAAAGGCCTGGTAGAGAGAGAGACTCCAGGAACCAGGCCCCAGGATTTTCACTTCCTTTTTCTCTTCTGGGGGTGGGGATGGGGGCAAGCCCTTCTCTTCCTGCCAGGCCTCTTAGTTTGAGAAGGAGTACCCGGCCTCAAACAAAATCCAACTGCCCTTCCGATTCCTAACTGCTGGGCCAAGTCCCATTGATAGGCCTGCTCCAACTCTTAGCAAGGCAAGATTAGAAAGAAAGATTCTCATTTGTGGATTCCAACTCTTATTTTCAAAACATTTCTTCTCAGAGTTGAGACATTACTTAGTTAATTTGTTTATACTAGCTCAAATAAACCAGGGGGAATTATACTTACATCACTCATATTAATTGCATTTGCCTTTGCCAAAATAATCTGGGGGATATCGGGCATAATGTGGACTTTGGTCTTATCAGCCTCCCATGCTTGTTTGTAGAGATGCTGGAAAGTTAAAAAAATTTAAAAAAAAGGAAGTTAGTATTTAAACATCTTTAAATGTGCTCACTTAACATATGTATATATACACATATCAATATTTCATGTATTTTTTATAAACTAGCTCTTATTTTTTTAATGGAAAATATACTCATTCAAACAAGACAGTGGAGATTATATAAGATGGAAAGTAAAATGATGCCAAGGTGAGAATCATAGAAATAGCAAATGCTGTACAGAGAGGTATCTTAGTGGTCCTCAGTTGAATCCTTTTGTTGCAGAGTTGAGGAAATTATGGCCCAGAAAAGCAATGCACCTTCCCTAAAGACACACAGCAGGTCTGGGCCATAATTTCTGCAGCTTTTTAAGAAGAGGATGAGGATTCTCATCTTGGCATCATTATTCTGAAGTGATTTAAATCATTACTACTGAAAATGAAATGAAAGATTTATGTGAGCTTGTGATAGCTTAAATACTAAATCTTAAAAAAGGGCACGGAGATTTGTGCCTTGTGTTTTAGGTAAGTCCCTATCAAAGACACTGGTCATCTTGACAAATCAGTTTTCTTTCTCAGAAGACTCCAAGGGATTGACTCAGAGACAGCATAATACAGTTCTCTCTAGTGCAAGTAGGACCATAATTTTCTGCAATTGTTTAATGTTAAAGTCCAAATATTTTTCCCTTTCTTTTGCCAATCAACGGCATTTGAAATCATGATGCATTCCAATGCTGTTGCAATTATTTTATTATTTGTAACTTAAAAAGAGAAGTACAAGGTTGATGTGCTTGTTGGTCCTGGTATTTATTATGGCTAATAAACTTTAAAACATACAGTAAGCTTTTTCTAAAGGGTAGAATAATTAATGATCCAAGGAACGGCAGATAGAGAACAACTGCTCTCATGATTTGCTCACAGAAGGTCACGGCTCTGAATGCCGCTACAGCCACATAATCTGAGTCTTCAATTCCACTGAAGCAGCTAGGAAACAGGGTGGGCTGCAATACCCAGCTGTTATCAGGCAACAATCTACCGGTTCAGCGTCATGAACTTCTACTCAACCTCATCTTAGACAAACAAGACTTTGTTACAAAATGTGCATGGAAAGAAACAATTCATATTTATTTTGTTATGTCTGTGGGGAAGAGTGGTTCACTAAACATTTGGGGGGGACCATGATTTAGGACTCATTTCTATCTTTTTTTAAACTATAAGTTCCCTTCCTTAAAAAAATTTTTTTTAATGTTTACTTATTTTTGAGAGAGAACACAAGCAGGGGAGGGGCAGACAGAAAGGGAGACAAAGAATCTGAAACAGGCTCCAGGCTCTGAGCTGTCAGCACAGCGCCTGACTCAGGGCTCAAACTCACAAACCTCAGATCATGACCTGAGCTGAAGTGTGACGCTTATCCACCTGAGCCTCCCAGGGGCCCCAACCACAAGTCCCTTTTGCAAAGTTGAATAAACATTGTGATGCCCTGAAACCATTAGCAAAACCCATAGGTCAAATGTAAGAATGCCTGGCTTTTTCCCGGTGCTTAGGAAATATCACATTACTGAAAGACTTACTTCATTCATAATTTTTGCATTATTCTGGGCCAAAACCATGTTCATTGAGTCCATCAAAGTGGAATACTTCAAAGTGTCTGGGTGCTGGCGGTACTTCTTTTCACTGATAATCTCCATGGCTTTCTTGTTTTTCTCAGCCTCCAGGGAGCCCAGAGGGAGCCATCCAATGCCCTTCATGAAGTCAACATAGTCAGCTTTGTACTGATTCTGCAAAAGAGCAAAGGTTCATGGATGAGAAGAAGCCCAAACTGCCAAGAACCATGACTGAGTGTTCAATATTCCGTAAGTGTCCAACTAATAGTGTATCAAATTTCAACTCTTTTCTGTCCCTAAATGGGATCTTTTTCATATTTTCTTACATGAGAAATTAAAAACAAGCAGTAATATCCTTGTGATTTTCCTCAATGCCCTCATTAAAGAAAAAAATGCTAAGAAATACCAATTAGATTAACTATCACATGACTATTCTCTCAAGAAAAGTAACTATGCTGGCTCAACTTTCTTACAAAAATTCCCAAGTTCCCTTGGTTGACAGAGGGTCACTGGGACCCTGGTTCTCTCTTTCACTATAAGCTTTGCTCACCACCAATGTTACAACTCTCTTAGGTATACCAGAAACCTTACGGGTACTCTGTGCAAATTTTTTGTTTTTCCCCACTCAATTCTGATATTTGCCTCTGCAACTCTACCATGGTTGGTTTTATATGAGAAAAATATATACCCCACCCCCAGCAATTAATAGTTCAGCTCTTAGATTCTCAAAGAGAAATATATGCGAGGCGTGGCCTGCCTTTGGTTTGTAATTTAAATTCCCTCCTCACAGCCACAAAATAAATGGCTTAACGCTGAATTCTGTTCCTCACATGCATTCCAGTAGTTGCCTCAGGCCTCACCTCCTCAATGTTTCATCAGCAAGTAATACAAGCAACTGCAAAGTTGGAAGTAGTGGAATGAAAGTTGATTAGAAGTAAGGAGAGCTATCAAGTCATCCTACTTTCTGTCTTTCCTCTTACTCTTGTATCAGGAGCCATTTATGCTTCTGATTCTCTTTGCTAGACATGCTTCCTTCAGCATGTTTTCTGCAACAAAATTTCATTTGCAATTGCTGGATTGAGCATTCAACAATCCTCACAGCAAGAATGGTAGAAAATAAGACTTTAGTTTCTAGAATTTACCCTCTTTTGTTAAAAGAAATAAATTCAATCTAAGGTAAAAAAAAAAATTTGGTGGGAAATTACACATGAATTTCTTTCAGGATTCTCATAATGATTTAGGGTCATTAATGATTCACTTATTATCCAGAGTCAATGTTCTACAAATGATGTGGCTGTCACGTACATCACTTTGAAGCTGCATCATATTTTTGGCCAATTCAAAGCCCATGGCGTCCGGAAGCATGTTGTAGTTATGGATCACATTTCTGTAGTTGGCATTGGTGGCCACTTCCTGAGACTTCTTGGCTGCCACCACACTTAACATGTCCACTGGGGTGTGGAAGGACGTCTTAGATTTCTCATATGCCTTCTTATACTCCCGGTCAGACTGCATCTTGGCCACCTGCATGAAGTGCACCAGCTTGGGGTCGTCCTCTAGGCTCCGGAAGCCAATGTGTTTCCCTTTGGTTTGTTCATAGGCTTGCTTGTATTTGTACTGTGGATGGGAAAGAAAGCATAGAGATGAAGTTAGTGAAAGAAAGAAAACAAAATGTAATTCATTAGATGTCATGAGTTTTGTCATAGGTGTATGGTTTTAGAGCTACTATACAATTAGAGAGAAGCTCACAGGGGCTGGGAACAAATTCTTTTTACTTCAAATTTCTTGCCAAACTTGATTCCACAGAAAGAAAATGATCTCAGAGTTAATCAAGGAGATGTATAAATAAGTTGTTTTAGGGTGCTTTAGAGAGGTTTTCTCACTCAGGTGTCTAATCAGAAAAGGCTACAGGCACAATTTCTCCTGGTGCATCTTTAATTCAGGAAAGAGCAAGATCATGGGTCTCTTGGGTAAAATGTGTAGTCTGCATCCCTACATTCGCCCAGAATTGCCTGTAAATGACCTGAATACTCTAAGAGCAACTTGTCTTAACATGACCCAGTTACTTTTTATATCAAATAATGAACAAATGATTAGAGGGTCCTTGGACTGGGTAAAGAAAAGTGTCTTGTGTGTTTCTTGGATTATGATCCCACCAACACTAGGTAGGGTTGACTGCAACTATTGAATATGCACACGAACTTGGCTTATTTGTGCCTCATTTACTGAGTCTAATGAAAGTCCAGTGGAAGTACTTACATCGCTGGCAATGTCTCTACAGGCTTTTGCAGCCTTTATTGGAATGGCATCAGGCCTCAGGTCATATCCTTTCTTCTTCTCTTCTTCCCAGCCAGCTTTGTACAGTTTCTAAATGATGAAACAGAGTAACACCAGCAGCTTGTTATTTGGGATAGAATGGGAATCCTGATTTGAAGCGGTTGGCATGTAAAAGAGAGGCATTCCACAAATATTAGTTCCCTCCATCCTTCTCACCCACTCTGTGGTTGTTATTCTACTTACATCACTCATGGTGATTTGGTTCATTCTGGAAAGTAAGATGTCTGGAGTGTCTGGCATGACATGAATGGTGGTCTTGTCTTTGTTCCACTTTTCAGTGTAGAGCCTCTGCAATGAGACCAAGCACATGATTGTAGAGCAATACGAATTTGTAACATGGAGAAAGAGACTCACTTCTCCATGACAGAAGAGATTAAATCTGATACTGGGAAATGGATAAAACAGCAAGAAGATGGGGTGATGAGACTGAACACACAATGAGGGAAAAAAAAAACTATCAAACAAGGGAGCCTCCTTCCCTAAACAACACATGCCATGTTTGCCCAACCTCACACTACATGGAGTTCTTCAGTTCTGTCACACCCTCTGTGTAGTGCACACAGATAGTCCGAGGATCCGTATATGTGAGAGCTCTCTAGACGTGATGAACATTACAGAATTCCTCCTCCAGCACCACCAAGACCATCACAAAGAATAAAAATGCTGACGAAGATTATAGAGGTACCGCCAGGCTCCATGACTTGAGTGCTATGAGGATTCTCAGAATGACCCAGCAGTTGGGCTCTTACCTTATCCATATTCAGTTTGTTACTTTTGTTAAGTGCTTGTTCCATTGTGTCCATGGCATAGGTAAACTTCAGCTTCTCAGGATGCTGGCGATACTTCTTCTCACTAAGTATATCTCCTGCTTTCTTGGCCTTCTCCACCTCCAGTGACTCTATGGGGACCCAGCCGATCCCTTTCATCCAGTTGGTGAAGTCGGATTTGTATAGATTCTTTACAATGAAAAAGGAAATTTTCATCAGAAATAGTCAGGGCTTGAGAAATCTTGGCTAGATGATTTACTCATTATCAAAAAGAAAAAAAAAAGAGGGAAAAGAGAATAACCTGCCTTTTATTCCCTATCATCTTTTGGAAAAAAACAAATTACAAAGTGATTGAAATCATGGTAGTTTTGAATGGGAAAATCTGAACAGTAATTCCTTTTTAAACTTAACTTTCTTGGAGGAAAAGGTAAAAGAATTTTACACTGGAAAAGATAGTATATTGCACCCATTTGAACCTCTTAGCTTTTCACAGAATACATCATATATTGTGTCTGACACACACACACACACACACACACACACACACACAGTAACTAAAACAAAAATGTTAAAGCTATATATAGTTCACATGAGTGAAATTCTAAAACTCCAAATTCTAGAAAGGATCCCTAATTATAATGAGTCCAACTAGGTTTAAGATGAAGTAAATGGAATTGCCAATTTCTTGTTTGTCCCTCCCACCAGCTAGAAATGGATAACTAATTCTATGCTCACGTGTTAACTGTTACATACATCGCTTTGGATCTGCATTGCATTCCTGGAATGCTCCACATTCAAGGCATCAGGCAGCAGAGTGTAGCTGTGGAAGGGCTGTTTGTAGTTCGTGTTGGTAACAGCCTCCTGAGATTTCTTGGCTGCGGTCACACTGAACATGTCCAAGGGTGTGTGATACCTGGTCTTGCTGGCTTCATAGCCCTTTTTGTACTCACGATCTGACTGCATTTTGGCTACATTCATGTAATGAACCAGTTTAGGATCATCCTGAAGACTGAGAAATCCAATTTGCCTGCCTTTGGCTTTCTCATAAGCCTCCTTATACTTGAACTATATTAAAAAGAAAGGCAGAGAGAAGTTTGATGGGGTCAATTATAGGAAATACTAAAGCATTACATTGAATTTATATAACAAAGTAAGCAACAGTCAAATTTGTTTTGAATCCAGGTAATATCTAAGTTTTTTAGTATTTTTAAATAAATAACTAGGAAAGTATTTCTAATGGAAGGTCTTGAGATTTCCTTTGGGGATAATTAAGAATGGGGTAATTTGTGGTTTACATCAAGATCATTCATAATTAGATTCTTTGAGTATTCTCGGAGGTTCCTGAAAAGTTTTGTAAGGATTTGGTATATATTTTTTTATAATCGTTTCCAAAGAAACCTGCATTACTTTATAAAGTACTTGGGTAATCCTGAGTAAATTCAGTTCCAAATGAATTATTACTCTACAAAGGTATATCAATTCATATAGAAAATATAACTTAATTTGTAAAAAGTAATTAATTAAGTAGGTAAGTAATGAAAATCCTCTCATTTGATCTATAATTCTTCCTGGTTTATCAGATTAAAAAAAGTTTTAATGTGTATTTATTTTTGAGAGAGAGACAGAATGAGGAAAGGGGAGGGGCAGAGAGAGAGGAAGACACAGAATCTGTAACAGGCTCCAGGCTCTGACCTGTCAGCACAGAGCCTGATGCGGGGTTCGAATCCACAGACCATGAGATCATGACCTGAGCCAAAGGTGGACCCTTTACCGACTAAGCCACCCAGACACCCCTATGTTTTATCAGATTCTTTCCTTGTCAAAATTATATTGTTAAAAATTGTATTGTTTTAAAATACTTGGGAGACTTTGATTTAGTGACATTTTAGTATGCCAAGGTTTTTTCTTGAAAAAAATTCAAATAAAAAGCAGTTTCCAAGTTCGTAACAATAATACCAATGAGAGTAACAAACATTTCACAGTTTAAAAAATTTTCTTCTTTGTATTGAATTTCTAAAGATTTTAAAGTGACATGATATAAAAAAATCATTGGCACTTGGGATGTTAGGAAATATTTTAATACTATTTTATTTCCTAATATAGCTTATATGGCCTCATATACCATGTAAAGATTTTTAAAATATAGAGAAGAGTTTTCTACCTTCAGATTAGACTTACATCACTAGCAATATTCCTTGAACTTTTTGCAGCAACAATTGGAATGGCATCTGGTCTCAAATCATAGCCCTTAGCAAGAGTTTTCTTCCAGTCTGCTTTATAATGAGACTTGAAAAAAAGGAAAGAGCATCTTATTATTTTATTATTATTCTTGAATATATTTCTCTATTTTCAAACTTTCCTATAATAAGCATATAATACTTTAATTTTTTTATTTTTTTGAAATGAAGCAATTTAAACTTATAGAAAGATATGAACACTAAAATAAAAAATTCAGATGTAGTACCACCCAGACTTAAGTAATGCTTACGTCTTTTTAATGTTTTATTTATTTCTGAGAGATAGAGACAGTATGAGCAGAGGAGGGTCAGAGACAGAGGGAGATACAGAATCTGAATCAGGCTCCAGGCTCTGAGCTAGTGGTTAGCGCAGGGCCCAAACCCACAAACTGTGAGATCATGACCTGAGCCGAAGTCGGATGCTCAACCAACTGAGCCACCCAGGTGCCCCAGTAATGTTTAAATATTACTTACAAAAGCAGGGAAATTTTTAAATAAGCCAAAACCATAGAAATTAGTACCAAAAAAACTTTATTTGGAGATAAAAGAGAGCCTAGAATGTTAGGAAGAATGACTTAAGTCATCTTTTAAGAAATGAACGATTTTGAGAGAGGGCAAGATGGCGGAGAAGTAAGGAGCTCCGTACTTGCACTCGCGCCCATACATCACACAGATAAGAAATGAACGATTTTATCCAGGTTTGATTATGTTTCTAAATTAGAATTTAAAACTTTTTTTTTAAAGCAAAAGGAAACAACTCTTAATAGTGAATTTACACATTACCAACTATGAATCTAGACTACCCAAGAGGCTAGTTACATGCAAAAAAAAGTTTCTAAAGAAAATTAAAATAAACTTTTATACAAGTTTTAATGATTGAAACAAAAATTATACAAATACTTGTCTTTATTACAGGCTATTCATTACTGTACTTTCTAATCTTGTGTATCTCATTTTGATTCACTTTTTAAAAAATGGAATATACCTTACTAGATTGATTTTATAACCCACTAATGAGTCATAGCCCACAGTTTAGAAAAGCTTGTATTAAATCAAATTTTATGGTGGCTTCTAGTCTCATATTCTATGATAAGGGTTCAATCTATAAGCTGTTGATTCAAAAATTGGCCCCATACATGGAGTGCAAGGCAAGCCTGAACAAAGAGAGAGACCACTGGAGATTGGTAGGTGACAGGATTAATAAGCAAGGCAACTTATATATAAGGCTTGTCATGGGCATCCATGAGACCATCAGATTTCCTCAGCTGCCCACCACAATCTTTAAAATGTATACAGAGGCCTTAACTGGGGTTAGTCACACATGCCAGTCAGATGGTCTCAATAACATATTGCTCTATTAAGGCTGCATCCTTGAAAATGTCTTCCATGGTGGGAATGGTGGGCAGAATGTACATTCCAAGGACAAAGTAGGGGGTGAGGGGCCTCTGGGTTAACCAGCCATCATGTCTTTTCAATGACTTTGCAAGAGAGACTCAAAAGGTCCATACTTAGTTTGCTCCCCTTAAAATTCTTACTGCTATAATTATACAGAACTGTAAAGAGGAAGCCCATGTTAGCGATATTAGACTGGCAACTGGCCAAATACTCACATCACTCATGTTGAAGGCATTGACCTTGGCTTGAATAAACTGAGGCAATTCAGGGTCCATAGTGTACTTATGCTTCCGCTTTTCTCCCTCTATTTTGTAGTTCAACTGAAAACAAAGGAGGCAGCATGCAAACGTCATTAGCTGACAAAATTTAAGTTTCATCAAGCACACACTCATTTAAAAAGGATGGTTATTATTGGTGTTTTACCGTATCTAAGTCAAATACCTGTACTATCATATGGCAAGGTGTTAGTACACATACCCATTTGCTTATTCCACCAATATTTACTGGACAGCACGAATGAGCTAGGTAGGCAGATAGGTTTCTGGATGTAAATTGTTGAAAAAGGCAGACATGTTTTTCTGAAGGTTATAGTGCAGTAGAGGAGACAGAATAAAAATGTAAACTGTAGGAGCTAGAGTTTGTGATGCATTGTAAATAGAATCACTTTAGGAAAGAAATAAGGGTGGTCAGCAAAGGCTGTCTAAGGAAGTGACATTTATGCCCAGACTTGAAGAAAGGGGAGGGAGGGGTCCAGGCCAAAGCAGAGCTCTCAAGTCTGCGAAGGGCACAGGGCACAGCTAGTGTGAGGGCCTGAAGGCAGCCTGCATCACAGGGGGCCTGGCAGATTTCAACAAGACAGGGAGCAGGGCCACAGAGCTGAGGGTCTTTTCAGCCAAGATAACAAGTTTAGATGTTCAAGGAGAAGTTACTAAAAGGGCTGAAGTATAAGAGGGATGTGATTTATATTTTAAGATAGTTCTGGTTGTCATGCATGACCCCAGGCAGGAAGTCCAGACACCACACAGGTGTCCATGAGGGATATGGAAGCCCAAATTAGGACTGCGGGCAGCTGAAAGACAAGTGTTCTACAGGACGCTGGGAGGGATTTAGGAGGCTAGCTCAGCAGATGTATTGATGGAGGGATCACACAGGGAGGCATCAGTAATGACATCCAGGTTTCTGGCTTGAATAACTGGGTAGATGTTGATGGCATTTATTCGAATGGGGAAGACAATTAGTGAGTGTGCAGCGCTCCCATCTCACTGGAAAAACACGGTGAGAAGGGACACCTCAGTCAGTACAAAAGAAATCAGAAGAATCTATACATTTATTACCACTAAAATAGAATTAATTTCAAAATATCTGCAGTAATGTGAGAGCAGGGACCGGCCTGAGAAAATCCACGGATAATCCTCAAATCTGAGCCAAGCAAAGCATTCCCCACCTTCTAATATGTGGGGCTAAGAATACACATCTTTGCTTATTACTTACTGTTCTCTTTCTGGTGGAGGCATTTTAACAGAACTTGAAATTATCAAATGAGATGAAGCACTGAGCATTTTGATTAGGCTCTAAGAAGAAGGGTCCAGATAGACCTGGGCTCAGAAAGGAGACTCAGCTGACTCTGAAAGTAAACTGCTTACCTCCTCCCCAGAGGCCTCTCTCGGGATTGCTTTACAGAACACAGAGCTCTTATGCAAGAGGCTTAGGACATTGTGTCTTCTCCCCGTGTAGCCAGGTAGAACGGTTGCAACTCAGAACAATAAGTAAGTAGCTTGTTGCAACAAGTAAGTAGCTCGGTTTACAATTCACATGGAATCACAGATGGTAACAGTAATCATTTTATTTCATTTCATGTGTATAATGATAGGGGTCTGTTTATAAATAGCACAGATTCTCTACATTTGGGAAATGAAGCAAATCTGGAAAATCCTCCTTCTCCCCTCCCTGTTTTATGCTCAAGTTCTAAGTTGTTTCAAAAGTAAAGCCTTCTTATTACATCCTGAAAGCAGTTGATTCACTAACACAGATGCACCTTCAGGTGCTGGATTAAGTAGGATGGTAGAGTGGGTGTTATTCATGGACAAACCCTTTTGGAGGGAAACCACTTACATCACTTAGCTGCTTTGTGTTCTTCTGAGCCAAAACCATGCCCATGGAATCAGGCACACTTGTGAACTTGATGGTATCTGGATGCTGTCGATACTTCCTCTCATTTAAAGCATCACCTGCTTTCTTGACCTTCTCAACCTCTAGAGAACCAAGAGGGATCCATCCAATGCCTTTGAAGAAGTTGTTATACTCATCTTTATATACATTCTGTAAGAGAATAATCTCATATGAGGAGATATCCAACAGAATACTCAAGAGATGTCTCTGAAATCTGCAATTCTACCCAAAGGAAATGAATAGCAACACTTTCAGTATGCTCAGGTCTATAGGGAAGCTTCTCACTATGTCTGCCGCTGAGCTTCTTACCCAGAATTTGGGAATAAGAAAAGGCAGTCTCTTGTTAAAGTGCATTATACAATACAGAGGGAATCTAGGCCACATATTTCCATGGGTAATACTAAAAAAAAATGGTCTCTTTTGACAATAAATTGGGCTTTCTTTTTTATTTCACTGAAAATCTCACCACATTGAATTTCACCCATACTGTCCACCTAGGCTATTCCTGATCTCAGCTGGGGAGAGACACCTTCATTGAGCAACTATAAATGAACACCATATCTTCCTTTACAGAGGAGGATTCTTACAGAAATCTGGTTCCTGCAGAAGGAAATGCCCTGAATATTAAATACCGTCCCCATGCAGCTCACCATGAATCATGCTGCAATCACAAAGGCTTCCTGCTTCATTTTAGGTGACTTATTACATAGATTAACATGCAGGAGAGTGTGACTTTTAGTTAAAAAAAAGAAAAAAACTTTCCTGGGTTCAGAAAGAATAGAGAATACTATTTTGCATTATATATATCACCACTGAAGCAGAAACCATTTTCTCTTGTTGAGAATCAAGGTGGTTTATATACTTAGTGGAACACAGTTCTACCTTTGATCCATAATGAAGACGATGTCAATGACTACAATAGGAACACAGAAAGCCAGCAAAAACAGCTGGTCTACCATGCATTTGTTAGTCTTTCAGTAATGTTTATTATGTATATAATAATATATAAAATATAGTATTTTTTTTCCTTTTGAGAGAGTGAGAGAGTGAGAGAGAGAGAGAGAGAGAGAGAGAGAGAGAGAATCCCAAGCAGTCTCCATGCCCACCGTGGAGCTGGACTTGGGATTCCATCTCATGACTGGGAGATCATGACTGAGCCAAAATCAAGAGTTGGACACTTAGCTGACTGAGCCACCCAGGTGCCCCGAAAAATGCACTTTTCAAATATCACTGTATTGCAAAGTCAACTAAAATGGGGGGAAATGATTATCCCTCAAGTACCAACATTTCTGGGTCTGTTATGTTATACATACTCACATCACTCTGAATTTGATTCACATTCCTGGTATGCTCGAGGCTCATGGCATCGGGTAGGTATGTGTAATGATGTATCGGCTGTTTGTAGTTGACGTTGGTGACAACATCCTGGGCCATCTTTGCAGCAGTAATACTAACCATGTCCCCAGGGGTATGGTAGCTGGTTTTGGTGTTCTCATAGTTCTTCTTGTATTCACGATCTGACTGCAACTTTGCCACATTCATATAATGGACCAGCTTGGGATCATCCTGGAGGCTTCTAAAACCCACCTGCTTTCCCTTTGACTTCTCATAAGCTTCCTTGTATTTATACTGCAAAGGCAAAATTTGGTTAGCAAAGTCCTAGGCATTGATAGCATTAGGTGTAGCAAGTATATTCACATACAAAGGCACTTAGAACATTATGACTTTCTGGAAGATTGTACAAGAAGTACAAACCATACCCACCCATCTCCATTCGCCCCCAGAAAGTTCAGAGTGAAAACATTTATTTCCAACACTGCTGGCTTATAAGTGGGTAGCATGACCAATTCAGGCTCCATTTCTTTTTTTGCTATAAATCCTACAAATGCATTTGCATGTAGAACTTTACTTAAAGCCAACTGAATTTTCATGCTTAATATAAACAACACACCTTCCAAATATATGGCCAATACCTCTTGGTTTCCTGGGGATGTGAATTTTCTCAAGCCAATATGTTATCACCATCATAGAATGTTATCATACACTATAGAATATTAGAAATTGAGAAAACCTTCCATTTGCTGTTCCCACTGGCCGAGTGATATGTATGCAACAGATGCAGAAGAAACTCTAAAGGATTCCATGTGCAAGATCACACTCAGTATTTCTTGGGGTGTGGCGTGGAAAACAGCACTGTGTTGTCTCAGGCCGACTGAATGAAGTTAAAGTAAAAGCCCTCTTCTTTCTAGGTGGCATCAATTTAGATGCTTGGGCAGGGAGCTGGGCCTTCCCCACCCATTTTTTCAGCAGCTACCTTCCAGGCTCACTGCTGAAGCAGCTGCAGAGGAATTAAAGAACTGCAGTAAAGGCAAGGATGGCTGTGAGCTTCCCCATCAGTTAAGACCTAACCACAAAGGCTCTGCAGCCCATGGTGCATCACTGTTGGAACTGGTGACGGCGTGTAGACTGAGTCTACTGTATGTAACAGGTCAAAACCTCAATTTTTAGGTAAGAGAACGCAAATCCACCTAAACTCTACAGATCCCCTGCTCTTGTCACGTAGGCACTGATTTATAAACCAGAGTTTAGCAGGCAATAGGATTATCAAGACATTTCTAGGCATGTTAGATAAAGCTCTGTGCAAGCTGTAAAATAAAAAAAAGATAATGTCATATTTTAGACTTTCACTTTGTCTTTAAACTAGAAATTTATTTCATAGCAGTGTGCAAATCTTTGAGGAACACATTTTCAGTGGCATCCCTACAAGGAAAGCTGTAGAATTCTTACACTGCTAGCTCCCAGGTGGTCTGTACCCATGGGTGGTTTCTTTCTTCTCTTTTCCTAAACCATGACTGTAGCCTCCAAAATAGTAAGTGACCATGAAGTCTACAGGGCATGCTTGCTTTTTGAAATTTTTGATTTTCAATGACGGGAAGAAGTTAAGTGTATCTTTTCCTATTACAGATGAAATGGGCATCGATTTGCATAAACCAAAATTATATTCTATAAAGATGGGCCTTTTTACCATTTGGTTTATAAAATCTTTACATTTTATATAACATCTTTCCAATCTTCTTAATACAATTATGATGCAGGCAGTCATCTGAATTTAATATGTTAGTGTCAGTTAGGGTGTTCTCCCTGAAAATAAATGTGGGCTGTCAGGGAAATGTGTCAGTAAAGGTAATTTGGGCTAGAATTGGGGAGAAAGTGGCTGTCAGATTTATGACAGCTCTACCAAGTGGGGTCAACTGAAAAGAATCACAGAGTGTTGAAAAAGTGACAGGTTTTCAAAACAATATTTTGTGGAGAATGTGCATGTCACTAATTCAACATATTGTTTTCAGTGTGGTATCATTTAGACAAGCACACATTTGATTACTATTTAAAAAGGCAATCACCCACATTTCACCTATAATTTTTACTCACATCACTAGCAATGTTTCTGGAAGCTTTGGCTGCAGCGATGGGAATAGCGTCACCCAGCACATTGTTGCCCTTGGCTATTAAATCATGCCAGTCCCGTTTATAACAGACCTGGGATATAAAAGGAAAAAGGATGTCAGCATGCTGCATATTAAGCAACTAAAGGGATTCCTCAATTACTGGGATTGTTTTGTTCTTTTCCAGCTATAAAAGATAAAGGAATATCCAGTAGTATATTCTGTGTTAGGAAGTCACATTAGCAAAATGTCACACTTTGTGTAGCATGAAATTATAGGACTCTGCATCAATTATTCACCCAGACCTGGTCTGGCTACCTACTGAAGTGGAACACTGAGAAACTGGAGTGGATTTAGAATAAAGATTCTGGAAACCAGGGTATGTGTGGACCAAATGGAGAAAAGGAAGTTGGCTCGTCTTATGAAAGAAAGATCAAGGGAAGACCCAGGGGTTAACTTTAGAAATTTCAGTGTTACTGTAATAAAAGGATTTAATTTATTCTGCAAGGTAATAACTTTGTCTGCTTGTAAGACCAGGAGGAACAGATGCTGGACTCTATGGATGGGAAAATGGGTGCATCCTTTCCAGTTGTCCTGCCCTTGAAAAGGGTGACTCAAGAGGCAGAGAGCCATCATCAGGAGATAGGCTTCATACAGGGCATGTGGGAAATTGACCTAAATAATTATCAAGACCCCATTCTACTCTAAAATTCTATTATTTTACCATCAGGTCTGGATTTCACACACCAACAAGAACCCTACTTACATCACTTATATTGTAAGCATTGCACTTGGCCTGGAGAAACTGAGGAAGATCAGGACTCATAGTATATTTATGCTTCACGTCTTCTCCTTTAGCTTTGTATAAGACCTGCAACACACAATCACAAAAATAAAATGCATTACAGATAGCACAAAAAGCCTTTAGTTGCACACTTAATTTAATTGCACACTTAGCACAGTCCACCACTATTTCTATTATTAAAAATCATGAACGGTATTTTCCTATTTAAAAAAAAACCTCAAATATTTTGTCATCTTTAGAAACATCCCAAAACTTTGTGCATTAAAATAGAAAGAAAACTAGGAAACAGGAATCTTTGCCTGAGATGAATAGAAAACAATAGGGTTTCACATTTGAACTTATGAATAAACAAGATTCACCAAAGCCAGAAACGTTCAGTGTTTGCTAGTAGAGTTAACAGTTCTTAAGGATTTAGAAAATGGCAGTTAGAATGAGTCCCTCACTTCTGCTAAAAACTTTCCAATTATAATTGCAGCAATAAAACCATATAGTGATGTCTTCATAACATGAAGGCACTTAATCACAAACCCAGCATACTCAAAAGGTTTACCATTTCATATTTACCCTATTTTATTCTTTTGCAGATGTCTGCAAGACATCTAAGTGCATGGTATAGAACCTGTATTGTATCCTCCTCTTGGTAATAGAAAAGAAATTGCCTACTTTCTAAAATTAAAACCCTACTGAAATCACAAGTAGATTTCCAATCTCTTGCCTGTCATTATTCATATAAATCTCTAGGCACATCTATGTGGAATATCACATATAAAGTGATATGCATTTATCATCAATAAAGTCTAAAGTGGCTGATACCAGGATGCCTGGGTGGCTCAGTTGGTTAAGCACCTGACTTTGGCTCAGGTCAAGATCAGGTTCAGTGGGTTCAAGCCCTGCATCGGGCTCTGTGCTGACAGCTAGCTCAGAGCCTGGAGCCTGTTTCAGATTCTGTGTCTCCCTCTCACTCTGACCCTCCTCTGTTCACGCTGTCTCTCTCTCAGAAATAAAATATTATATTAAAAAAATTTAAAGTGGCTGATACCATTTGAAGCTTCAAACTCTAAATAATTCCTTCCAAAAACCCAAGAGGTATCTTTACTTCCGCGCTGCCTTTAGAAACCATAGCTATGCTTTCACAGCATTCACAGAACCTCATCAGTTTTACCTTCTACACATATCCTTTCCTGTTGCTACTGCTTTAGTTGAAGTCCAAATGAGACTTCTGTTAGATTTCTGCCATAGCTTTTAAGCCATTTCCTTACCTCCAAACTCTCCCCTCACCAATGCAATCTCAGCACTTGTCAGATCTTTTAGAACACAGAACTGATAATGCAACTCCAAGGATTAAAATTTTCAGTACTTCCCATTACCTACCCCACAATGTCCAGAACATAAATTAGGACACAAGACCCTCAATGATGAGATAATAATCCCAAGCCCTTCATTGTCCTTCTACTCATTACCTCTTGACAGTCATTCTGTTTTCTCTTTTGCCAAGAATGCACGCTTTCCTTATTTGCTAGGGAAGCCTTGGCCGGTAGTTATCTCTTCCCTTGTATTTATTTGGCACATATCTCTCCTGTAGCATCCACCTCTGGGTAGGACAATGCTCTGGTTTTATCCATGCCATCTTATACTCCTATCTCATAACCTTGTCATATCCTATATCTGACTAATTCTCGTCTGTGTCACCTTTATACCATCAGCATATAATACAGTGCCTGGCACAAGGAACGTGTTCAAAAACATTCATTCAATGAATTAATAAATGAATGATTTTGATGTCCTTTTAATTCTTCTAACTTTCCTTTAGATCTCACTGTAGCCAGATCATATACATCGTTCGTGGAGAGGCAGACAAACAACATGATAATCTCTAAGATATAAGTTTTTGAAAGCCTCTATAATATTTGTATGTGATGAATTCTGAGAAGCAAAACCATACACCCATGTGAATTATTTCCCTGTGTTAGTATTTTATACACGAAAAGCAAATATAAGTAACTTAATGTAGAATTGAATATGATGAATTTGCCAAAGTGTCTGGGACTTAAACTTAAGTTTTGTGTGTGTGTGTGTGTGTGTGTACGCAGACACATATGTAGTCCTACAGTAGAACTTTGTCATCATGACAAATTTATCCAATAACAGTATTTCAAAGGCAGCTCAAGAGGAAGTTTTAAAAAGGAAATAATAGAAGAAAAAAAATATTGATGCCCAAACTAAAAAAAATTTTAATTATTATTTTTAAATTAAATTAAATAAAAATTATTGGCTTAGATGAATAAAAAATCTGAGCTGCTATTTATTTTGTTAAAGTCTCTCTCCATTCTTTGCCCCCTCTCTTTCATTGTACTTACATCACTGATTTGCTTTGTGTTCTGTTTTGCCTGGACCATAACTGGGGAGTCCACAATGCTGGTAAATTTGAGGGTGTCTGGATGTTGTCTGTACTTCTTTTCATTCAAGGCATCACCCGCCTTCTTAACTTTTTCTATGTCCAGACTGCCAATAGGTATCCAGCCTATGCCTTTCATCCAGGTGTTATAGTCTTCCTTGTAGGCATTCTATGGCACAGGGAAAGAAGAGGAGTCAGTACCCCGAGTGGTGGGTTCTCACACAGATTCTGACCTCAGAGGGGGACTGTCTGGTGGAGTGTCACTTACATCACTCTGTATGTGCATCATGTTTTTAGACAACTCCAGGTCCATGGCGTCAGGCAGGTAGGTGTAATGATGGAGCGAATGCTTGTAATTGACATTGCTGGCAACGTCCTGAGCCTTCTTCGCTGCCACAACATTGAACATATCATGTGGCGTGTTGTATTTCGTCTTTGTCTTTTCATAGTCTTTTTTAAACTCCCGGTCTGACTGGATCTTGGCCACATTCATATAATGAACCAGTTTAGGGTCATCTTGGAGACTTTGGAAGCCAACCATTTTTCCTTTGGCTTTTTCATAATCTTTTTTGTACTGAACCTATTAGAAACAAAAGCAGGTATATTTTAAAATGTAGTTATGAATATTTTACTGAACAATGAGACCATGATTTAAAGCAATGGAGCTCCCCAGAAATTACTTCAATAACCAAACGGTTAGATATGCATTTGTATACAGTTTGAAATGTAGCCTGGTAAAATGAAAATGTTATATAGAGCCCATTTGATTGTCTGTAGCTGCTTCTGCCATCTGAGAGAGTTTGGGATGGGGGTATTACCACAATTCATGTCAGTGACAAGGTAGAATTATAGTAGCAGTAGAATTTTTTTTTTTTTAACAAATGGTTTATTGTCAAGTTGGTTTCCATATAACACCCAGGGCTCATCCCCACAAGCACCCCCCTCCATGCCCACCCCCCCCACATCCATCAGTCCTCCGTTTTTGTCAGCATTCAAGAGTCTCTCATGGTTTGCCTCTCTCCCTTTCCCCCACCATTTCCCCCCTTCTTCTCCCCCTTGTTCCTCAGTTAAATTCCTCCTAATCCTCCTATACGTGCAAACATATGATATTTGTCCTTCTCTGCCTGACTTATTTCGCTCAGCATAACACCCTCAAGGTCCATCCATGTTGCTACACATGGCCAGATTTCATTGTTTCTCATTGCCATGTAGTATTCCATGGTATAGATAAACCACATCTTCTTGATCCATTCATCTGCTGATGGACACTTAGGCTCTTTCCATGTTTTAGCTATTGTTGAGAGTGCTGCTATGAACATTGGGGTACGTGTGCTCCTATGCATCAGCATTTCTATATCCCTTGGGTAAATTCCTAGCAGAGTAGCAGTAGAATTTTAATGAGTCTTTGGGGGCACCTGGTGGCTCAGTCGGTTAAGCCTCCGACTTCGGCTCAAGTCATGATCTCACGGTTCGTGGGCTCGAGCCCCACATAGGGTTCTGTGCTGACAGCTAGCTCAGAGCCTGGTGCCTGCTTCAGATTCTGTATCTCCTTCTCTCTTTGACCCTCCCCTCCCTCTCTCCCTCCCTCCTTCCCTCTCTCTCAGAAATAAATTTAAAAAACATTAAAAATTTAAAAAAAAAGAATTTTAATGAGTCTTTGGATATCAAAAGAGAGATCCAGAACCAGTTGTATGTAAATACAAATCAGCTCTGAATAATCAGGTGAGAAGAAGTGAACTTGCTTGGGGAGATCTGGGAAGAAGCATGGGAAACTAAAGCAGAGATGTGAAGGAAGGCTTGTGTGTGTGTTGGGCTGGGGAGTAGCTGGAGGAGAATGCCCACAGAGAAAGGGGAAGGATAAGAAGTTTTGGATGGCAGAGCTTTTAGGATACAGATATTTATTATTCAGCTGTAAGTTATTTACATTGGTGCAAAGTGAACTTCATTTCAATCAGTGAGGTTGTGCTTGGGAAACCAAAGGAGGGGACTGTGTTCCATCTCTGGATCATGCAGACCGGAAAGGGAAGTGAATCTATGGGAGGGGAGTCCAGGTGAGCCAGAGCAAAACCATCATGTGCAAGCCAGGAGCCGGAGGTGATGAAAAGACAATCAACCTCAGATTATCTGCAGCAACCAGAATGGGAGGGTAGCCACTAGTTCTAGGTCAACTGATAGGGACTTGAGTCAATTTGATTTAAATCTCAAAGAGGAAAGTAACTAGTTCACAGCTGGGTCAAAGTAAGATACAGGAAAGAAAAAGACTAACAAGATTCCTCACTTTCATGGAACCTAATCGTTAGTACGAAATTTAGGGCCAATTCATCCATCTCTGGAAGCAAAGAAGTAAAAAGAAGTAAGGGAAAGAGGGAATTGATATAAATTAAGGAAGTTTTGAGATAAAAATCTTACTACCAGGAGGCTATTATAATTTAGAGAATGAGTGACTTGTTTATTTCCACAAGAGAAATAACATGAGTTTGTGTAGCAATATGGATGACACCTTTAACTTAGGGTGTTTGATGAGAACTGGTCAGTAAAATCCAAACCCCCAGGAGAACTCATCTATTTAGGGAATTTCCCCTCAATAGTTTTCAGAACTCGCTTCCAGTTAGGGACAGCAGACGTGGTGCCTTCAGGGTAACAAGTCCACCTCTCCCACACTTCCTGCGTACACACAGGTGACCACCAGCTGGACTTACGTCACTTGCCGCCTGCCTGGCAGCCTTGGCAGCTCTGATGGGAATCGCGTCCGATCTCAGGTCATATCCCTTCTTGCTCAAATCTTTCAAGTCTGTTTTGTACATACTCTGAAAGAAAAAAGTCATTTGAATGCAATTCAGGCCACATTTAGAAAAGACTTCACATGTGATCAGCAGCTGACTTCATATGCACACCTCACTGATGTTGTAGGCATTAACTTTAGCCTGGATGAACTGGGGCAGGTCTGCTGGCAGACTGTATTTGTGAAGAATTTCTTCTCCTTTGGCTTTGTAGGCAACCTGAAAGAGGGAAAAAAATGCATAAACAAAGAAAGTAGGGAAGAGGGCTTAAATGATACAGGAAGATAATTTCAGAGCGATCACACTGCACAGAAGTGCTTTTTATGAAAGACATTCCCTGTGTCACTCCCACATTCACCTGCAAAGATCTGTGGGCTTCAAGGTCTCATATACAATGCACAGGATCCTACGTGGTACCTGTTTGGCCCTGGGAAAGGTCCTTACATATGCCTTAGGAACCTCTGGATTTCGATAGGGGCACCTCATGGAAGTTAGCCCGGGGAAGTGACCTAATAAAAATGTTAACCTGCAGACACTTTCGTTAGCACAGAAGAGGAAAACTGGGTAGGATACACAAACCATCTATATCATATCTGTGGGTGACTGACAGGACTTAGGGGTAGCTTATATGATTTCTGTCTTAGCTCTGACTTACAACGTAACTCCTCCATAAGGTATATTGCCTATATTCGTTTTCCTGGTCTTTTCCGGAAATAGGCTTATAGTCTTTCTGGTCGTCAAGAGAAGACCCTCTTACCTTCTCCTTGGACAGCAATGTTAAATGGCTGAAAGGACAGTCAGCCCAGTATACATAATATTCTAAAGATATGAATTAGGTATGCTTTATTAATGAAAAGCTGGGAGAATTACAATTGCTCACATAACTGAGTCTCTTCAGATTGCATAAAAACTACAGGTAATCAGTATAGTAGGAACACAAATGTACTAAATAAAATTTATTAAATATGGGTAGGATTAACACTTACATCACTTCTCTGAGCCTGGTTGATTTTAGACTGTACTATAATCGGAGCATCTTCAATCGAGGTAAACTTGAGAGTGTCTGGATGTTGGCGGTATTTTTTCTGTTTGATGAATTTAAAAAAGAAAACCAATAATGTTACATTCACTGAAGGCTAATATATAAAAAAAATCTCTGAAATATACTTTGAAGGGACGGGGACTTTTCTTGGTTTTAAAATGTAAAAATACTAGGTTCATGGTTGGCTTGGGGGAAAAGATAAATACAATACAAAAGCCAGTGTTTTAAAAATTGGCTTAATTTTGGATTGTCTGGGGCAACACAGACCAATGCAACTTTCAGGAACCAGACTTTATTTCTTGCTTACAAAATGAAAAAGGCACTCTTAACTAAATAGAACCCAGATGTTGTATGTAAGTGATGAACCACAGGAATCTACCCCCAAAACCAAGAGCACACTGTACATACTGTACGTTAGCCAGTTTGACTATAGGTTATTTTTTTTTAAGCCAACTGTAAAAAACAAGCAAACAACAGGGGCGCCTGGGTGGCTTAGTCGGTTAAGCGTCCGACTTTCGCTTGGGTCATGATCTCGCGGTTCGTGGGTTCGAGCCCCGCGTCAGGCTCTGTGCTGACTGCCAGCTCAGAGCCTGGAGCCTGTTTCAGTCTGTGACTCCCTCTCTCTCTGACCCTCCCCTGCTCACGCTGTCTCTCTCTCTCTCCTAGAAATAAATAAAAAACATTTAAAAAAAAAAAAACAACAAGCAAACAACAAACAGAACCCAGAAACACCACAAAGTTTTCTAAAGGATTGCAGAAAAGCACACAAGGAAATTCAGAGCGTCTTTGTATGTCACTAACAGGTTCTGAAGTTCCTGTCACTCCACCTGAGGTAGAGAAGTAAGGAAGCTCTCTGGCTGAGGAAGGAGGGACAGAGGAATAAGGGTAACAGCTAGGGGATCCTGGATGAGAGGGAGGATTTTTATTCCACAGCCTCCATGTGCTTAGTACACAGGTTATCACTAAAGTGCTGAGGATCTCCAGGAGAGAGGACATTGGAAGATGTTTTAATTAGAAGCTGGCAGCTTCTAGCTACATTCCTATATTCTTCTCCATCTTGTCTCCCAGTCGTCTTCCTTTGTGCATATTATACATCCCACTTCTGTGTACAAAGCAGCATCACTCAGCTTTAGACTTCTGAAAACTACCAACCTAGAACTTTTTTGAAAAATCTGATAAAATGTTGTTCACCAAAAGCAAGCAAAAGCACAAGACAACAGAAACTTGAGTGTGAAGACAACTCAAGCACCTCAATCCCTTCATTATGTAGGCTACCCTCCCTGATGATGGATTTGCCTGACAGCAATGGGAATGTTCCACTGTTAGACAACCAAAATGCAATATAGCTATACAAATATTATTCAATAATAATAGAGAACAAATTGCAGACACATGCAGATACACAGATGAACCTCAAAAAAGTACAAAGTGGAAAAAATCTGATACAAAAGAAATTTCTAGAAAAGCAAAACTATAGAGGGGCTCCTGGGTTGCTCAGTAGGTTTAGGGTCCGACTTCGGCTCAGGTCACGATCTCAGGGTCTGTGAGTTTGAGCCCTGCAATGGGGTCTGTGCTGACAGCTCAGAGCCTGGAGCCTCCTTCAGATTCTGTATGTATTCTTCTCTCTGCCTCTCCCCCACTCATGCTCTATATCTCTCTTCCTCTCAAAAATAAATAAAATATAAAAATTTAAAAAAAAAAAGAAAAGCAAACCTATAGTAACAGAAGGCAAATCTATGGTTGCCTGATGTTGAAGATGGAGGCAGAAATTTTTCAAGGAAACACTGGTGTACTAGAAACAGCTTACAATTATGGTGACAACTATATGAACTTATTAAAATTTGTCTCGATGTACACTTAAAATAGGTGAATTTTATGGTATGCAAATTATACCCTGATAAAGTTATTTAAAAATATTTTTTATCATGAATGGTTAACGGAAGTGTTTTGGTAACATAAAGGAGTATGCTTATCTACCTGGATAATTCATGCATGTGGTTTTGTTTTTAATCTCAGCAATAATTACTAGAGAATAAAGCAGTAAAGAAGGTGCTTCCACAGTTTTGGGGGTTTTAACATAGCACATTCCCAACTCTCTGTCTGTGGCACACAGGACGGCTTTACCTCATTCAGGATGTCTGAAGCTCTCTTCACCTTTTCCATTTCCAAGGACCCGAAAGGCACCCAGCCACAGCCTTTCATCCAGCTGTTGTAGTCGGCTTTGTATTCAACCTACAACACCAACGGAGAGGTTATTGTTCTTTGTTCAGCATCATCCTTACTCATAAAATCATTAACATTTTACCCAGAATGGTATTTTTAGGATTTCTGACCAGCTTCCTTCCACCATATGTTAAGGCCATTTTAAATATTTCCTTGGTGAGAGATTTTTAATGTTTTTTAATGTTTTTAACATTTATTTCTGAGAGACCGAGCATGAGCAGGGGAGGGTCAGAGAGAGAGGGAGACACAGAATCGGAAGCAGCTTCAGGCTCTGAGCTAGCTGTCAGCACAGAGCCTGACATGGGGCTCGAACCTACGGACTGCGAGATCATGACCTGAGCCGAAATCGGACCCTTAACTGCCTGAGCCACCCAGGCGCCCCGGTGAGAGATTTTAACAGCCCTTAGGTTATCACTGCTCTTCTAGCTGGCATACATTCCATTACATCTATTTTCAACTGAAGGGAAGTATGTGAACTCAAGTTCCAATCTGGACAAATGCTACCTTGAAAGCTGTATTTCAAAGAATAAATAAAATTGTTATATTTAGATAATCAAATGTGAAATGTTTGTTCCCTAGAACTCTAAATCAAGTTAGGACTGAAGGCCACATCGAAGATGGATAATTTTGCTCATTTTCTGATTAGATAAGATTTGATAATAGTTAATTTGCACTATGTGTTTGTATACATTGCCCTTCATATGTAATGGTTAGCTTAGGAGTGTTTGTAACATGTACTTTAAGGTGGTCACACTCAATTTGCTTATGGAAGGTCATTATCATTTGGAATTGCTCCTATTTTGGGGACAGTTACTTGATGTTATTAAAATAAAAGGCCACTCTTATTGTCTGGCTATAGGAGGTACCTAAAACTCACATTCTAGATACAAAATTCAAATTGTTGTTTAGTGTGGGCCTTTTAATTGGAATTAAAAATATCAAGAACTATTTGTTTTCTGCTTATGAGAAAGAAACTTAGCAAAATTAAAGAACTAGATAATAATGCATAGAGATTGTTAGTGATGAGAACTGCAAATTGTACAGTTGCTGTACAAGAGTAGGGTGATTCCTCAAAAAATTAAAAATAGAATTACCAGGTGGCCTAGCAACTCCATATCTGAATACATACTCAAAAGAATTTAGAGCAGGGTCTCAAATAAGTATTTGTCACCAACATTCATAGAAGCATTATTCACAATGGCCAAAAGTTGGAAGCAACCCAAATGTCCACTGATGGATGAATGGATAAATAAAACGTGGTATATACATATAATGGATCATTACTCAACCTCAAGAAGGAAGGATATTCTGACACATGCTGCAACATGAATGAACCTTGAGGACATTACATTAAGTCAAAGAAGCCAGTAACAAAAAGGCAAATACCAAATGACTCTACGTGTATGAGGCCTACTGAGTAGTCCAGCTCATAGAAACAGAAAGTAGACAAGAAATTATTGATAATAATGAAGGAGATGATTGTGATAATGGTGATGATAACAACAGTGAATGTTTACTGAGAATTCACCAGGGCCTGACACTAAGCTAAGTATTTCACATGAATTCAAATTCTCAAAACATTTATTTTATTCCAGGTTTATAAGAAAGGGATATAGTGATGGGTTCATGCTAGAGCCACGTCTCTCTAACTCTGAAGGGCATGCTTTTATAGAACCACAAGAGTCATTTTCCAACTACATACTTGCTACATACAGAAGACAATGCAGACAGACACTTCTGAGAATTGTCAAGAACATGACTCCACTTAAAGATTACTTCAGTTTCCACCTTAGAAAGAGGGAATAGAGAAAATCGGACTACTCACATCACTCTGTAGTGCATAAGCCTTCTTGGCGAGATCCACATTGATGCTATCGGGTGGGTAGCTGTAATTGTGTAAGATGTGCTTATAGTCCACATCACTGGCAATTTCCTGAGATTTTTTAGCTTGAGTGACTTGGAGCATATCAAGAGGTGCAGTGTAGATGGTTTTTGACTTCTCGTAGTCTTTACGATATTCACGCTATGAATAGGAAATTTCCATTTATTACCACAAATCCTCAATGGAGTTCCAGAAAAGCACAGAAATCTCCATAAACAACAGACATGAGTTAGAGAACTGAGTATTTCTATTTTCTTATAATATGTTTATATGTTACACATTACTGAATGCTTCCCTCCCCCCTCAACACACACACAAAATCATACATGGACAGATTTTCTCAAATCTCTTTTTAGATTAAAGAGCAATGTCAGACATTAGGAGTGGCCCACAACTTCTGCTCCAGCCAGGTATTATTTTATTTAAAACAGGGTTTTTCAAGGACTTTTAACAAGCATTATTTTTACCAAAGCAATCTAATCTTTGAATTGTTTTCCAATAAGGAAATATTTTTTAATTGATGACAATTTTATGACAATCATTTCATTCTTCTGATTATATAAAATGACTACTTCATGAATAGAGCTTTACACTTGACTACTTGGCTTTCTTAACATCATATTTAAATGGTTATTGAGTTTTCAACCTGACTATGATAAGCTCCACTGAGAATCCCAAAGGTTTTTCATACCAAGTTTAATATTGGTAACAATTTAAAAGAAGCTTCAGATTGCAGCAGTAATAAGACCTCAAAGGAGAAAAGTTTGTGAAACTGAGCCATGAAAGTAACCTTGGCACTTATTACAGTGTTCTCATAAACCAAATGTCTTGACTGGGCCTCAGAAGGCACTTCCATTGGCTGGTTTTCTGGAATATTAGACAGGGTGCTAATTAGGTCAAAGTCCCAGCTTCATCGTGTCCACTCACCAATTGCCTTAACAGAGAGAAAAATTCTGACCCGGTGCCTCTAGGAAAAATCTAAACCCATTATATCTCTCCATAATCATGTAAGCATTAAAGACAGTGACCTAGGATAGTAAATGTAATCTATGCCTTACAAATCTTCTGTAGAAATTCCTTTTGCAAATGACTTGATCTTTTAGCTTTCTTAGGGAATATGATCTTCTTTCTAAATATTTTGTGAGCAGTTACTCTCACTGAACAAACTTAGCACTTAATTATAAAACCTAGACTTTGGTTTATAAAAATAAAACATGGAAATTTTCTGACAGTATGCATGGACACTGAAAAACTGGTAAAGCAATGTGGCAACAGCATTAGTGTTTCTGACTGAATGGTTTTGACTCTTTTGTTCATGCTCATACCAGTTCACACATATCTGCGTGTATAAAATGCTGTCAAAGGTCCAAATAACTTTAAAAGATTCTCTTTAAAAAGCTATGCACATTCTGTACCTGCAGCTTAGCATTTAGCCTGGATATTCTGTGAGAATGATTCATCACTGACTATCTCTTTTGGTTGCCAGTGTCAATTAACAAGTATTTACTGAACAGTTACTTTGTGCTTAGTGTTCTAATGGGTTCTGGGATAGGATGAAGAACTAAAGATAAACATATATGCACTGTCAACAGACAGCTATAACCTTTTGAGCTGAGAAGGGATAAGGATCTAGTGAAAAGCACAGTATTATGTATGTGACTACTGTATACTAACATAATTCAATGTGAAGTTATTAGAGAAAGTTATTACTGAATATGATGGTTTAAAATGCTATGTGACTGTATGGAAAATGCAAAATGATTTAAAGAAAGGTATTTATAGATCATTATATGAACACATGTTTGAAATGAAAGTAAATGATACAAGCATCCTTCTATTTAAGAAAAATAATATTTGCAAGCTATTTTGAACATTCTTAACCACTCTTAAGGAATTCTCTGAATGTTTTTTAAACAGTATACACTGCAACTTGCAATAGAGGTTTTATTCTCTACAGTAGGATTTTAATCAAAAGATAAGAGTTGGACTATAGGGAAGCCTTAGGGAATTCATCAATTCTCTGAAACTCAGACAGAAGGCACGAAGAAAAAGTTCATCTTTCCAGATGAATGGTCCAAGACTTTTATCAGATTCTCAGAGGGGCCTATAATCAATGGATTATTTTTCCTGAACCTATGCCAGTATTAATTACTAAAGTTAATAAAGAACAATAGTTAATAAGATTTTTATCTGTGACACATGATTTTCTTCCAATATATAGACAGTTTTAAAACCATCATTTTAAAGGTTCTTTTTCAATCAGGAGAAAATATGAAAATATTTAGCAATTTTTCCAAAATGTTTTGAGAATTAAAATCAATATTCTATTAAATATTAAAGCATACATTTTTCAAAGTGTAATGGACATCAAGTATAAATCAGTAATTTCTTTCCTTAAACACTGAGAGGTACAAGAATCTGGGAAATTATTCTGCTTCCAAAATTTCTCCTCAGCAACTTGTTGTGAACATGGCAGAGCCCATGGATATGGAATCTTTTTTAAAAAAAAAAATTTTTTTTTAATGTTTGTTTATTTTTGAGAAAGAGAGAGAGACATTGAATCAGAAGCTGGCTCCAGGCTTCGAGCTGTCAGCACCGAGCCCAATATGGGGCTTGAACCCACAAACCACGAATCATGATCTGAGCCTACACTGGATGCTCAAACTGATTGAGCCTCCCAGGTGCCCCTGGATATGGAATCCTTTTATATGCTACCACCCTTGGGCATGTTAACAGAGATGCCATTTTGAAAATAAGACATATTCACAAAGACACTCACATCACTCTGGTTTTTGGCCGTTTTCAAAGAGTGCAGCATCTTGGGATCATCATTAATGCTGAGGGCTCCAATCATCTTCCCTTTGCTTTTCTCATAGTCTTTCTTGTACATCACCTGTAAAGACATCACACATGCCAGAGCCCATCCATCAGGAAATGTCACCGAGGGCGCCCTGCCCAGGTGCCCAGGCCATACTCACATCGCTGGCAATCCGGCTGTTGGCTTTGGCTGCCAGCAGGGGAATGGCGTCCACTTTAATGTCAAATTTCTTTGCTTTGCTCTTCTCCCAGTCTTGCTTATAGATATTCTGCACAGAAAAATTTCAGCAAGAGGAATTGTAAAAACAACATCTAACACAGATTCATACAGTAAAAGAAATAGATTGAAAATTTATATATATAGACTTATTTCACCTACAAATATCCTATTTGCCAAATGATAGTATAATTATTCATTAATCTGTCATCCAGCTTCTCTCCTATACTCTTTAACATTCTGTGAACTTTCTAAAGACTCTGCTGCCCTGATGTATAAAGGACAATGTAAAATGACAAACATTTTGAGAAGGTGAAATGCAACTTTTACAGGAGAGATCTTACAAAACTCTAGAGATTAGCGGGGTGGGGGGAGGTAATTCAGAGGATGTTTCTGATGGTAACAGAGAATGTGGAAAATAAAAAAAGGATAGCTAAGTAAGTGCCTTCTGACCATTTAGGCCTTAAAAGTTCCACTCACACTATGGAAACAATCTCCATAGTTGGTTAGTTGCAGAACTCCTAATCTGGTCTTCTAAAACACCCAATACATCTCCTCTTTGCAAATACACGCAATGATAGATTTCTGTGGCTTTGGTACTTACGTCGCTCAAGTTATAGGCATTGACTCTGTGTTGGATAAACTGTGGAGCATCTGCTGGTACATTGCACTTGAATTTCTCACTTTCATGCTTTGCTTTGTAATTCAGCTAGAAAACAGTAGAGGATATCCAAACAGTTCAGGATCAGAATTTCCTTGAGTGCATGTAGAAGAGTGTGTACACACACACACACACACACACACACACACACACAAAACTAAGTATTCCTTCCCTTTTTCAGAAAAATGCCTCAAGGAGGTAGTCCATCCAGTCAAAGGCCATTACAGAGCCTAGACCCTCACTCCCTCTTTCAGGACTGTGGTGGAATCTAGTTTGTATTGTCATTTTGTAAATGCTATCTATCCCAACGTATGTATGGGAAACTCATTGTCTGATCTAAACCTTTAGGCTGTGCCTTCAGGACACGAACACTCAGAATGTATTGAATTCTATGACCTGCTACTCAAAGTGTGGTCTACCAACAGCAGCATCAGCACCACCTAGAAGCCTGTTAGAGAGTCAGCATATCCCTCCCGACCTACTGAATCAGAATACTGTTGCAGGGACACTGGGTGATCACGTGAAAGTGAATGTTTGGGAAGCACTGCTGTTCTTGCACTGTTCTTCACATGGCTGGACCGTTCTGCTTTAGATCTTCCTTGACCACCCAATCTGAAGTGTCCCCTCACTCACCCCCTCTCACATGACTGTTTGAATTCTGTCTCAAGACCCTATGTTAGTTTTCTTATTACTGCCTGATGTCTTTCTTGTTTCTGTGCTTTTTGCCTTCTTATAAAGTCTTTGTTAGCAAACTCAAAACGGGAAATGTTTGCCTTTATCTACACAGATAAATGCTCTTGTTGTTTTTTAAGTTGCTATCAAGCCTTAGTCTACATTATTTTTGGTGTGTGACACATCTTAATGAGCAAATTCCCCAGTAAAAATTGGTGACTTATGGAAGAAATATTCATTACTTTTATTTTCATCTAACACCATCTTTCCTGAGGCTACAATTCAATCTGGCAGCTTCATCTGCATTTTATTAAACCAATCTTGAAAAATGACACTGTTGGGATGATAGATGAGCCCATGAAGATTAAGCAGGAAAATGCTTCTATTTCACATAAACACAGCATTCTAGGTCACTCGCACTTGCACAGAGCACTCACGTCGCTAAGCTGTTTCGTGTTGAGCTGGGCTTGCAGCAGTACAGGAGTATCAGTGACAGCCGTGAATTTGGTCTTATCTGGATGAACTTTGTACGTATGCTAGGAAAAGATGTTCTTCAATGAAATTTCATAATGTATCTTTATATTCTTGTTCATATACCCACTAACATATAAAAAGTTTCCAGTCAGAGAGTTTATTTCCTGAAAACTTGGTTGGTATGTTCTCATTTCTCTAGCTCTTTTCAAGTTGCCTCTAAACTGATCTCCCTGCTGCAGTTCAGCAACCAGACTAACCTTCCTCCTGCTGAAGCCTTCCAAAGGCTCTCCAGTGGACTTGCTTTGATCTAAATTGTGCCTTGGTGGATAAACCTTACAGAATCCACCCCCTCCCTTCATCTCCTACCATTTCACCTCTTCCTACTGTCTCTCTCTCCAGTACACTTCAGCTACCTCATGCTTTCAATTCTGTAAGTACCAAGCTGTTTTTTCCTTACGCTGTCCTTCCAGTTGCTTTCACCTCGATTTTGGCATGGCGGCACGTTCCTGCCTTAGATCTTCCTTGAGCGCCTAGTCTATGGTGCCCATCCAGTCTCTCTCCCCCATATCATATTTTAACTCTATAGCATCATTCTATAATGTCTGATATTTTATCTGATATCATTGTCTGTTATCTTTCATAAGTTTCTGTGTTCTTTATTTTCTGCCTCTCCATCTAAAATGCACGCTCCCCAATGCACGCAGCCCACCTTGTCCTTTCTTCTTTCCCAGGACCAAGGACAGTGTCTGACACAAGCTGGTTCCTCATGTAAACTTGTTAAATGAATGAACACTTATGTCTCACATATCTCCCTATTTTCCCTTTCTTCCCAAACCATGTGTATATAAACTAGTGGAAATGAATAGTTTTAAAACCCCAAGCTCTTTTTGTAACAAACAGTTTTCTTCACAGTAATTTTTGTGTTCTCCAATTCCACTCAAAGTTTAAAATTTAACATCTCCTGCTAATCACTAGATGTTAGCATTGACTCCTGCTAAAATTACCACTAGATGGCACAAGAATCCCAAACCCAATTTTAAGAATTCATGACAACTGACTTACATCTTTGCACTGGTCTAGCTTCTTAATTGCTTCATATTCTTGCGTTATTGTCTGAGGGAAATAGCATTTCCCTTTATCTTCTTCATATTCTGCTTTGTAATTTTTCTATAATAAGAAGGAACAAAAATAGATCATGATTATTATTGCTCCCAAATAATATCACTGAGAAGCATGGATATTTGTCTTCAACTTACGTCACTGTTTTGTGCTGAAACTTTCCTGCAGTGTATCTGATATGGGTCCTCGACGCTGCCTACATAATGTCCCAAAATATTCTGCACATATGAATCTTTGTACTTAGCCTGAAAGAGAAAACATATTGACAAATATGTCAATTATATATGCTATTTGTCAAACGGCAGGAAAGCCCTGAAACCCCAGGGGTAACCATGGCCTTTCGAACCTCACTGAAGTTCTTCAGCAGAGTGTCAAGTTGATATTTGGGGGTCTCACAGTAGTTCATGCTCTTTGCTTTTGTCTTCTCATAGTTTTCTTTGTATAATCTCTGTCAAAGGAAAAAGAAAATCAAACAAAGAGAAAAATATATATATATCATGGTATAAAAGCCATTCTTATCATTGCTACACTTAACCAAAAAGATCAATTTTGCATTTTTTCAGCATTTATTTTCCACAAAGCAAAAGAAGCAGAGTGAATATGGTAGAGGCTCATGTCTTGTATAATCTAGGCTGCTAATAACCATACATATACTTATGTTATTTATCCTAACCCATTTCTCAGCCAGAATAAACCAGAATATACCAATGCTGCTCTCTAAGCAACATTTTGTCTTAATATAATTCTTTCCATTTGAATGTGTTTGAAGGAAAGTGAATTTTTTAAATAGTGAAAAATTAGGTAAAAAGTAGAAGGTGGACCTTAGATACTTAGGCACAGTTTTGGAAAAGTATTCAGTTCAGCACATGATGAAAACACATTTTACACTACCTTTGGAAGTTGGATTTTCTCATCAAGATCTAATATTTTTCTTTATAGTATAATGCATGAAAAGATAGTTTTTCCATTTTGTGTAGGTGGCATGTATTTCTACACATTCTCCTTAATTCTCCCATATAGAAATCCAAAAATATACTCAATGAAAACAAGAATATTTATAAATGATACAGAATAGGGAGTATTTCCTTAATTCCATGAATTAGAGAAGCAATTTTTATAAAGAGTTCTATTTTATTTTGGGTATTTTAGTCTTTAAAATGAGATCAATATTTTATAAAATTTGTAAAATAAATACTTTGTTCTTTAGGTTATGCTTCATCTAGTTTTCCTACTTTGTCTTTAGCCTGATTTTCCCACTTCTTGCCTTTATTTTTTTCTGTACGTATTTTTGCAAAGTATCTTAGATCGGATCATGACATGGAATAAATATGTATTCATACATACTGAGATATTAAGCCCATTTCTCAAAAAACTGTAAAGAAAATGCTATTGCTAGTATTTTTTCCCCTTAAGAAAATAGGCCATTAAAGAGATTAAGGAAACATTTACAATATTCACCAGTATCTCAAAGTACAGAATGAAGAGCTTGATCATCTTTTGCCACTGGGTTTTCGTGTTTGACTTGTCATCCTGAATCTGAGATTTACTTGGGCTAACATCACATCCAAAGTTATATTAAAAAGTTCAACCACATCTGAAAATAAAGGTGATTCACAAAGACACTCACATCACTCTGGTTTTTGGCCGTTTTCAAAGAGTGCAGCATCTTGGGATCATCATTAATGCTGAGGGCTCCAATCATCTTCCCTTTGCTTTTCTCATAGTCTTTCTTGTACATCACCTGTAAAGACATCACACATGCCAGAGCCCGCCCATCAGGAAACGTCACCGAGGGCGCCCTGCCCAGGTGCCCAGGCCATACTCACATCGCTGGCAATCCGGCTGTTGGCTTTGGCTGCCAGCAGGGGAATGGCGTCCACTTTAATGTCAAATTTCTTTGCTTTGCTCTTCTCCCAGTCTTGCTTATAGATATTCTGCACAGAAAAAATTTATCAAAGGAACTGGTAAAAATGATATGCATGTTATCGTACTTTAAAGACCAAGGAATATCTCAATACTCTAAATATGAATGAAATAAGTGGATCATTTTCATTGTTCAGAAAATCGTGATTTTAGGTATTTCTCCTCAAAGTAAAGCTTCAAATTTTCCAAGATCAAGATTCTCTACTCTCCATTAGAATCTTTCATCACATTAATCTATGTCTAATTACTATACTAATATTTGATTCCTAACATGGAGTATTTCACAGAGTGGCACAAATATTCTATAGTTAATTTACTTTTTATGATCTAAAGATAACACTTTCATTTGATCTGAAAGTCCTCTGAAAAGATTATTTCCTGAATCATTACAATTCTCATTGATGCTGGATAATCTTAGTACTTACTTATCGAATTGTTTAAGAAATTGAGATCTCCCCTCCAAGGAGAATTTGACTTTCCTATAAAATTAAGTTTTGAAAATGAAAAATAGTAATGGACACCTGGCCTTATGCCTTTTGAATACCCTATATCTTAGTGCAAGTTCCCTTACGTGTAGGAATAAGCACCATCTGTGTAAAATTAGGGACATTATACATCTGAAGAATAAATAAAATGACATTATATCTAAAAAATTAGGTCTTGGATAAAAACCAGTTATAGTGTAGTATAAAGAATATATGGCTAAAAGATCTAACATTATCATTTGCAACTAAACATACATGAGTGGTGGCATTTTGAGGGTTGATTGAAACACATTGTCTAATTGTACAAAGCTACTTAAAACATTGCTACCCACATTTATAAGATGAATTCAAAGATATGTGGGCAGAGGCAAAGGAACAGGATACAAATGTTAAATATTCTTCCCATCTTTAACATTGAAATGTTTATTCAGGGAAGCAATCCAGAAATAAAAACACTGGGTGTCAGGATATCCCATAGCACAGCACATAGGAACTTACATCACTCAGGTTATAGGCATTGACTTTGTGTTGGATGAAGGCAGGAGTATCTGGAGGTATGTGGCACTTGAACTTTTCGCTTTCATGTTTTGCTTTGTAGTTCAGCTGAGAGAGAGAGAGAGAGAGAGAGAGAGAGAGAGAGGGAAAGGGAGAGAGAGAGACAGACAGACAGCAGGCAGACAATAAGGAATACAATTAGTTCTGAAGAAGAATTGTTCCAAAATACAAAACTTTTGTGTGGTACATTTCATAAAATAAAAACATAAAGTATGTTTTGTTAAATAACAACTGACAATGTTCTTAAGATCAAGAAAGAAGTCCAGAGCTAGGGTAGGCCTCCATTGACCACCTGTGTGCTCAACACATGAAGGCTGATATTACAATGGTTACTGCAGTAGGACTGCGGTAGGACCCCCCCCCCCCCCCGCCCCAGAATTAATAGACTCTGAGACTCACAGCCCTTTCTTTCTTTTTATTGTTAGTGCTCACTTTCTGGAGAATTTACATCCCTCACATCCATTATAGTTTAATACTCTTATGTGAAGACTATTTCTGGCCATAAATCTACTGGGGTTACTTTTACTGTTTTGTTTTAATTCAACACAAGCTTGGGGGTTCATACTTAAAACATGTGATAAAACTTATCTCAAAGACTCCATTTTCCAAAAACTTACTGGAGGGAGGGAAATCCCCTGTATTGAGTATCTGCTCTGGGCCAGGGTATTTACTATGCACATATCTCCTTTCATTTACTCTTCAAAACAACCACAGATTATAAAAGGGAAATAGGAGCCAAACAGAAGTTAAACAATTTTCTTGTGATGCCAGGTCATAAATGACAGAGGTGGGATTTGAACCCAGTTTTGTCTGACTTAAAACTCATGGTCTTTCTAGTGTGGTAAGCTTCATTAGTTTCCTTTATAGAACCATTTCACTGTAATTGTTATCTACCCAAGAAGATGCAAGGCAACTAAATAAGGAAATATTTTAGGTGATTACAAATATACACAAGTTAAATTTGCTAAAACTGACATAGTTTTTTTTTTTTTTTTTGGAAATGTGACAAATCACTGGATTTTATATATGGAGTTGTGATACGTTATCCCTCATAATTGGATTTCCTGCATATTTAGAGGAACTTACATCACTCAGTTGTTTGGAATTAACTTGGGCTTGCACCAGAACAGGAGAGTCAGTGACTTGAGTGAATTTTGTCTTATCTGGATGGACTTTGTAGGTGTGCTGCAGAGGAAAAAAGGAATTGTTGTAGCAGTCAAATCCAAGTTGGCCTATAGCTGAAGCAAGCAGAACCCACTGCCCCAAACAAAAGAAACTTGTAGTTAATAAGACACATGACTCTTTTCTAATTAGACTGCAGTGTCTTTGAGAGCTGCTTTCACACTATACAAGAAACTCATTCTTCAGATTTCTGATAATTCTTCTCTGGGGAAATGAACTAGAATTAGCTCCTGAAATGTATTGGTAACCACAGGGGAAAACAGTTACCAAACAAATTAAATTGTTTCTTACAATTTCCTTGCCTGCATGTATTTGAAAAGTGTTAACATTTTAAACATCTCTAGACCACTAGATGCTATGGGGGTCAGGATGATCCAAGTTCATACTATAGACTTACATCTTTACACTGATCTAGTTTCTTGATTGCTTCATATTCTTGAGTTATGGTCTGGGGGAAGAAGCATTTGCCTCTGTCTTCTTCATATTCTGCTTTGTAGTTTTTCTATGAGGAAAAGAAATCAGACATAAGGATGCAACCATTATATGCATGCCCTCAAAATGTGTTTGTTGGAAAGCTAAACAATTATCTTAGAACTTACATCGCTGTTTTCAGCTGTGACTTTCATGCAGTGTGTATAATATGGATCCTCAGAGCTGCCTACATAATGTCCCAAAACATTCTTTAGGTAGGAATCTTTGTACTTGGTCTGAAAGACAAAACATGTTTCATGTATTGATCGGGGGTGGGGGGGGAATAATGGATCTTTTCTCGACACAGGAAGTAACCACACGACTGCTTACATCACTAGTGAAGTTCTGCAGAACTGTATCAAGTTGAAATTTGGGGGTTTCGCAGTAATTTATGCTCTTTGCCTTTGTCTTTTCATAGTTTTCCTTGTATAGTTTCTGTCAAAGGAAAAAAAAATCAGTTAAAATAGATTCCTGTCACTCCTACACTGATTATACCACTTGCATTTCCCAACACTAAACAAAAGCAGCAGAAAAAAAAATATCGCCTGTCAACGGTCTTAAAAACTGATAATCAAACACTGGGGTGTCATGAATGGTAAGTTTCTTCTATTAGCAATTACTGTAAAGCTTGGGCTTTTAGTATTCACCAAAAAAAAAAAAAAAAAAAAATCAAGAAAGGAGTATGCTGCCTCAGGCCAAGCCCTTAGCTGTGGAGTTTGTGTGTATTTTGGAACTGCTACCTCCTTCTCTCCCCAACTCACAGACGTATCCCTCACTGATGGTGCCACAACAGAGAGGAATATTCTGAGCAGCACTGATTTTTTTTTAACAAATCTTCATGAAAAAGCTTAGTATACATTGAGAAAGACACTCTTCCTCCTTATTATACACATAATATATTACTATCTGTATATATTAACATATACATATGTTTTTTTAATTTTTTTAAATGTTTGTTTATTTTTGAGAGAGACTGAATGTGAGCAGGGGAGGAACATAGAGAGAGGGAGACGCAGAACCCGAAGACAGGCTCCAGGCTCTGAGCTGTCAGCACAGAGCCCGATGCAGGACTTGAACCCACGAACTGAGAGATCATGACCTGAGCTGAAGTCAAACGCTTAACAGACTGATCCACACAGGCGCCTCACAAGTGTTGGATTTTAAAGGCCACAGATACAGTGGCCATTGTCACTTTCTCATGCTGAGTTTGAAACTGTAAATAGTACAATTCAGTTTTTCTATTTTTATATTGTTCTCTTTATCAACAAAGTAGATTTGGACCTGTGCTTTCATATGCTTGATAACGATGACCTTCATTTAGGAACCAGGAGACAGGCTTTGCATTAATTTCCCTACAGAGCTATGTGGACAGACCCACTGACACCCTCTCACCTGCCACTCCCCTCAGTCCATTCCTCAATCACATGTATGCATCTCTATAGTGCTGACATAATTTAAGGGACAAAGAAAAGATAACTAAGCTGCAAAGAGAAGCATGTTTAATCCTCAAATATTGGGAAAGCTTAATACAGTGTAACCCTAAGAAAAACTCAACTGATCACATGTTCAGTCTCTTTGTTTAGTCAAAGTGGTTTTGGGCTGTTAGTCTCTTAATTCCAGTTCTCACTTAACCAATCTATCTTAAATGTAATTGGATTGGTTAGGCTTTTATTTCCACAAGTAGAAATTCCTGTGAAGACCTAGGAAGCCATCTTTTAAGTCATGTTGCCTGCAAATGATGGTTTCTAGGGCCAAGATCTGCACAGAAAATGGTAGAAGTGAAGGGAAAAAGCTGTGAAACACGGGGCATCTGTCTTCTCCCAGCCTGCTTGAAGCAAGGGCAGGGTTCACACACTACCTCATCTCTCTCTCTCTCCTCCCCTTTCAAAGCCTCCTTCTGTCTGTGTCAAAATAACATGTATGGCCTACTCTTTGTTCAGATCTAAGTATCGGGGCCTATAGGCAAGTGAAGATTCCTGTGCCATTGAACAAAATCCGCATGACCCCTACAAAGGACATACACCATACTCAGAGACATTTATGTCTTCTCCCGGTTAAACAGTTCCTGGGAAACCAGTACACCAGAATCTTAAAGTTTTTGCAACGTTATATTCATTTCAGTCATTACAGAAGGAGAGAAATTTCCCCTCCCTGGCAGCTAAGGTTAAAAAACACTTTTTGACAAGAATGTACTTACATCACTCAGGGCATCTCCTGCCGCCTTCAGCTGTTTGAGCAGTGGGTTCTCTGAAGCAGGAAGTACATTATAATCTGCTTTTCCTTTATTCTTTTCATAGTCTTCTTTGTATTTTACCTGTAGGAGTGAAATAAAGTGATAAAGTAACTGAGTTATTTTTGCTCGTCTCTATTATGGATATTATGACATAGTTCCACACATCAGCTTTCTCTCTAGAAAAGTGGCAGCTTGACATTTCACAAACAAAATACTCATAGTAACTCATAACAGCAGCACAGAAACTGCATAAGTTCCCAGGATAACTTCCCTCTCGTTCATGTATTCATTCAAAAACGTCCATAGGCTCTGAGCCAGATCCAAAGAAGAATAACACACTGTCCCTGCCCTCAAAGACAGAAAGAGATAGCCATACAAATAATGACAGTGCATCATGTCCCAGACACTTACTGCTCAACAACCCTCACTGAGCTCTTCGCTTCCAGCTGCCTAACTGCCAATGTATTTTTAAAGAAAGCAAGCCACAAGCATCATCAATCTACCCTTTAATGTCTCATCAGTGACTGCATGTGAGCATGTGTGTATTTAATGTACATGCAGGAGGAGGAGGAAGGGGCTGGAGGCTGGATGCTGGATGACAACCTTCCCTTTTCTTTCTGCCCCTTCCTCTTTGCTCCTTTAATTCCAGCTTTAGCAGAAGCTTTAAACAAGGGCCCAAAAGTCCCTGTCAGGAGCATGTCCAAAGAAAGAACAAGAAACACATCCTACTTCTTGATCCCCAGTGCCAGCCATTTATTCCAGCAATAGAACTGTAGAATATAGGAACGGTCAAAGAATCCTAGATAATCTACTAACATTTGAGAACCTCAAAAAACACACATAATCAGCTTAGTACCCAAAGGCAGGAGATACACAACTGAAACACAGTGCGCCACCCCCTGTAGCACACGTAGAAGACTGCCAGGCCATACAGACAGGAGTGAAAGACATGACCTTTCTGTATGATAGAATTATGTGCTTCATTAAGAAATGGAAACAACTAGAAAAGGAGTTCCACACACCCTCCTATCTTCCCACCTGCATCTGGGATATGTGGCCTCTTCTCCTCCTGTTTATGGATGAATTGTCAAGACCTGTGGCAAAGTTACCCCTCCTGTTAAACACCAGAATGCTTCCCCTTTCACCTACTCAAGGGCATTAACCCCAGCCACTCTTACCTCCTCAGACATCACAACATTTTCCCTCCACCCTGGATTTTTTTCATCAGCATAGAAACATGGTATCTTGGTCTCCGGTCTTAAAAGAATCCCCTCTTCATCCACATATTCATCAGCTACTACCCCATTTTCTTCTTTTCCTTTCAGGAAAATACTTTTAAAAACTTGAGTATACTTACACTCTTCTATCACTCTCTTCTCACCCACTCATGAGCCCTCTCTAAGCAGACTCAAGCAAACTGCTCTTGTAAAGTTCACCAGAGACCACCCATTGGTAAATCCACTTTAGAAACATTGGACACAACTGATCACTCTTCACTCACTTTTCCCTTTCTCCTGATTCTATTCTTACCTCACCTCGATGATGTGTTCACGTGGAGATACTCCAGAGTTCAGTTCTTAGAGCTTTTGGTCTACAGTTGCTCCCTTGATGGCCTCCAGTCTTATGACATTAAATACTATCCATCTACTGATGACTCCCAAATTTATATAATCCTTCTGGATACCTCCCCAGGAACCTCACACTCATACAATCAACAGCCCACTGAACATTTCCACTTGGGTATCTAAAAGGCACCTCCAATCGTACATGTTGAAAGCTGAGCTCATGTCTCCCCTCCAGAAATAATCATTCACTCTTTCCACACTCTTCATGTTGATAAAGGGAAATCCCATCTGTCTGGTTTGTTAGACCCAAACTTTCCTCTCATAGCCCACATCCAACCCAACAGCAAACTAGGTCAGCTCTACTTTCAAAGTACATCTCATCACTTGCCTTACCCCGCTCCTGATCCAAAACATCACTATTTTGCACCTGAATCCTGAAACAGCTTCCTAGGTGATATCATCTTCCTGCTTTCACTGCTCTAGCAGAGAGCCAAGGCCAGGGTTTGAATCAATTCTGATTGGCTTTGAAGTTTATGCTCTTTCTAGTGCTTTAGAATGCCAAGGACCCTACTGACCAAAGTCTACTCTATAGAGTATATGCATATCCATGAATTTGTGTATCTTGCCTGTGACTGGATTTTCACCAATTAGTAGGAAAATAAGAAAAAGAATGGTAATGGTGAGTTTGGGAGTGTCCATACTCATATAAGGTTGCCAGCTGTCTTTTCTTGGGAGAATTCTCCTATCTGAGAATATAGCCTTTCTACTTGCAGATATCAAAAGGTCCTTTATGAAATATTAAAGATGGTAACTGAGTATTGCTAATGGTCATATACAGCAAGTTTTTCAAAAATTGGTAGCCCTATTATAGCCCCAGAAGATTTCTTTTGTTGTTCCCCAAGAATGCTCCCTTGTCCCCATTTTATATAAAACCAAGAGTTACAGGAAACTCACCCACACTAAGACCATCATGACAAATGAGAGCATCCCCTCGTACCTTGCTAGCTGCCACCCCAGCTTGTTTATTCACTTTGTACTCTGGTGTTTCGGTCTGCATGAAGTAGATCTGGTCTTTCATACTCTCGAAGTCTTCCTGGTATTTTCTCTGTAAGACATTAAACATACTGGAGAACTGCTGTGGGTACAGACTGCGCACAGGCTTCACATGGGAAGACAGGAGCTGGTGGGAGACATTACACACAGCCTCGCTCCTCTTGGCTTACCCAGGTCAGGTTACAATGAGAGAATGCAGTGCCATCACAAAAACATTTAGCAACTTAACAGAGATTTTGAGCAATTATAATAGGCTGAAAGTCAGCCTGGAAGAAGGAGCTCTAAAAGGCCACGGACAGAGAACTTAAGAGAAAAGAAAAAGTGTTTTTCAGTGAAGAAAATCTGGGAAGAAACTAATCAGTTTCATAAATGTACTGTTTGGGCTCCCCAGGCGAAGAACAAATTTAAAAGGGCCCCTTTAACCTGTACTCACTTTGCAACTGTACTGTTCATATAAAAATTGAGGCATGAATAATGGAATCTGATCAAAGCAGTATTTCTCAAAGGTAAAGAAAGATAGGGGAATTTCTTTCCTGATAGAAACTCTATAGAGACCTTACCCCCAAGATGAGTTACTTGGACTCTAATGCTCTGGTAGCACTTCACACAGCTGGGGGGTCTGAAGTCATAAAAGAAAGGGGTCACCCTTTCCACCTAAGAACATCTGGCTATTCTTTCCTACTTACTGTGCTGATGTTATCAGCATTCATTCTGGCGTTTGCAATTTCAAAGCAAGGTGTCTCACTCCATTTGCCTTTGATTTTATTTTCATAGTCTTCTTTGTATTTTTGCTAGGAGGAAAAAAAAGACAAAATATAGAAAATATAGAAATTGACAAGACAGGAAACTAAGTGGTAATGGGCAGCTTAAAATTTGTTTTAATTTAAAAAATATCTTGACTATGGCTTTTCTTAAGTTCTTAAGAGATGCCTTCAAATCTTCCAGGATAGTATCAATTACCCAACAAAAAAGTGGGGTGTGAGGGGAGAGGTAATAATTCACCACTTTCTTGTTGAGTCTGGGGACTTAGTTCATTTGGAACTTATGGATGTTCCCTGATGTTTGAGGGATAAGACTCAGAAGCATCCTTCACTTATAATAAAACCACTCAATCTCAGATTTCCATACCAAATGAACTTAGGCATAAATTTATGAGAGCTACCAAAACTTCTAATTATCCAGAAGCAATACCACCACAAAATTGCAGACTAATGAATAACGCTTTCCAGTTTAGTCTTACAGAAATTTTATGAGAACTGGCAAGTAGTTCAAAACTTGCCCCATCTTGTTCCCAAACACCATCCCACCTGAACCCCAGGCTGTAAGCATCCTCAAGAGAGGAATTATGCATTCTCAATGTTCATATCCTCAGAATCTAACACAAAATGCAGCACACAAAACTGACCTCATAAATGCATGTCCAACAAAACTAAAATGAATTGAGCCTGTGATATGTGGCTTCAAATTGCCTTGGCTTAGAGGGATCTTAAAATAAAATTAGGGGTGGGACGCCTGGGTGGCTTAGTCGGTTGAGCATCCGACTTTCGCTTAGGTCATGATCTCGCGGTTCGTGGGTTCGAGCCCCGCGTCGGGCTCTGTGCTGACAGCTCAGAGCCTGGAGCCTGTTTCAGATTCTGTGTCTCCCTCTCTCTCTGACCCTCCCCTGCTCACGCTGTCTCTCTCTCTCCTAGAAATAAATAAAAATATTTAAAAAAATAAAATAAAATAAAATAAAATAAAATAAAATTAGGGGTGTCTGGGTAGCTCAGTTGGTTAAGTGTCTGGCTTTGGTTCAGGTCATGATCTCATGGTTTGAGAGTTTGAGCTCTACATTGGGCTCTGTGCTGACAGCTCAGAGCCTGGAGCCCGCTTCAGATTCTTTGTCTCCCTTTCTCTCTGCCCCTTACCTGCTCACACTCCATCTCTCAATCTCTCTCTCAAAAATAAGCAAACATTTTTAAAAATGTATGTTTAAAATAAAATGAAGCTAGTCAATCCCAAACCTGGGCATATGAGCTAGGGATGGGTTAAAGCAATCTCCCTTCTTGGCTCACAGAAATGTGTTAACAGATACAACCAGTGAGTCTCAAAGTACCTGCATGCCTACACCTCCACTTCATTCTTTAAGAAAAAAAAAGTGATTTTCTGGTATACCTTTAACAGAACCAGTACCAAGAATGAGTGATGTGCAAAGCCAGTGAGTTTGAGTTAAAGGATGCTCAGCCCTCTCTAAAATGTCTTTATCCTTCTTCTCAAGAGGCTAATGTGCTAAGTGCTAGCCAAAAGTTTTTCACAGCTATAAATTTTAGATTCCTGGGCTGGAGTTCAGAAGCTCTGGGCCCAAGACTGAACTCCACCATTACCAAAGATGTGGCTGAGCCTCTCCAAGTTTCGGGGTTCAGTGTTCTCAACCACAGCACTGGCAATAATTATAATTCCTTCTACAGAAGATTACTGAAAAGTTTAGATAAGTCCATACCCTCAAGGGTCCTTTGCAAACTCTTCAGTGCTAAACAAATGTAGGATATGATAATTATAACAATAATGACAACAACATTGCTAGCGTAACAGAGTAAGAAACTCGAGAAAATTGTGTGTGTGCACACGCATATTCTTCGGTGGAAATCTTTATTGAGATAAATTTATATTTAAGTGCCAAATTATTTGCCTACTCTCCTCTTTTGAAGCTTTAAAAAATTGAAGTCAACCCTTTAGTCAGTCAAAACTGGCTGAATTCAATTGGTCAAAAGGGATTTTTTTGATTTGCTGATTACCTGTAGAAGTATTTCTAATCTTTTTTGGAGAATAGACCTCTTCAGAAACCTGAGAAAGCTATAAAATGCCCATAAACACAATTTCATATACACACCCCAGCTTAAGATCTCAAAATCCACAGTTTTTGGTGGAATACTGCCCTTTCTCTGCTTGCTGGCAAAGGAAGAAAGCTCTATGATTAGGGAATAGGGGCAAGTGGTCCTGATACATCCCCACAACTTTGTAAAAGGATTTAACATTGAGAAAGTAGTGAATACTCTTAATGAGATCCAAAAGTTGGGATACTGTGAAGAAATTACTAGAATCACATATGTCGATTTGTTAAGGAAAATTAAGTAAAAATTCTTACATTATGAAATGGATGTCTGATTTTTCAGAAGATATTAAAACAAGATGCAAAATAAGAGTACAAGACCATCCAACACCCTCACCCAAAGTCCGTCCTCACTTCTTCCTCTTTATGAACCAGTCACCATAGAGGTGGATCTCTCACAATCCACCTCTACTCCCAAGTCTGGGAAGATTTTCACAGTAAGGAAAGAGGGTGGAGCTTGTTAACTGTTGAAGTTGTGGCCTTCCTCTTCATCTATAGGTAGGAAAGGAGTTAAAGACTGAAGGCCTGTAGCTTGAGGAATGAGAAGGAAAGTGAGGTATGTGTCCACTTGGGGCCTCCTCTATCAACCAAGTGGTCTTATTCTACATGTCTCACAGCAAGGCCTGCTTATGTGGTACATAAAGATTGTTAGCCATACCAGGGGTCCAACACCCAACTTTCCCCCCAACCCCACCCCAACTCTTCTGTCTAACTCTGTCAAGTAAAGCCAATCAATGGAAAACTGGCAGCAAGAATTGATTTAATGCTCTCAAAGATTCTGTGTTTGTTCACTTAACAGAGGAGAGTACATGGAGTCAATTACAAGCTATGGAACACCTTCTGTGGGCAAGAGTAACCGCATGTCGACAGATGTAGTAAAACTGCTTCCCCAGACCATAGTCCCTCCTCCCCAGAAATGAACTAAGAGTGCTTTCATTGGGCCACAAATTGGACACCCTAACATCCAAACACAGGACTTCATTTTCTACTTTCCATATCTACATCTGTGGTTTTGATGTGGTTATCAAATGGAAGGATATAAAGACAGTTTAGTTAATCACACTTCACTTTTTCTGTGAGTAAATACTGGGACTTCGGACAGCTTCATTCATAGACAAGTTATCCTCTCAGAAGGGTGGAGGGGGTCCCAACTGATATTTTCATTGCCCACAGTGGGCCCAGGGCTACTTTCCTAACCCAACCAAATCTCTTCTGGTGACATCAATGGAAATATCTCCTTAATTCTTTTTGATAGAGGACTTTCCATGGTTTTAGAAGATTAGAGCTTGGCATCTTCATGCTGTATGGCAATACTCATTGTAAGATATTTTTTTTAAAAAATCCCAGTGAAATAGTAATAAATACATATATATTGGTCTCTGCCCCCCAGTTCCTAACACAGAAGTCCTAAACCTTGTCATCTCCTGAGTGATAGCGTCGTCTTTTGTTTCAGTGACACAACTCCTGGATAGCTTTATGATGGGGGCTGGGCACCAGAAAGACCAAGCCATGATTAGAAGCTTGGAACTTTCCACCCCACCCTTCACTTTCTGAGGAGGGAAGAGGCAATAGAGATGGAATTAATAATCAGTCAGGCCTATGTGATGAAACCTCCATAAAAATCCCTGAAGGACACAATTCAGAGAGCTTTCAGTGTGGCAAGCACATCCACACGCTGGAAGAGTAGCTCCACAGGGGCAGAAGGTCCCGTACGTGGGACCCTTTGGGACCTCACCCCAGGTTCCTCTTTATCTTGGTTGTTCATCTGTATCCTTTATAATAAATTTAAGAACGTGTTTCTCTGAGCTCTGTGAGCCAATTATTAGTAAATTATTAAACCTGAGGAAGGAGTCATGGCAACCCAGGATTATAGGCAGAAGTATGGGAGGTCCAGACTGATGACTAGTGTCTGAAGTAGGGGTAGTCTTGTGGGTCTGGACCCTTAACCTGTGAGATCCGAGGCTAACTCCAAGAAGATAATGTCAGAATTGAACTGAATTATAGGACACCAAGCTGGTGTCAGAGAATTTGGTCGGTGTGGTAAAAAACCCATTTGGTGGCAGAAGTGTGCGCAGAGTAGAGGAGACAGAGCTTTTCCTTTCAATTCTACATCCCTGTTAGGTATCATTAGAAATTCTAACCTGAAATCTCACATTTCTCCTATCATGAGTCTGGAAGCAGAGAAGCAAGCACAGAGCAACTAAAGGGACTTCCCAATGTTGCATTCAGCACCTCACTTTCAGCTGGCTGTAGTGTGCCTAGTGTCCTCACCTGGAGGGCCTGCTTAATGAACAACCCTGCCTGACTGTCCATCTGTGTTAGAGCTCCAAAATGCAGCTGAGCTAGGATGAGTGTTGGTATTGGAGACCAAGGTTAGAGAACTGATTCTGACAGCTACAGTAAGGAAAGCTGGTAAACAGAATATAGTCAATATATAAGCAATATAAGTCATTACAGATCCCTCCTCATCAGGGAACTACAAATCAAAACCACACTGAGATACCACCTCACGCCAGTCAGAGTGGCTAAAATGAGCAAATCGGAGAACTCGAGATGCTGGCGAGGATGTGGAGCAACGGGCACCCTCCTACACTGTTGGTGGGAATGTAAACTGGTACAGCCCCTCTGGAAAACAGTGTGGAGGTTCCTCAGGAAACTAGCGATAGAACTCCCCTATGACCCAGCAATAGCACTGCTAGGAATTTACCCAAGGGATACAGAAATGCTGAGGCATAGGAGCACATGTACCCCAATGTTCATAGCAGCACTCTCCACAATAGCTAAAACATGGAAAGAGCCTAAGTGTCCATCAACGGACGAATGGATCAAGAAGATGTGGTTTATCTATACCATGGAATACTANGAAATCTGGCCATGTGTAGCCACATGGATGGACCTTGAGGGTGTTATGCTGAGCGAAATAAGTCAGGCAGAGAAGGACAAATATCATATGTTTGCACGTATAGGAGGATTAGGAGGAACTTAACAGAGGACCATGGGGGAGAAGAAGGGGGGAAAGAGTGGGGGAAAGGGGGAGAGGCAAACCATGAGAGACTCTTGAATGCTGAGAAACAAACTGAGGACTGATGGATGTGGAGGGGAGGGGGGAGATGGGCATGGAGGAGGGCACTTGTGGGGATGAGCACTGGGTGTTATATGGAAACCAACTTGACAATAAACTATTTAAAAAAATATAAATCATTACAGGTACATGATCATTATATTAACATATGAAACAAAGGCTATAAGACAAAGGGATATATTGGGAGACACAGACAAGGAAATGCTGAACTTAAATACATAAGAGTGAGTACATGAAGGAGATTTGATGTTTTGGAAAGAAAGGAAATGATGATACTGAAACATACGTCAAAGCCCATGACCATGGGGAATACTTCAAAAGAAAAGACTTAATTCCCACAGCTAAATCACCTCTTTCTCCTCCACCTGCAGCTCTACTCCTCTCTTACTGGATGGTTTGTTGTTAGATGGACCACTACAGATCATAAGCATTTCCTCCTAAAGTGAGTGTTATTTTGGATGCACAGCACCCATTAAGAACTCGGTATTTGGGGGAGACTGGGATAAATAGCCAAATACAGTGACCTTTATCCTCAGCTCACATTGTTATTCCACAAGGGCAAACCCAGTGCTGGTGAGGTTTTCAAGGGTCTAATGATGCCACTGTGTCTGGCTAGAGTGGTGCAGCCCAACAGGCATACAATGCAAACCGCCACTGTAATTTTAGATTTTCTAGTAGCCAACTTTTAAGATGTAAAAAGGAACAGGTGGGGAATTAATTAAGCTTAACAACATTTTTACTTAACCCTATACATCCAAAAATATTATTTCAACTTGTAATCAATGTAAGAATAATGAATGAGCTATTTTACATTCTTTTGGTCATACTAAGTGTTCAAGATCTAGTGTATATTTTACACATAGAAGACCCCGAGTTCATACAATCACATTTCAAATGCTCAAGAGTCACACGTGGATGATGGCTACTACCCTGACGAGTGCACTTCTAGACTGACTGGCATGTCTAAATTAGTGGACAGATTGATTATAGAGCAGTGTGAAAGTGATTTATTTTTTATCACATTCAATTACTCACACTGCGTACTCAAGGTAAAAAGCATGTTACAATAGTAAGATAGCTTTTAAAATATGCTTTAAAAATTAAAAATAGATTTTTATTTATAAATGATCCCTTTAAAGGAGCTTTTTCTTTTTCTTCAAAAAGATCAATTGCCCTTGTTTCCCAATCTTACTTAAATATCAACACTTTTAGAAGGCTGGCTCTTTACGGACAGTTCTAAAGTTTATTTCTGCTTAGTCCTGGGCAAATTTCAGGGTCATGGCATTCCTATTAATGAAAATTTACTGTACTTAGCAGATGCTCCAAATAGCCTTTAGTTATACAATTAGTAGACTGCCCTATCAGACACTAAAAACATCACTGAATAGACTTCATCATCCATAACTTTTCTTCCTTCTTTACTAGAGACGTCCTTTCCCACAAAATACCTAAACAAGATGGAAACCTTTAGGTTCCATCAAAATTCAAGCAGAAGACCAAATTGGGATTCAACTCCACAGAGGGCAAAGAAAAAAGTATTTAAAATCAGCCGTATCCCGGGAGAAAGTGGCCTGATTTGAACCAATTTAAAATAGGAATTTGGCATGGGCCTGGTCACCAGTTGAACATCTGTCTCTCTGCAGTCTCTGTCAGGCCTGCATTCCTCAGAGCTAGCTTACCAACCTAAATATAGACAGACTAAGCCATTTGCCTGCGCTTTAAAAGTTAGGAGGTACACTGCCTGTGGCTGTCAAACTAAGCCATGTCTGAGAAATCACGCATGCATTTTTATTTTCTCCATGTCTGACCGAGAGCATAAAACTGTGCAAGGTCTTCACACTGAATTAAAACAATCAGATGCTCCAAGAAAATGTGTGGAGACTCAGTTCTTTGTTGGTATCACTTCTGCAAGTCAAAATGTTAAATGACATCAGGACACATGTTCTGTTTTCAAAACGCAGCTTTCGTATTTACCGACCATGGAGTCATTAAGCTGGCTGAACATTTATTAATGTATTATGGTTCCACGCTGTCAATGGATGCAATGTTTTTGCTGTCGACTTTTCAGAGTCATATTGCAAAAATACTCTCAGTACTGGTGTCATTAGGTTCCCCTTACTTTCTCTGATGTTTGAGATTATTAAGCCAGAGTTTTCAAGGCAGACTCATCCTATTTACTTACCTTGCTCACTTGATTGGTCACTTTCTTAGCAAACTCTATGTCTGGAGGATCTGGCAGAGATGTGAATTGAGATTGCTGTTCAGCAAGACCTTTTTTGTAGGCAATCTGACAAAATAAAAGACAGGGACGCTCATGAGCCATAGAAAATGACTCTATTTCCCATGTTCCATTTGTTAGTATTTTTGAACGAGATTATATTTTGACCTGTATTTGAAGTCTTAAACTTTAGTGTACCACATAACAGTAACTTGTCCTTGCAGATGCTACACACCCTTGCTCTCAGTATTAGCAGGAATTTCTATTTTGTTAAGTGTTACTTCTTTAAGATTATTAACCCTAGATCTGTTTCCTTCCATTTGTCTTCATGTCATGATTTGCAATTGAAATTATTCTGTCAATTTCGACTCCCAAACTCTTGTCCTTACATCAGCTACCATACCCTTAGCTCTGGATCAACTCAACTACACACTTGCTCTGTTCTTATATCCAGGATGATGAGTGCTATTGAAAAAAAAAATCACATAACTCTATTGTATGGATAATGATAATGTGATAAGCATGATTAGAAGAGCCCCTGGAAGAAGGTACAGATATGGGAGAGGGAGCCTCTTGAACCTAAACCCTTAGCTTGAAGTTTGGGTGCCTACCTAGTGATAAATGCTGTGAACAACAGCTTGCTTGGGGCTCTGTACCCAATACTCTGAATTTATGCTATCCAATTGCCACTTTGCCTTCAATGAAGCTTGAAAGCCCCATTATGCAGTCTCTACTTGCAGTGGTTAGTGTAAAACCCCAAGACTGTCCTTAGGCCCCCAATCAACTCTCAGCCTCCTCTTTTATAGAGTAAAGGAAGGCTATCTATATACACTTAGCTTTCCCAGTACTCACCCCTCCCTCCCACCTGCTGCATGGCTCACAGAAGCAACTCTTGTAGGGCAGGAGTCCTTTACTCAGACTGCTGACCCCACCCCCACCCCGCCGTAGCCCTCTGGCCCTAGCTCCATCCATCACCCTTTCTCTTTGACAGCTTCAACCACACCCTCTTTATTAGCTCCTTTCCCTCAGCCTGTGAAAGGCCTCTCTTGTCTTAAAATAAGTATCATGTTCATTAATCATGCAGCCCTTTCTCTCTTGCCCTCCTTTTTTCCTTGACTACTGACTACTCAGGCCTTTTCTTCCACCAATCTTGAGCCCTGCCTCCAACAATGCAGAACTGTTTGTAGGTCCCCAGGCCCACAAAAACCTCTTATGCCTCTGGACCTCATACCTGCTATTCCCTCTTCCCCGGAATGCCCCACCTCCATGCTCTCCCCAGGTGCCAGCAAACTGCTGCTCATTCACCACGTCATAGTCTCCCCTACCCAGCCGTCCCTGACCTAAGGACCTTTTCTCAGGATCTCACTCAACTTGGCCCTTACTTCCTTTAAAGGAATCATCGGATGACACTGTGATTGGTTGCTTATACATCTGTCCCTCCTTGGACTAGGAGCTCTGGGATGATAGAAAACACACCTGCTCATTTGTGAACCCTTGTGGCTTACACAGAGTCTGACTAGAGCGAAGGTTCAATGATTGATTTCTGAACCTGTGTTTATACACTGCAACCTTTGGGGGAAATCTCAAGAAGAGATTTATTGTGCCAACTCTTCTACTACTCACTTGTGAGACTTCTACAAATTATTTCTCCTTCTAGGTGGCAATATTCTTATTTACAACCTAAAAAGGTTGGATAGTTCCCAGGTCTCAGTCATCTCCTTCACGGTTTAACCAAATCTATGTCTCGGCTTAATAATATCTAGCTACTGCCTATAACAAAAGCTTTTATGAACACTAAATCAACGGGGATACAAAAGACTCACTTTAAAATGTACTTATATTAATTCCACTGTTCAATCTTTTTTTTTAAGTGAAGACTTTATTTTAGGCATAGGGCAATTGGTATTTTCCCTGGCTGACTAAGTCCTCAGAGAATATGCAGCATCCTGTCAGGAAAAATGCTTACTAACTATGACATTCTGTCAAGAACGTTCAGAGAAATCAGATCTAGAGTCCTAATTTCTTAGGAACCTTATTCAGAATTCTGTCTAGTTAGAATCCTGCATTCTGGATCAGCTTAAGTACTCTCTTGGGGTTTGCAAAGTATTTGGTCTCTCCTAGGTAACAAGAAAAACATAGTAAGTAGGGTTCCGAGAAACCAGAAGAAGGTACAGGAGAGGGAGAGAAAGCCTCTGAACCCAATGCCACAGTCTGAAATCTACATGCCAATCCAGTGGTATGATCTGTGAACAAGAGCTTGCTTGGAGCTCTGTGCCCAATAATTGTAGAAGTTTATGCTGCTGACAACAGTATTAATAGGCATGGTGGTAATCTGATACTCAGTGCATAGTTAATCTGCAAAAAATAAAAAGCCATACCTTAACTGCCAAGTTTTTCTAAGGATGGGAGGATTTTATTTCATTATTATATATTCTCCACTATGTATTTTATTGAGAGATCTCAAAATACGTGGCCAACTTTAACTGTTCAAAGTCCATAGCACTAGAGCGGCATGGAGGTATCCCTTCATCTCTCCATTTTATGGGTTTGGAGATTAAGTGTCCTCTTGGAAACCTCTTCCTAGGCTTACATGACATGGCATTTCCTGGTTGTCCTTCAGCTTCTCTGTTCCATCGTTTTGCTGGCTCCTTCACAGATGTCCTAAGTGTGGTGTCCTCCAAAATTCTGCCCTTGGCCACGCACTGTTCTGCCTCCCTCATACATGGTCATGCCTTCAGCTGTCACTTTTATTCTGATGACTCTCAAATAGTAATCTCTTTCTTGCTCTCATACCTAATGCAGCAGTATGAAATTTCTAATTTATCCATAAAATGCCTTGATCTGAGTGTTCATTATCTCAACTCCATTCCTCTTTTCACAAATGCATCTTTACCACCTGTACCCCTATATACCCAGACTACCAGTCTTTGACATTAACTCCTCTATGGCTCCTTTCTTTCATCTCCAATATCCAAAGTCCTGAACACTTTCACAATACTTACTACCTTCAGATTCCTTTCTTCTCTCCTTTGTCCCTGTCATCTCTTTGATCCTTCTGTATTACTTAAAATAGCCTTCTTAAAATTATCACAATTTTTATAGCCTCAATCTTTTGTACGGTCCACAAAATTTTTTCATATCCTACTTTTAATATACTGTTTTCCCCTCCAAAATCATAGGACACCTCTTACTGAATACATAGCATGTCAAAGCTATTTTGCCTGATTTTCAAGGTCCTGCCGCCCGTTTCTTAAACAGGGCCCCCTAACTAGGCACACACAGCATTCACTTTTTTTGTCGTCTCTAAACTCATTTTACTTCTGTCCCTTTGTTCAAGTGCTCGCTCTACTTGAAAAGCCTTTTCGGGGCGCCTGGGTGGCTTAGTCGGTTAAGCGTCCAACTTTCACTTAGGTCATGATCTCGCGGTTTGTGGGTTCAAGCCCCGCGTCGGGCTCTGTGCTGACTGCCAGCTCAGAGCCTGGAGCCTGTTTCAGTCTGTGACTCCCTCTCTCTCTGACCCTCCCCTGCTCACGCTGTCTCTCTCTCTCTCTCTCTCTCTCTCTCCTAGAAATAAATAAAAATATTAAAAAAAAAAAAAAGAAAAGCTTTTTCTATTCAACATTGCCCCTCTCTTGGGATTAGCACTTTCACATGGCCTTGCTATTTGTTTGCATATGCCCTGTCTTTCAGCAAGTATCAGACTATAGCATTTGCTTTCTAAAATAAAAAAAATTAAAATTTTCATGTTAATATATAACACTTTGACCTTATCAGCCTGTTTATACATTTCAAGGGAAAAGATGAAAACTTCTTATACTTTTCTATTCTGATAGGTATGTATGCATAATGGACTCTCAACAAATAACTACTGATCACTTGATAAAGGTTATGCAACAGTATTATATATTTATGAGATACAGAACCAAAAAGCTAACTTAAAAGAGAAGCACGTGCATAAAAAAAGGGGGGGAGGCACCTGGGTGGCTCAGTTGGTTAAGCGTCCAACTTTGACCCAGGTCATGATCTCACAGTTTGTGGGTTCGAACCCCGTGTCAGGCTCTGTGCCGACAGTTATCTCAGAGCCTGGAGCCTGTTTCAGATTCTGTATCTCCCTCTCTCTCTGACCCTCCCGTGTTCATGCTGCCTGTCTGTCTGTCTGTCTCTGTCTCTCAGAAATAAACAGAAGAGGGAAAAAAAAAAGCAAGAGGTCCCTGCACATCAAAATGGGTACTGTGTACTAAATGGCCTTAAATTTTTGTTACAGCTTCATTAGTTTCTAACTTACTCTATGGAAAGATAGAAGTATTCCTATGCTATATTTTAACCAATTATATGCAAATTGGGATAGAAATATGCCCACGAAACTTGCAAATGATATTAAAAGAGAGGCAATAAAAATTAGATCTCAAAAGATGGAAACGCTGTCAAATGAATATGCATAATTCCAGTACAGGGCAAGAGAGGATCCTAAGATCCATTGGAAGTAAATCACAGTAATTTTCAAGACGTCAACTGACTTGTTACTTTCACACTGACTATAAGAGGTTCCAAGGGTCTAGTTGACAACTGAATAAAAAACAACTTGTTATATAATAAAAGAGTGCTTTCCTGAAGACTAGAGCAGTAGTCTTTGGATTTTCAATATGGCATCTAAATCCAGGGGTCAAGAAATAAAGAACCTCAAAACAAGGGGAGGTGCTAGAATTGAATGGGGCTCTCTGCTGCTGCTCTTGCTTTCAACCTAAGGACTAAAAACTATTGGACTTTTCAAGTTCCAAGACACTAAAATTCTGGCCAGTGGGGACTGCTGATTTTTTTTTTTTTTTTTACTAACTCTGAAATATCCTCCATGTACACCCAATGGTAAGAGCTTTTTGTGAAGTAACTACACAAACATGTTTGGACAAGTATGTCAGTCCACAAAGAAAAAGGAGCACAGACCACAATTCAGACTTTATCATTAGCATAGCATTGAAATCCTTCAATAACACTTTTCACTTAACATATTTGGGAACGTGGCTATGATGATCTCAATAGGGTTTTAAAAATGCCCCTGTAACGTCACAGAAAAACTTCAATTCCAGCCAAGGGGACAGGGGCACATGCTACAGTATAAAGAACACTGGTCTTGGGTCATAAGACCAGGCCTCTAATCTGGGCCTTCCCACTAATGACCTATGTGGTCTTAGACTCAAGTTTTCACCTACAAAAAAACAAGATGGGACTAAATTATATCTAATTATAAAATCCAAGTTAAGTAGACATCACAAATTACAACGATTCTAGATGTATTCATCTGCAATGATGACATGTAGTCTTTTTGAAAGAAGAATTGCAATGAACAGAAGACAGATAGTCAGAAGACAATCTGAGATGTTCTAATTCCACCCTCCCAATGAGGTTGACTGCATTTTACTTACATCACTGAGGGCTTTCTGGGCTTGGGCAACCCTCCTCAGCTCTGGACTATCATTGTATGGGTAAAATAAGCTCTTGTCAGCTTCCCAGTCTTCAGTGTACAGTTTCTAAATCAGAAAAGAGTGAAAAGTTATGAGAAATTGAGCTCACACTTACAAGAAATACACAATTTTGAATGCATCCATCAATAGCAAAAAGAGCCAAGGGCAAGGTGAGAGCAAAGGTAAATGGAATGCACAGATAACCTCCCCCTTTCCACCCACTCTGAGTCATATTTATTATGTTTGTCTTGCTTCTCCTGACAAATCTTATTTTCAGAAGGGTAGAGGTGTCTGATTTGGCTTCATCTCTTCTCTGGGACTTTACCTGCTTCCCGCAACAAGTACTAATGCAAGTGTAAGGAGCTGGGAGGCCCTTAGCATAGTTTTAGTCAGAAAACCATTGAGTAAGATTGATAGCCAGAAATACCCAAAGTGTAGCCCAGGGTCTATAACTTATGGGTCTCTCAGAGCCAGTTCCCTAGTGCATTTTTGTTCTCCCCACGTGATCTTCCCTGGGGTTGCTCAGGCTCCTGCCAGACCCTCCCTTCCACTCTACTCAACAGCTTTCTTCTCATTTCCTTCTCGCCAACATCTATCCCTGCAACCTGCATGGCTCGAGGATACTCACAAAAAGATAGAGGAACTGCATTCCTGAGTATCAAGAGTACTGGGTATTCCTCTAAATTACACGCTGGAAGGACACAGGAAGACACAAGTCACAGCAGAGCAGGAGCCCTTACCTTACTGAACATGGCTGTGTTCTTAACTGCCTGGACAAGTTCAGGGGCATCAGGGGGAAGCAGGTACTTATCCTTGGTGTCTTCCCAGTTCTGCTTGTATAAAACCTAGACAGAAAGAGCAGAGGACGTGTGGTTGATGTCTCCTCCAAGGGCATGAGGGTTTAGATAACACAGTGCTGTAAAGTCTCTCATTATCAAAATGTCCTCACACAAGAGGCTGCCCTGGTGCCTTTGTGTTTTACTAGCATCACCTGTGAAAACATTGACCATGTCAACATCCCATAATACTTTTCCTGCATTGGTAACCTTTATTTGAATAGACTGATTTTTTAAAATTAAATCATGATTATGATTCTCTATAGATTCCTTTTAAAGGCCACAACCTGGGGCACTTGGGTGGCTCAGTCGGTTGAGCAGTTGACTTGGGCTCATATCATGATCTCACAGTTTGTAAGTTCGAGCCCTACATCAGGCTCTGGGCTCATAGCTTGGAGCCTGGAGCCTCGTTCGGATTCTGTGTCTCCTTCTCTCTCTCTGCCTTTCTCTGTTCACACTCTCTCTCTCTTTCTCTCATAAATAAACAAACATTAAAAAATAAAAAAATAAAAAATATAAAGGCCACAACCTTATTGGTCATTGGCTCAGTTCAGATAGTAAACGTGTTTCTTTTGACTTATGTGTTATTTTTAAAATGTTTTTAATTAGTTGCCTACATTTGAAATTTGAGGATTTCTCATAAAAATAAAGCTCCCAGGGCACTTGGGTGGCTCAGTAGGTTAAGTGTAGGACTTCGGCTCAGGTCATGATCTCATGGTTCATAGGTTCAAGCCCCGCATCGGGCTCTGTGCTGACGGCTAGCTCAGAGCCTGGAGCCTGCTTCAGATTCTGTATCTCCCTCTCTCTGACCCTTCCCTGCTCATGCTGTCTCCCTCCCTCCCTCCCTCCCTCCCTCCCTCTCTCTCTCTCTCCCCCCCACCTCAGAAATAAAAAACATTAAAAGAAATTTAAAAATAAAAATAAAGCTCCCTAACTTCTTTACTTCTTTAAAAATAAATCAGAGACTTTGGGGACACCAAGACTGCACTCTATGTAGCAGCTGTCTTGAGCCGAGTTGCAGGGCATATGCTCTCCAATCCACCATAGGTCCTATAGGCACTTTAGTCACGTGTGCAGCCTTCCTGACATGTGTGGGTACCAGAGCTCATAAAGCCCCTGGAGTCAAGGGAGACTGGTGAGCAAGATCAAGCTTGGCCAGTTTTCTCCGTAAGGCCAGGTAGAGGTAATCTACATGCTACTTAGCCTCCCAGCCATCTATAACGTGACCTCACCTTACTGACTTGCTGCGACACTTTCTTTGCATGTTCAATGTCCTTTGCTTTTTCGTCTACGTGACAGATAGTTTTAGCAACATCGCCATCAATTCGATACTTAACCTGCAGAAATAATGTACAGAGTTCATGACAGGCATGCACATGTCACTATATTAAAGGATATCTTCTAATAAAAAGCATTAACCCAATGACTCAACATCTGCACCACAAAACAGACTTTCTGCATTTTAGGTAGAAAACGATAATCTCCAAAAATCTGCAGAGTACCTCCATTTATGGCAAATCTGCTTTCCTGGCTGAATTTCAGTCTCCCTGTACCCCTACATGGAAAGCCACAGTAAATTCGAAATTACCATCTCATATCTCCTAAGCTAACTTGCTGAGCCAAGCTTTTAGACGTCTCTTGGGGTTCACATCTACAGCACCATAATCTATAGCCAATACTTCCTCTAGATTTCTGGACTGGCTCACAGTAATTCGACTCCTCACTTTCTCTATACCAACTACAGTCCTCAATTCCCAATGATGGGCATGTTTTTGACATGTCTCTCTCCTTTATTTTAGCAATGCAGCCCACCTCACTGAGTTGATCTTGTACTTTCTTGATTCGGCGAAGTTCTGGGGTATCAGATGTGATGGCGTATGGCTGTCCTTTAGCTTTCTCATATTTCTCCTTGTATTTATTCTGAAAAAATATCAGATATTAGCCTAAAACCTGACAAGACAGCAGCATAAATTTCAAGCAATGTATTTATCCTCAACTGATTAAAAAAAAATCCTGCAAATTCTAACAATTATCAGTTATAACAGCTTTTTGTCCCCTACCCTGATTCTCAGCAAAAACTAAAATAGATTTGTTAATTGCTCTTCCTAAACACAGTTGGATACTTGAGACAGTAGAAATTTTATTACAGACTATTGTCTTGGAAATGCCCTAAAATGATTCTCTCAATGTTTTTATTGTCTAAATGCACACATAAAAAGCCTGAACCTCAATAATTTTAGCAAATGTAGAAATCGTCTGAAAAGATTTGATTGCTAATACAATGCAAAAATATTCAATTCAGGAGTTTAATCTCAGTGGTTTAGACAGCTGAGACACCATCTGAATTAATGGAAAGTCTGAATTATGGAGTATTTTGAAAAGGAATGCGATTTTATTATTTCTGCTAAATATACAAGGAGTTCTTTCTTTAATAACAATGCATAATTTATCATTATTAATGCTTCAATGGTACTCTTGAATGTAGTCAACAATCTAAATTATACTCTTTATCACTAACCATTTAAAAAATACTATAAACCTTTGACAACATTTTCTTCAGGCTAGCAGAGGTTCTAGGATATTAGTGTCAGAATTTAGGAGATTTTATGGCAATAAACTGACAAAAACTTGTCTATTTTTGCCGAATACTGCAAGGATAAAGGAGGTGAAATAGTCTTGTTTTTACAGATCAAAGTCTTAGAAAACTAGGTTTTAGATCATTTAAGAATCTAAACTAGAAATTTACCAAATAGTTCCCAGGAGTTAACACTAAACCATACATAAATATTTACTGACCAATCCAACAGGATGCTTTTGACATAAGCATCTAGTCCTGTATAATCCAATGTTCCCTTGAGCTGCTTTTCATTTTTTTTAAGCCACCATAGGCTATGCCACCGAGTGAGACCTTTGCCCACATGGACAATCAACAAATGAGATCTATTCAGATGGGTTTCAGTCTGCTTCCAGTCAGTATAACTTGTTACAGTATAACTGTACATGGAAAGTTAAGGACTAGGGACCTTCAACAGCAGTGATTCTGGACATAGACTACACGTGAGAGCCACCTGAGCAGCTTTTAAAAATCTTCATGCACATGTCCCAACCACTAATTAAACCAGAACAGCCTGGGTATCTGTAATTTTAAAGTTCCCAGAGGATTCCAATGTGTGGCCACAGTTAAAATCCACTATTCTGGGGTACAGTCGAACATTCCAATCTTCATTTCAGAGGAGCTCTTAGTCTGATCCTGGTTTTCTAAACTACACATTCTTCTTCACTATACAACTCTTAAAGATCTTTTTACATATTGTTAACTAGTCTACGTTAGGGGCATCCTGCTCAGGCAGTTTAATTAGACATTATTTAGCTTCTCTGAACTGCTTTCAACTGAATATATTTATGACTTCATTATTCTAGGTTGGCTAACAAATTGTGATTAAATATCAACAAATGCTTTATAATTGGCCTTCTGCTTATTTTGTGGGAATAATTTCAGAAAAGATGCTTTCCCTGATACTGCAATGGTGCAAACGAATTACATGAAAGGAAAATTAAAGGGTCAGAAAATTTTCTATTTCTGCAGAATAAGTTGTTGTCTCATACGAGGCTGAGAAGCAAAATCTAGCTAGCATCCAACACAGAGTTGGTAGAGATCAGTAATTTCTCAATAGTAAAACCAGGTTAGCAGAAATGGTTTGAAACTTACAGGGCTAAAGAGATCCTGCATTTTCTGACTGTGTGCAATGTAGGGGGTCATGAACTTCGAAGAATCCAATTTCTTCCGGATAACCTTCTTCCTCTCCAGGGGCTTGGCTGGTACTGGCTGTGCCGACACTGGCTGTGGCAGCGCTGGTTTGGATTGCTCATAGTCAGATGTGGTTGTCCTTGTTGTCGTAGTTTCATGGACTTCTGTTATTGTCTGAAAATGTGACATGCAGTTCAAAACTGTTATGTAAGTAAAAACCGTGATACCAGGATATTGGCATATACGCATTATTCTGACCCTGAGTCAGACTTACATTCTTAGTGTTATTCCTACATATTTAAAACCGGCCAAATCAGGAAATCATATACTCAGTCCATATGAAGGTACATCGTATTACATAAATCTGGATGCTGATGGTTCAAGATGATGTGGAGCAAAAAGTTACTCCTTAGTAGGTTGCTATTGGGCCTTAAATTTCCATTTGTAGAAAAGAACCCAAACACCTTAAGGTTGGATCAAAGTCAGAAATACAATATTCTTAACCATTTAAAATCTTGTGGCGCATGGGTGGCTCAGTCAGTTAAGCATCAGTTGAGCCTTCAGTTCAGGTCATGATCACATGATTCGTGGGTTCGAGCCCTGCATTGGGCTCTGTGCTGATGGCTAGCTCAGAGCCTGGAGCCTGCTTCAGATTCTGTATCTCCCTCTCTCCCTGACCCTCCCCTGCTCATGCTCTCTCTCTCTCAGAAATACATAAAAAAAAAAAAAATTAAAAAATTTTAAAAAAATTAACATCTTAAATTCTCTAGGTAAAGTAAAAGCAAACTTGGAATCAGAAAACAAAAGATAAAGAGGATCAAATAAAGCTCAAATTCTTGATTTTATATTAACTTGGAAATGAGTCTAAGAAAAAATTGGTTGCTTGTTTCACAGGTCTTTAGGCATTCTCCCCTGCAGTCTAACACAAAGAATAATGACCTCTAAAAGAATGAATCACATCAATATTACTAGTGGTTACCATTCTTTTGGCTTAGTCAGTTAATTAATCTGAACTGGAGTGCCATTTACACGAATAAATGCTCAGGTGGACAAGGATAATGATGACAACATAAAGGGGTAATAGTCTTTACAAAAATCCTAGGCATACAGTAGGCGGGAAATTACTGTTTCTTACAACAGGCTGTATAGTGGAAGAAACTAAGGCCCAAAGTTTGGGTCTAGTCCAAGGTTATAAATCCTCTATGGAAGGAAAGGTAAGCAGCCAGGTCTTCAATTTATCTCATAGCATGATTTCCTTCACAGCTAATATCATCTGTACCAAATGATGAAGAGAAACTTAAGTAACAAGGAAACTGTACATCTATGTCAACGCCTAGTGTTGTCAGATCATTCTAATAGGTGGCTTTCTGCCTATTAATACTGATGTACGGTTGATGGTGAAAAATGAGCCAGTTCACAGTGTCTACAAATGTTACCTTTCATGCAATTACAGGCTCTTTGAGCAGGCTTCAGGGATAGCCATCCCTTTTTGTCATGATCAAGGAAGATCACTCTATTCAGAAAATAAAGCATGAGTGAGGGATTTCACCTTGGAAAAAAGTTTCACCTTGGACTATTTATGGGAATGGCTTTCTTAGAGTTCCTAATGTGCTAAAATCAGAGTATCATGTCATTGCATCATCGGGGACAAAGGCTTGGAGGTGCCATCTCCGTTGGCAGAGATGGTGCCCCACAAGTTACAACTCTATCCAATAAAACTGCTGGCTCCCATGCAAATCGTATGTCCAAGGCTATGTGATTGCTGCAGTCACAGAGTGGTGACGGCCATAGGTATTATTTTAATGAGTACCACTTACACCAAAAATACCACATGAACAATGGGGAAACGACTCCCAATCACTTTGGATGTGCTGAATAGCAGGAACAGTGATGTATTCTGTCAAACAGTCTAGTATCATGTGCTGCTGGGCACCCGTAGGTGAGGGATTCTTTTCAGATTCTCCCTTTGCCAGCTCTGTGCCCAGAGAGTCTGTGAGAGGGGAAGGCTCTGCCTGCTTCAGTCAGCATGCAGCTCATGCAGACACGGGTCGGGTCTTACCTCTCCTGGCACCTCTTCATAGACTGTCTCTTCTGTGTAATACTATAAATAGACCACAAAGAATCATCATAAGAACAAAGCAGAAATCCCCTCTCCTCTGCCTCAGCTGAACCACTGGGTTATTTTACTAGCTACGCTGGTATGTGCTACCTGTGGGAAGCAGGTACATGAGGGAGCCTTTTCATATTGTGGGACCCATTTAGCTTTCTGAAACGTTGGGGAAACTAAGCTGAATGCTACCAGAGGAGGCAAGGAGATGAAGGGTGATGAGAAAGGTGTCTGATTATTTATTAGGGGCAGTTATTTTACTTGAGACAAGTTAAATAAGACTTTTTCTTACAGTACCCAGGGCAGAATTTGCAGAGAAAATATACTAACAATATCCTGAGCATATGGGTTGCGCAGAAAGAAAACAACAACAAGTTGCCATAACTCACTGTTTGTGATTAACAATAAAACTAAACAGAAACCTCGATGTGAATACAATTTTTAACTGGATTGTATCATGGAAATAACAGACCCAAAAGCATATACAATCTCAGTTATCCGTATACCATCCCAATTACTAAGGAATGAGAGTTTCTTCCAGAGTGGGGGTGGGAGGTAAATCCCCTCATAGCACGATGGTCCAGGGGGTATAGCTCAGGGGTAGAGCAGTTGACTGCATATCACGATGGCCCTGAAAGGATGCAAAGATGAAAATTTACAAATGCCAAGGGGAGAGGGGAAAAATGCAAAGATCTCTCAGCACAAGATGTGGGAAAGTTAGGCGGCAGTTTGTAGCTGATGGTTGCGAGGTGCCTGCAGCCTGGATCTGAAATCAAACCTACTTTTGTTCTACTTCTGACATCACTGTCAATAAATAGATGCTGATGGGAACTGGCTGACATTTTGTTTCAGATGTGTAAGGGGAGTGGAATCCTGCCCCCAGCCTCACCCAGCAAAGCTGGTAGAAGCAAAGCTGCAGGCCCAGGCACACAAGGCATAAAACTGAAACATTTGGCTCATTTTCTTAGTCAACTAAACGTCTAACATTTTATGCTTTGTTTTTCTTTTCCCTGCCACAAAAACATATACTTGGGGAGAGGGGAAAACATGGACTCCTTAATTTCCCTCAGTTGGCCTCCCTTCTTTTGTCCCTTGGTTCCGTGAACTCTTATCAAGTTATTTCACCAGTGTCAATAGGCCACATTGACACAGATGCCTATTTCATCTGCAGGAAGATTAGTAGAAAATTTGCCTAACGCCCTTCACTCTTGGGCTTTCTTTGCTCCTGTACTATTTCTCTAACTTAAAATCTAATTTTATTTGTATGTCCTTACGCAGAGCAACAGAAATCACAAGCTTCTACAGGAGGGAGAATTTCTCTTGTATATGCTTGTGCCTTCATCACATGGGAAATATCACTGGGACATTTTAGGGAATACTGTTTAATGCTGATCCACACAGAGCCATGTCTGTGGCCACACAAAACATCAGTGACTCAAGAAGAAATATTAAACTAAAATGAATGATTCTCAACTATTTTGGATTTTCTGAGCATCCAAGCAAGAGCAGCTTTTTGGGAGCTATGCAACTTTACCTTTGCGGGGCTCTCACCATCGGTAAACGTATCTCAGAAATAAGCTTATAAAAAAAGTAACATCACCCAAATGGTTGACATTAACATATATGCCAAATCTCACTTTTTTTTTTTAGAGCTGTGCCACTAATTAGATAGTACATCCCTGCTTCTTGTCCTTTCTATCCAAGTTTAAGTTTGAGTAGAGAGGGATAGCACAATTTTATTTAGATGTCCAAGGTCCCCAGAAGATACATTTTTAAAGCTACTTCCTGTTTTTGACCTCTTCCCTGACCATCTTCTCAAATTTGCCACCATCCTGTTCTTCATGGCATCTTTTCTGAGGTCAGAGAACCCTCGGTTGATCACTCTCTGGCAGGAAGTCTATCCATTTAGCAACTGCTGGTCAGACCCAGAAGCAGTAATAGGAACAAAATGGCAAGGGTGAGATGCCTAAAAATAGCCCCCTCCGTTTTTACGACATCTAGTTAAATCAATCAAGTCTAGCATTGAGGATAACTTCCAGTGACCAATGAATACAATTATTTCAAGAAAAAACAAGGGATTTTTTTTTTTTTTAAGTTGGAGGCTAAAAAGTATTACTGGTATTACCACCATAGGGAAGGTATTTTAATTTATAACTGGATTAATGTTTAATAGTCATTATTCTGATCCATAGGGGCATATGTAAAATCCACACACCAGTGATAATACTGAACACTGAGAATGTAGCCTTTGGCATTTAAGCCAGAGAGGTGAAATGTTCTACTGTACGAGAGTCATTCTTTCTGTGTTTTCTCCCCCAGATCTTTCAACAATAAAAGCAAATTTATTTGTAAAATAACACATTTTTCTTCATCGAAATATAGACTGGCCACTAAAATAATCTTCCAAAGATAAATTTTGGCACTTTAATTTGGAATTTTGTTTTGGGTAGCTCTTTAATTTCATTCTGGTGAAAAAGGACAGATTTTCAAAACTATCTCCAAGTATCATTGGCACTTGGAGATTTTCATATGTTTAGATCATCATTAATTGTAATTTATTAAGCACTTTCAGATTCAATGCCAATATATACGGATTATCGCCCCTAAGCTTTTAGATTTAATTTCTAGAATGTGAAGCTGAAGGCAAGAGCTGGTGAAGAAAAACTAGAACATGATTTTAAAATTTTTTATAAAACAGTAACAGCTTTATAAAATGTGTCAGATGTCCAGTAGAAGTTTTTCAAGATGTCCACTTCGGTCGTTGCCTCCCCGCCCGCCCCCCCACCCTGGCCAAATTTAATGGCAAAAGCTAGCCTTGTTCCCTTAGGTAAATATGATAGAATTGGTCAGAAAGCATGGTTCCAAATGTCACTTGTGAGTATGTTAAGTTTACATTTACAGGTACGTGTGCACATTTACATATAATCTCACATAATCTGATCTGTATGATTCTGAACATTTAATCCATATCACTCTATAGAGAATCAGCTGGTTGAAGCCAAGAGCAAATAGCTCTCTTTTCCCTACTGCTCTGCAGAAACTACAAAATAGAGTTCAGTTTTCAGAGCTTTCTCTTCATCTCCTCTGTCCCTTTGATCAGGAGAGCTGGCAGGTGGGAAAGAAGGAGTTTTGGAAGACAAATTAGAACCCGCCTTTCCCCCACACCACGTTTTTCGGGAGTTTAAAGAAAAGCAAAAGTGGGAAACAGTGATATTTCTTTTCAATTCTAAATCCTACATAATTATAGTGAAACTGAACGTAAAATATTCCTTTCTCGTGCTTTAATAATGAGCCTTTGTGAAGTTATAATAGACAATGTATTTTTCAAATGATTAATTCACCTACACGGCTTTGACGGTCTCTACATAAAACACTTGGCTGTCAGAGTCAGTCTTTTCATCTTACCTCCACCACCTCCTCATATTCTTCGTCATCGGCCATTTTCCCAGAGTAGTAGTGGCACCCTACAAACTTTGCATATTCCAACAAATAAAAATACATTAGATTCTATCCCTGGGACTGAAATCGTAACATTATAAAAACAGAATTTAAGACTTCTCCATCCCACATATCCATTTATTTTTGCAGGCTAAGCGAGAGAAAATATTTAAATACAGGTCTAAACACTTGAGGTTTCAAATTACTTTCTCTTGATTCCCTCAGGAACGTGGTAAGTATTGGTTCTTCCAGCTACAGGATCAATTTTGTTACTTGTAAAACTTGTAAAAGGAAGTTGAGGTAAGAAAGTGAGAGGGTTTGGATCCAAAGAAACCGTATTTATATTTCTAAATACTTGCGGGAAAACATTTTCAAGCAAAAGCGTTAGTGAAAGGGAGGTGAGCTCAGCTCCCAGAAGTTAGAATTTTTCCCGAGCACCAGAATTCTAAGAGGGATACTTTCGGTCCCCACACTGCTCTAATACATGGTAGCATTCCAGCCCACACTTGAAATTAGAACACAGAAAAATAAATCAATCATTTTAGAAGAAAAAATAGAAACCTCAAGGCAATGGGGTTATTTTCCCCCCGAACACCATTGGCTTCTATGAATTTTTCTCTTGTTTCTGTAGCTCTTCCTCAAACCTGAAAAATAAGAAATGTTTAAAGCACTGATTGAAGTATATGTAAGATTGTGGGTCTCTGGCCTGAGCTTCTAGTTCAGGAACTAACGAAAGGATCTCCCAAGGCCTTCTTAGTTTGACGCCAGAGAGCGGGACTCTCTTGATAAAAGTGGATGATGACTTGGAGCAGCTGTCCCTTGGCCTAAACATATTTGCCATGTAAACCAATACCCTGCCATGGCTGGTTTTGTTAAGCTAGCGAAACTGCCACTCCTTCTGAGGCAAATGAAGCCCAGTAGAACAGGATAAATATAGGAATGCAGAACATAGATCTTTTTTCATCCTAATATATTTAGAAAAAAAATCAAAGGCAAAACATTTTTTGAAAATTTGTCTGTTTAGACGAGAAAACCAACTCAGTCAAGCAAGAAGTTGGTTAGTAGAAGACTTGACTCTAATCACACGCCACATGGCAGATGTTAAATAGGGCCTGGGTAGGGCAATAGGGTTACAAGCTTTTCTAGTCACACTTCCATCACGAACTTCCCCATTTATGACCCCAAACTTTGGAAAAGACTTCAAGGGAAATTGCAGAACATCTCCAGAAAGAATATTTCAGAAAAAGCCATAAACTGGCCTTACCTTTAATCTATCAAATCAATTTCCTCAGCAGCAAAGCCTCTCCCAACTCTCCCCTCCTGAGAACCCCAGGCAAGAGCGAGCTTGGTGCCTGGGCTCCCAATTATCACGTGGCAACCGCAGCCAATCAGATCCCGAGTCGCTCGAATTTCAGAAGCTAAATATACTGAGTGATCTTCTGAAAAACACCTGTTCATCAATTCCACTAAAGGATAAAGGGTAACAAATTGCTTGCCTAGAACTATTCAAATGTAATGGAATTTTACCTAACTTCCAGCGTATGGGGTTCAAATTTAGGTTTAATCTCTCATTTCCTGCAACCTCATTTAATACCCTATTTATGAAAAAAAAATTGGGCTAAAATAAGCATGTCTTGGAGGAGCTGTGGCCCTTCTGTAGCTGCCTACTTCATGTCATTTGTCCTGCCTTCACTGAAGTAAACATATCCCCTGATGCAGCTAACCAGGTGAAGCTACAGGTAAGCTACAGGAGTCAATGAGAAAGAAATAAAATTCATGAAACACCAAGTTGGCAAAAACAATGTTTAAAACTGTGATGACATGATAGGTGAAAATATTTGATGTGACCCTAGATAACCACAGGGTGTATTAGAGAGAATAGGCCCCATCCTTTTTCTATCACTAAACCAGAGGGGGATGCCAAGACCACATTCATTTTCTTCTCCCTTCTTAGCTAAGGCCAGCTGTTTGGAATGAAGAGCATCCTCATATGTAACTGGGTTTCTGATTTTCTCTTTTGTCAGGTAGCTTCTAGAGGCGAAGTGTGAATGCAAGCACAAAAGGGTTCAATTTCCCAACAGCAATAGCAGGTAAAATCATAATCACTAAATTACTAGAAGATAATGCTGCTTTATTAGGTAAGTCAGAATGTATGACATTGAGTTTGTAAAAATTACCTAACAATTTTCTATCTGAAGACAATTTTCACTGATTTAAACTCACTCTACTCCTCTGTACTAAGGCAAAAACCCTGTGGGTCTCTCAGGGTGATGTGGATCTTGACGTGGATTTGCGATTAAACATACTGTAATAGTTCTTTTTTAGCTGTTAGAAAGTATTCTCATATTTTAAACATATGTTCCTTTCCCCTCCCTCTTCTGTGATTCCTATGGTGGGAAATAAAATTGAGACATCATTTTATCATTTAACTAATTATACCTTGTTCGTTTTCTATGTTCTCACAGGTTCTATGACCAAGGGACATGCGTGTAACCTGAGATCATTCTGCTGGCAGATGTAAACTACAATTGACTTACTATTCATTTTGTGTTTTAAAGGATGGTGTTAAATTAAAAAATAATACAGGCCCATTTTTTAAAAACACATGGTACTAAATCATATAAGTAAAAAAATAAGCATAGACTAGAATGAATATTAGAATATGCTAACCTGGAACTATGTCCCCTAGGCATGAAAGAGCTGCCCTATTTTTCTGCCCTATCTATTTTTTCTGCCCTATCTATTTTTTTCTGCCCTATCTATGGCCTCCTCTGTGGAAGAAGAATAAATTGATGCCCTGGTTTACTGGTAAGCAGCTCTTATCATGCCTTGCATATCAGAAGTGCTCCATGAATGTTAACTGTTACGATTTTTAAATTATTATTAGCACTTTAAACATTTTATTGGAGTCTTCATACTTTACTCTGTATTAGACCGAAATATTGTGATGCTTCTGAAATCAGACAGTAGTTGGTCTAAGAATTTATGAATTAATAGGAGTTTGACTATAAGCTTGTATAATGGACTGCAATAAAGGCATGGTACAGTTAGATGCCAAGGGCAGAGTTTCAGACGATGCATTCCTAAATATCAGAGTATAGAAGAATGATGACTGTGGACCAGAAGAAACTTGATGCAGGACGTGACATTGCAACAGAGTTTTTGATTTTACAGTCTATTCTGTTTTATTAATTATTTTAATCAAATTATATCTACACATCATTTCAGAATCATGTAGTTTTGTTATCCTTTTTTTTTTTTTTTTTTTTTTTTTACAAATAGTTT